ATTGTAGGCGTCTTTGAAAAAAAGGATTGACATGGCATTGGCAAAAAATCAATTTTTTCAATCTATTTCGACACACAATGGCCATTGTTGATTACAATCAAACAACAAGGCACTTCAAGTTTGAATTTTTTAATTTAATCATCAATTTAGATTTTATCAGAAAAACAAAAAATTTGTTTGTTTTTTTCAACATTTCATCGATATACAACAACTATCGATAGAATCGATAGTCAAATTATTGATAACAATCGAAGAAAAAAACCAACAAAAAAAATTGATTTTTTTGTTTGTTTTGTCTTCCCGCCGCCTCCAAAAATTCAAATTCATAGTGTCCAATTGACCAATTATTGTATTCAAATTCAAAAGAATTTCTTTTCTTTTCTTTTTCTGTCAATTCCTCCTACACCAAACAAACACTGAAAAGCAAATCAATCAATCGATTGTTTGTGCTTGTAATCGATCCATTGAATATTACAATTTTCACAAAAAAAAATCAAATTTATTGATTTTGAAATATAATTTTGCATCCCATAGGTGAAAATAGTGAAGAAAAGAAAAACATCCTTGATTCGTCTTGAATTTAGTTTTTTTTCAATAATATTATTATTATTAATATAAACTTTGTAACATCCTTATCATCATCATCATCATCATCATCCGCATCATCTGCATCATCATTATCATTATGTATTGTGTGTGTTTATGGAAAACATATGTAACATCTTCATCATCAACAACAGCAACAACAACAACAAAAACATCGTGGCCAAAAACATGGAGAAGAAAGAAAAAATCATTTATTTTTTTCCGGATTATTGTTTTGTTTTGTCAGATATTGTTGTTGTTGTTGTCGGCAACATGTATGATTTTTTGTTGTTGTTGTTGTTGTTGAAAGTTGAACTACAACAAATCACTTTGGCCAACCAACCAACCAATCATTATCATCATCATCATTATTATCAAAAAAAATTGAAAAAAAATGTTTTAGTAAAGCACCACACACACAAAACAATCAAAAGCAATCAAAATGTCTTTTTAAAAATTAAAAAAGAATCAATCGGTAATCAAAATGATGATGATAAGGAAGCTAACATTGATGATAAGAAAAATTGGATCAATAAGAAAAAAGATCACCAATGTTGTTGTCGATGGGAAACAAATATATTGAATATCAGATATGATCCAAGATAAATGGCTTAATCTTTTATAATGATGATGATATCAAATGTCGATCCAAATGATTTGTTGTTGTTGTTGACAGCAAACCAACGATCCGTTTCATGATAATGATGGTGATATTCCTTGGTCGATATCAGAACATGTCCATGATGATGATGATGATAATGATGGCCGGATTCTTCAATATTGGTGGCCATATTGTCTTGTCTTGCTTTTTTCATGGTAAAATATTTGTCATCTGAATGATAATGTTGTTCGTTCGTCTTTAACATTAGTGATCTTTCCTGTTTGTTTGTTGTAATCAAAGATGAAACAAGGAAGAAAAAAAATTTGGAAAATTGGATCAACCGACGAAATAAAATCATATTGACAATGATGATAGACAATGAAAGAACATGCTTGTCATGTAAGTCAAGTCAAAAAAATTTTTCCATTGAAATTCACTTTTTTTCCATTGAAATACTGATCATCCTCTGTCCAATCTAATTGCAATCTATTCTTTAATGTGTGTGTTTAATGTGTTTAATGGAAAAAGCAAGAACAATTCTTTTCCAAAAAAACAATAGATTAAAATTAAATGATTATTAATGATAAAGTTATTTAAATCAATGAAAATGAAAAAGAATGAATGAATGAATGTCAGGAAAATGTTCTTCATTCTTCAGGTGTTCATACATATATGAAATATGATAATTTAATTTTGTTGTTGTTGTTCAAAAAAAAAAATTGAATTTATCTCTTAATTATGTGTGATGATGAATTAGATTTGTTGTTTTTTTTGGATTAATTAATCAAATTTCATTGTTTTTTCTTGTTGTTTGATGCGATGAAATCGTTTTTTTTTTCGCTGAGAAAATATCCAATCATTTTTGTTTTCGCTTCATCTTTTGATTTATTTTTTTTTGTTTGTTTGAAGATCTTTTCTTATTGTTTGATGGTTTTCCATCATCATCATCATCATTCACTAATGATTATTCAATTTGAATGGGAGAAAGGGAAAAGAAAATGGTGGATGCATCATCATCGATGATAATATCTGGATCGAAAATTATCACAACAATAATCAAATGGGGTAACCCATGGTAAGAAAAAAAAGTATGTGAAAATAATGGTGGAAATTTCATAAATTATGATCTTTATCTAGCCATTGTGTGTGCACCAAATCCGAAAAAAAATCTCATTTTTTTCTACACCACAAAAAAAACATGCAGTTATTTCGGGAATAATAATATTCTCCTGAATCCATCGGTACATTATTGAAGAAAAAACTAAGGGAAAACTTCTTTTCGGAGACAATTTTTTTTCAAATCATCCATTTTATCATCATCATTATGGGATGAAATCTCGAATAGCAAGTATTTATGGCAAGTGAAAGTGTAGAAATAGTCGAAAATCGAAAATAATAATAGGTGATAATGATGTGATCTGTGGTGATGGTGATGATATAATCTGATTATTTTTACTTGAGAAAAAAAATCTATTATTATCCAATATCAACAACAACAACAACAGAAATAAAAGATTAATATCTTAATACAACTCAATTAAAAGAATTTAATAGATTCCCGTAAAGAAAAAATATTTGGTGAAAAAAGAAGCTGACCATACGGATAATGTCTTTATTTTCTTTCACCACAGATCAAAGATTAAAGAAAAAAGTGTGGAGGGAAAAAAAATTCACAATTTTTGATTTATTTCAATCAAATAGGTCAGCTAATGATGATTTTTTTTGGGGGGAAATAGTTTTCCGAATTTTTCAATGAAAATTTACAACCGAAATTTTATCCACAAGAAAAATTAATGGGGAAAAACGAACACAAATCCTTTAATAGCTGTCATGCAAACCGAAGTAGGCGTTAAAATAATTATCATCATCATCTCTTGTTAAACTCATTAGTTCAACCATAAAATGGGAAAGTTATTTTGTTTTTGTTTTTTGGGTAGAAAAAAGCGAAATTTTTGCAATGAATTTTTTGCAAAACAAAAACAAATCTTGATTTTTTTTTGTGTGCAAAGATGTCATGAAATAATGAGGATGATGACATAACGATAATGATCAACATTAATTATGAAATTATGAAATCAAGAAATCTTTTAGAAAATTCCCTTGTAAAGTATGAATGTCGTGCCAACTATCCCATCTATCAAGCATCCGATGTACCCTGAGCCAAGCAACAGGCTTTTTTATTTGAAAAAAAAACATTCAAAATTCAAATATGAACTTTATTGAATGACAAATGATGATGATGATGATCGAATTCAACCAAGAAAGAAAGAGAGTGAAAAATCATCATCCAGTAAATCACGAATAAAATATTATTTTTTTACTGGGGAAAAAAACACCAATGTTGTTGTTGTTGTTATGTAATAAAAATGAAATGAATGATGATCTAGATGATAATTCAACAACAACAACAACAAATCAGGTAAGAAAAAAAAGATTGAAAGGAAAAGTTTTCAACAGCAACCACAAAAACAAACTTTGCTTGTTTTGTTTTGTTTTGTTATTTTCTATGAATGAATAATTTTCGGGTGGTTTGTTTTTTTTCTGCAATGAATTGAATTGGTTTCAACCAAAACCAACCGAAATAAAGAAAAAGAAAATCCATTGAATATTTTCTGCGGTTGAACAATTAACTACACGATTTTGCTCGCAACATCTTTAAGAAATTATTGTTGTTGTTGTTGTTGTTGACGGTGAGTTGGCCAGTTTTCACTGGCCATACTGAACAAGATGGATGTTTAGAAATGACTAAAAATAGTAACTAAAAACAAACGATGTTCGTGTTATGTAATAATATTTTATCAAGGGAGAAGAATGATTTGTTGTTGTTGTTGGTTGGTTGTTTGTTGTTGTTGTTAACACTATATCACCACCATCATTGATAAAAAGATGAGAAGCTACAATGGAATTTCCACTCATTCAGTGTAACCAGGAAATGATTAATGGAAAATAGCATTGATAAATTAGTTGAACAATTAACACGATTCGTTTTTTTCAATTCTCTTCATTTTCGTTCAATCAATGGTGGTGTTTTTTCATCAACAACCGAGGAATCATCACTTTTTTTCCATTGAACAAAAAATACCGTGAAATGTTGTTTGTTGTTTCCCGTTACATCAATCTTCTGGAAAAAAATGCACGGTAGAAACTGATGATGGATCATCATCCGAAGTTGTTTTCTTCCAAGATTTCATTAAATTCAATGATTCAGTAGGCGTATTTTTAATGAGTGAAAAAAGTGTGAATAAAAATTTCCATTCAGACTTGATGATGATGATGAATTTGAATGAATAGATCGTGTGAAAAAAGAAAAACATACAACACATCCTTTATGTGTGGTGGAATATGAATGAAAAAAATTAATTAAAATTTTTGTTTGATGGCCAGAAGCCCGTTTCATCAAATCAATTTTGGACAGGTCCATCAAAATGATGCTACCAGTTTTGTTTTTTTCGTTTTTTCCAAAGACATCCGACTTTGAAGACAAATTAAGATTCGAAATTGCTGTATGAATGGTGATGATGAGAAAACTTTTATTTTGTTTTGTCAGATGATGGATTAGATTCGTGGAAACAGTCAAAAAACATCAGTTTTTTTCGAAGAAAAATAACTTTTTTTTTTAATTTTATTTTGAGAATTCAAGGAGGAAAAAAATAAATTCAAAAATTCATTTTTTTAAAAAAACAAAAAACAACTATAGAATCAACAAATTTTTGAACCGATAAAAATTTTTGTAATGTTTTTTGTGTGTGTAATTATCATCATCACCATTGTGTAATACCTTTGCTAGAAACATTTGTTTTATTTTCATTATTAGCATCGTTAAATTATTTTGTGACAATCATCAATGACAATAATCTTCAACAATATGATCGGTTAATGCTTGATTACGTTCGGCAAGAATAAAATGTCCAATTGCAGCACCAGCCAAAATGGCCAAACAAATCCAAATGTTGAATAACATGAATGCCAACATAAGATAATAAGCAAACAATACTTGTAATGAATAAAGAAATGTTGAATAAATATTCATAGGGGAAAACATTTCTTTAATTGTTGCAAATAATGGTATAGTAGTGTTTGGATTATTAAATGTTAACTATTTTGAAAAAGTAAAAGTGAAAGAAAGTAAAGAAGATTGTGAAATTAATTTTTTACAAAAAAAAAATACAAATAAACTTACAATTGGATTAACACTTGATGCATGATGACAGATTGTATTACTATTATTACTATCATGGCTTGATGAACCACCACCAGATTCATTATCCAATGGTGATTGTAATGTTGTCGATCGCATACCATATGATGGATGATTAAATTTAGCCATTTGTGATGATGAATCAAAATTTTTATCAATTTGTTGATCAAGTGGATTAACATTATTATCAATAATATCGCATTTTAATTCAACTGAATCTGAACGATTAGTACCACCATGTCGACCACTACTACCACCATCATTATCATTACCATCATTATGCATAATCTGTACACTTGTAACATTGATCGATGTATTGGTTGGTGTAGATTTAAAACGTACTAAACGTACAGAAAATATACGACGATATGCTTTAAGAATTTCATAAAGAATTGCCATCATAAAAAAGAATAAACATGTCATAAACATGGCTATTTTAACAACAACAACAAAAAATGAAATTGATTGCAAGATTTGAATTTGAAATCAGTAAAACAAACCAAAAAAAACCTACATAAATTTGATTCAGCTGACCATTGTTGAAATAAAACGATTGGTTCATAACCCAGATGAAAATACATTTTTCCCATATGATCCATTGAACCGGTTGTCATCATCATCATTGATTCATCTTGTTGTTGTGAACTACCATGATTATGATGATGATTATGATTTACTAAATTATTATCACTGTTGATCGTAGGCGATACAGTAGTGGTCATTATTGTCATCATCATTCCAAGGTGATTATGTTGACCATGATCGTCATGTTGTTGATGTGATGACATGATTTTTTTCTAAAAAAAACAATTAACAAACAAATTGATATTGGTCAATCAAATTTTTGTAAATTTTTTTTATTAGATAAATTACAAATTACAGTTAATTAAGAACAAAAAAAATCATAATTTTCTCTGAATTGTGTTTTTTTTCTGTGTGTGTGTTTTCCAAACAAAAACAATCAAAATTGAATCAAATTAGTTAGAAAACCTTGAATCTTCGACCAAAGAATCAACAAAAAAAATTTTATTTTTGGAAAATTCATTGAAAAGTTATGTTTTTTTAATTGTTGTTGTTATCGTATGAATTTTTACTTTTACTTTTTTCTGTCTCAAAATTACAAAACATTCATCAATTTTGAAACGAAATTTTTTTCGTTGGAAAACTTCAATCATTCAATCATCACACACACGATGATGATTATTTTCATCGTTTGAATCGTTCTTGTCAAGGTCGACAAATTTTTTCATTCCCCATTGTTTTCTCACTTGAATCCTAAGAAAACGATCCAGAAACATTTTGGCGAATTGAAATTGGATACAGAAAACATAAACATAAACTACACGCACAAACACACAGAGAAACACGCAACCAAACAATCTTTTTGTTCCAAAAAAAAATTTAATTTAAATTTAAATTTTTTCTTCTTCAAAAATCAACGTTATCAAAAGTCATGTTTTTTTTTGTTTCGGTCTGTTCAAATCATCAAACATCAGAAATCATCAACCACAACCACAAATATTGAACAATATGAAAAATGTTTGAATCTCTTCGCGAAATCTGTTGATATCATCATCATCAACAAGATTTAATGATTAGATACATAAATGCGAAGAAAAAAACATTTGAAAGATGATCATCATTATCACACCATATAGACAGATGTTTTATTCTTTTTCTTCTTTTTTCATCAACAAATGAAGATTCTGATTTTATTCAACACATTTTGAGTCGATAATAATCATATTTTTTTCCAAACAACAACAGAAAAAAGTTTTGATATCATCATCATCATTTCTACTTCTAACAAGCAAATTCAGAATGATTTTTGCAGTCAAGGTGATAATAACGATGATGATGATATGAAAACAAAAAACTTTGCGAATAATAATTTTCACTTGTAAAAAAAAGCTTGTTTGGAATTCCAATCATAAATATGATGGTGATGATGAATCGTGATATATTAATTGAAAAAAAATATCGGTCACGTGATAATCAAAGTTTTTTCAAGAAACTTTTTCTGTAAATTTTCAAAGTTTTGATCCATTTTTTCTGTTGAATCCAGGAATTTGAAAGAGAAACTTTCTGTAATATTATTGATATGGGAAAATTTTTTCTAGAAAACAAAATGAATGTTGTAATCGATCAATTTGTTTGTTTGTCCAAATTATCATTCATTCATCATCAAAATCAACATAAATGGTCCCATCATGTCGTATTTGGTTTTTTGTAACGAAAGACATTGCCTATTTTGTATGTAACTAAAAACATTATTATCTGACATTTTTAAATTCAACAACAAGAAAATCTTTTAAAAATGATTTTGTAACTAAACACCAACACCACCACTTCAATGACANAAAAACATTTGAAAGATGATCATCATTATCACACCATATAGACAGATGTTTTATTCTTTTTCTTCTTTTTTCATCAACAAATGAAGATTCTGATTTTATTCAACACATTTTGAGTCGATAATAATCATATATTTTTCCAAACAACAGAAAAAAGTTTTGATATCATCATCATCATTTCTTCTAACAAGCAAATTCAGAATGATTTTTGCAGTCAAGGTGATAATGATAATAACGATGATGATGATATGAAAACAAAAAAAAACTTTGCGAATAATAATTTTCACTTGTAAATAGCTTGAATTCCTATCAAAATATGATGATGAATCGTGATATATTAATTGAAAACAAAATATCGGTCACGTGATTATCAAAGTTTTTTTTTCAAGAAACTTTTTCTGTATCTTTTTCTGTAAGTTTTGATCCATTTTTTTCTGTTGAATCAAGGAATTTGAAAAATGAAAGAGAAACTTTCTGTAATATTCTTGATATGGGAAAATTTTTAGAAAACATAATGAATGTTGTAATCGATCAATTTGTTTGTTTGTTTGTTCCAGACCAAATTATCATTCATTCATCATCAAAATACACATAAATGGTCCCATCATGTCGTATTTGGTTTTTTGTAACGAAAGACATTGCCTATTTTGTATGTAACTAAAACATTATTATCTGACATTTTAAACAACAAACAAAAAATCTTTTAAAAATGATTTTGTAACTAAACACCAACCACCACTTCAATGACAATTTCAACATTAATTTGTTAATCCAAAAAACAAGAAAAAATTGCGAAATTTAAGAAAAATAGTAAATTGAAAAAAATGTCATCGTAAATCACCAACAACAAGATGAAATGTTGTGGTCGTTATCCATGTTTAATTCCTGAATTATTTAAGAAGAACAGTGAAAAAAATCTAAACAACAAATGATGAAAAAGAAAAAACACTGACAATTTGCATTCATGGTTTTTTTTTTGAAAAAAAAGTTTGTTTTATTTTCTTGCTTTTGAAGAATGATGACGGAAGGACAAAATGATAATTATTATCATCATCTAAATTAAATGGACAACATTAACTACCTGACCAACATTTTTCTAAAATGGACAGAATTCAGAAGAAAATCTTTCATTTCACAATTTTGTTCTTTTTTCTATGTTTTTTAATCCATCAATCATCCTTTTTTTGAAAAAATAGAAAAATTTTGAGAATTTGTGACTAAATTATTAGGCAAAAATGATGATGGTGATAACCAACAAACAAACAATCATGATTTGGATGATGATAATAATAATAACAAGAAGTGATGATCATCATCAAAAAAATGATGGTGATGTTGTTGATGGAACGATATTTAGATCATCATTATTATTATCTTGCCATCAACAACATCAACATTTACCCAGACACCACCCAAACAATTGATTGTGGGCAATTGATTATTACGGTGGTTAAATAATGATAATTTGAAGCGAATTGAATCAAATGATTGTCTCGTTCGTACATCCACCCACACACACAAAAAAAGCGCGCCGTTTTTTTTTGAATTTCCAGAATTTCGACATATATGGAGAGCCATCTATGATTGGTCATTTCAAATTGCTACATAAGGATGGGCAGTTTTTATGTTTTTTGCTTGAACTTTTTTTTTCTTGTTTATAACTTTCACTTTTTTTTATTTACAAAATTTTTTTTAATTGGTAAAATATTTACCGTAAAATTACAGTTATGTTTGGTAGAAATTGAAATTATAAGAAATATTTAGGATAATTTCCTTGGGAAAAATCATTCGAATGAATAAATGTAACAGATGGACAATGGCAAAAAAAAGAATATTTCGAACAAATTAGGGAAAAACTCACCAAATTTTCTTATTGACAAATGATGATGATTACCTTATTGTTAACCTTGTTGATTTTTTTTCTCGAAAAATTAAAGGTCACCCGCCAAAACAAGGAGAAAAAAATGTTTAAAGAATCATCATCAAAGTTGGACCACAGAATTGGTAAAAGTTGGTGATTTTGATCGACAAGATGAATTGTGGAAACCAATCCAATTTCGAACAAGAAATATGAATTGGAATCAAATTATCGTCGAAATTTTAACACAAACAAACACGTTACCTGAAACGTAGAACATAAGCAAATGTTGAAAAAAAACAAACAAACAAACATAAGCAAATTGTTGGCTTGGATGAACGCGAACATGTTATTAATGAAAAACAGATGAACTTATAATACGCACCGGTTTAGTCACAATTGAAAAAACAAATTTTTTTCTCAAACGTAAATTAAGCTATATAACGGATGTTTATAATTTTGAATGGATTAATGTGGAAAAGTTCGACAAAATTCATTGTGACAATTGATTTATATTTTTACGTATTCAACATTGTGACTTGAACCGATTTTTTTCTTATTTAAAAACAAACACAAAAATCCTTTTTTCAATCAAAAACTTTTTTTAAAATGTGGATTAATAGATTATTATTATCATTATTATTATTTTATTGTTATGAACAAAGAGAAAATGAGATTTAATGACAATTTTTTTTTTATTTAAAAAGATGGATAAAATTCTCTTTTTCTTTTCTCTTCAAGCATCAGCAAGATATAATAAACCTTTTCATTAAAATCAATCAATAAATTGTGCCTCCATTATTATTATTATATTGTTTAGTCGACCCAAATTGTTAATTGTTTTTATTTTTTGTATTTTTTTTCGATTGTTGTTGTCCCGATCCTGATGGTTGTGGTTCATTTTGTTGTTGATGATGATGATGATGACATTCATCACCTGAAATGGCCTGATAATCTTCAAACATTGTTGGATCATGTTTTTGCCATTTTAATGGTGAACGACGATACATTGGCCATGGTGGTATGGTTAACTGAATTTTGAATTGGAAAAAATAAAATTATGTTAAAAACAAAACGAAACGAAACAAAATTCAATAAAAATTACCAATGAAGATATTACAAAACCAACACCTAATATAATGATTGATAAGGAAATTTGTTGATATGCATAGCCAACTATTAATCCGATAATCTATGATTGATGATTGAAAATTTTTCATTAAAAGAAAAAATCATTTAAACAAATTCACTTACACTGGATAGAATGACAATTCGTTCGAAATAACTTTCAGCACGATGTTGTCCATCAAAATCCTAGAAATTTCGAAATAAAATTAATTTTTTTATTGATTGATTGATAAATTCAATCCATACCATATAAAGTGATTTGGTATAATCTTCAAACATTTTTTCCTAATTTTTTGAATTTAAAAAAAGAAATTTTTCCCCGATGAAAATCCGTTTATGATTTTGCTGAACGAACGAAAAAAAGAATAAATTGTCTGTCACGTCAGCGTTCAACTAAAAAATAAACAGCTGTAGCTGTATTTCCATAAAGTTTTTTTTCGAATTTTTTAAAATTTTTACCGAAAACATTTCCATTTGATAGAATTCGAATGCGAATCGATTCTGAGTTTTAAAGAAGAAGAATCATATTGATAGATTTTTTTTTTGTTATCAACATTTTTTTTTAATTACAAATTTTGTTTTTGGTAATTTAATGATATTTTTTTGGAAAGAAATTTAAAAAAAATGATCATCATCATTGATGACAAATCATTAATATGGTGGTGGTTGTTGTTGGAGGTAATGGTGGCGTTCTGGAAGCACACAGTCCAGCCACAACCAACCAACCACCAGTGGTAATTCATATTCCAACCTCTCCAACCACCACCGCCATTCAAACACTGTTGTTTTTTTTCAACTTTTTTCTACCTCTCTTCTCCTTCTCCCTTCATCATCATCGCCACCACCACCACCATCAATGCATCTCATTCAATTTTATTGTATAAAGAGTGGTAAAAAATTTGCTATTGACTCAAACAACAGCAAAACAACAAAAATCTTTTGTCAGCTTTTGTGAGTGATGATTTTGTAATGAAAATTGAGTGTATATTTTATGGATTATTGTTGGTTTAGAATTTGAATTTGAATTTTTTATTTTTTGGAAAAACAAAATTTATTATAATTATGGATATTGATAATGAAGATGGTAATCAATTACAATCATCATCAACAACAATATCAATAAATGGAACAAATCGTCATCAATTTAGTATAAATGAATTATTATCAATGATTGATATGATAAAAAAATGTGAATTAATATGGAATAAAAATCATCCAGAATATTCTCATGGTTTATCACGTGCTGTTGCATTCGAACAGATTGCACAACAATTATCAATACCGGGTATGTATTTTTTTATTTATTTTTGTAATGTTGATTGTATATTGGGCGCATGTGATTGAAAAGTGACAAAAGCCTTCAGGGCGATTGAAGTTTGTGTTTTTTTAAACTTATAATTATTATTATTAATTACTTTTTTGTTTAGTTGAAGATATTCGTTGGAAATGGCAAATATTACGTAAAGAATATTTTAAAAAAATTTCACAAAGTCATAAAGTAACAATTAGTGGTCAAAAACCACGACCATGGAAATGGGCTGCACAGTTATCATTTTTGAATACAGTCATTGCACAAAATAATCAACTACAATATAACAGATTGAATCATCAACAACAGCAACAATTATCTTTGATATCGAAACAACAACAACCGCATCATCATATGACAAGATTAAATCAATTCAAATCAAATGCCAATCATAATGGTAATGGATCAATGTCATTATTAGCATCAACACCTAAATCAATAACTAATGGTAAATTTAATTATCGTCAACAAAATCAGCCATCAAAATCTAATAATAATAATAATCAAATTAATCAACCGATATTAAATTCGGAAGAAGATTCATCCAACGAACAAACAGACAATTCAATTGAATTACAATTGAATACAAATCAATTTGATAATTGTATTGCTATTGAATTAGAAGATGATGATCAAAATCAGCTACCTGATAATGATAATGATGATGATGATGATAATGATGATGATGAAGAGAATGAATGCGAAATAAATGGTAATAACGATGCTGTTGATGATGAAGATTTACCGAAATTTTTCTGTGAAACTATTTATTCACCAGAACATGATGAAAATGAAAATGAATCCAATGATGAAGAATTAGAATCAAAATTTTCATTAGTAACAACTAATCAACAACCAACATCAACAGTCAAATCGAATATCAAAAGTCAAATTATTTATGTCAATAATAATAATGATAAAAATAACAAACCACCATCATCCTCATCAATAACTATTGATAATCGAAAACGTAATCGTTCCGCTGTGAATGATACAGACAATGAAAATTCTGCAAAAATTCCAAAATTTAATGGCGATCAATTAATTTCCAGTGAACGAATAGATCTATCATCAATAATATCATTATTAAAAACACAAAACGAAATATTAATCATAAGAAATCGTCGTGAAGAAACATTATGGCGACAATTAGCTGATAAAGATAATCAATTAAATAATCTAAATCGTCAACTTCAAAATGAACAACAAAAACAACAAGAAGATACATTTCGTACATATTTATTAGCAAAATTATCATTATTACAGGATATACCAAGAACATCATCAAAATGGACAAAAGAATTTCAGACCATAATGGATCAGGCATTTGATAATGTTTATAAAAAATTTCAATCACAACAACATTATAATGAACAAAAATCAAAATTATAAATTTTTTTTTATAAATAAATTCATTTAAAAATTATACATTTGTTTCTTTTTTATCTTTTTGTAGGTGGTCGGCCACGACCACGACCACGTCCTCGACCTTTGTTGATAGTTTTGGTTGATGTTTCAATCGAACCAAAATCTGAATCATCCGAATCTTCAATGGCAACAGTTTTGGTTAATTTAGGTTTTTTCTTTGCTGGTAATTTTCCAGTGAGTTTTGGATCATCATTACTATCGAAATTTTCCATATCGAAAAATGTTGCAGATGTTTTTAATGTATGTTGTTGTTGTTGTTCACGACGATTTTGACGACCACGAGAAGTTGATGCTATGAACTTTTCATCATCATCTTCTTCTTCTTCTTCATTATCATCAATTTGATTCACATCGAACATATCGATATCATCTTCATAAAATGGATCCGCCATTTTCGAATCATTTCCATTATTTGATGATTGATTTTTTCTCGTGACCGAAGAATTTGATAATTTTTGTTGCAATAAACTTGATGGTCGCTTGACAAATGGTTCACGAATAATCCATTCAAATCGTTGTCGATAATCTTGATCATTAACAATTTTCTGTTTAATTGATCGAATTTCTTTTTTAAGATCATCAAGTTCAAAATTTTCATTATCACCAATACCGGAACCGATTATAAAACGCATAGCTTGTTTAGTATTTCCAGTAAAATCTCTAAAACAATCGGTTTGATTTTTTTCAGTAAATGTTTCTAATTTATCAATGAAAAATTTTTCATCCAACATTGATAAACGTTTACGATCATTAGCTTCATCAAAATGTTTCAACAACATTGTTTGAAGATGATATCTTTTTGATACAACAACTGCACGTATAGCATCGATAAAATCATAAACATTATCACCACCATCATCATCATCATCGTCATCATAAAAACCGGCTGAATTTGAATCTGAATTACCCGCTATGCTAGAACGTTTACGAATAAAACGTACAACATCATTATTATTGGCAACCAATTTTGTTACATGAAATTCCAATTTTCGACGATCAAACAAACGATCTTTATCACTATATTCAACACGAAGACGAATCAATGGTTTTTCATCACTACCATCATCATTAATCAATGTTGATTGACTACGAGCTTCGGTAAGCATTGTTTGTACCTGATTTCTGAAAACATAAAACATGATTTGGTTGAAACAAAAATTACAGAAAAAAACACTTACTTGCAAAATGAAAACAAAAATTGTTGTTGTTCATGTAAAGATTTGAATGAATTATTTTTGGTCAATAGGCTATCAACATCGATTGTTGTCATTACAAACGGACGAACAGTTTCACAACGATAAGATTCAATTTTAAATCGAGGTTTTTGACGTTGACGATCAAAATGACATCTCATTAGATAATAATATTTATCACCATGTTCAGCTTCACAAAGTGATGTAGCTACAGTGGAACCGGGTTGTAAGATAAAAAATTTATTTTGTTCAAAATATTCTGGTTCTTTATAAGCACGATGTTCATGACCCCAAATAACAAAATCCGGTAATGATGTTAAATCATATGGATTAAGATGTTTGGTTCCAGGTCGTGGAACACGATTCTGATGAACAAGTAAAATTTTTAGATATTTTTTCAATTCTTCTTGTGAATCATTATCATCAAAATCCGGTGTAAGAAAATTAAATCGTTCATTTTGTATTAATGTTTGTAATCGTTCTTCACGCATAGATCCAAATCCATATACGATAATTTTTGTATCATTTTTTTCAAAAATAATTGGCTTGACAACTAATTCTTCTACATTATCTTGTTTACCAAAATAATTTATTAATCCGGATGCTGAAAATAAATCCAAACAACATGAACAATCCATACCGATAGGATCATCATGATTACCATGTATAGTGAATAATGGATATTTTACTTTTAAATTTGGATCAATACAATTAGCATTTTTAAAATTTTTAACCAAAAATTTTTGTCTACCATCACCACCGAAACAATATTTTCTCAATAATGACATTGTACGACGCATTGTTCGTACGGATGGTTTATTTACATCGAATAAATCACCGGCTAATAGAATAAAATCAACATCCATACGAACAGCTGCTTGTAAAACTTCTTCAAATGTTCGAAATGAATCATTACCAAGAATGGGATGTTTTTCATTATGTCCTAAATGACAATCCGATGCTATCAATATTTTAAATTCATCAATCTGAGATGACATTTTTAGCTGAAAAAAACAAAAACACAAAAAAACAGAATCTTAAACCCCCACGCGCTAATAAAAATCAGTTGAAGTTGAAACTGAAAAATGAATTATTTTGAAAATATTCTAGAAATTCTTCGCTCATAAAGTACGTCATCAAATGAAAAAAAAATCAAAATGATTGGCGGTTTTTCGTTTCGTTTCGTTTTGTTTAATTTTTATTTTGTTTAAATTCAACTGATATGATAACATAAAATGAATGTTCAACAATTGAATGAAGAATATAATCAAGATTATTGAGGCCATCTTTTTCGGATGTTCGATAACTTTCTTTAATCAAACGAAAACGTTGTGGATTTGGATCATTCAAATTATCTTTTGGATGTGAAAGTTTTATATATCGAGCAATTTCGGATGGAAAACGTTGTATTTGATATTTTTTCCGTACTAATCTTGATCGCATTTCATCATCTTCACCACCCCAACCAAAAAATCGATTCGAAAATCCATTAACATTGTTCATAATCGATGTCGATATTGCACAAACACCACCAAAAAGTTGTTCATAAAAATAAGCAAATCGTACAATATTCGATGACATATGTCTTGGTTGATCTGAACATAGATAAAGATTACGTAAATCTAATGGCAATAATTCAACATCATGAAATATAAAACAATCAAAATTATTCCAACGAATTGCTTCATTAAAACCAACATTAAGTAATTTTGCACGATTAAATTGATTCATATCTTTTTGTTCAACAATAAACAATTGATATTGAACTTTATTTTGTTTCGAAAGAAATTTATGAATATTATAGATAAAAATTTGTAATTGAACGCTACGATTTCGATATGGTACAATAATGGCAACATTTTGTAATGATTGACATCCGTGTGGTCGATATCGACCACCAAATTCAATCGATTCATGAAAGCTTTCATTTCGTATTGTTTGTAAATCTAATTTAGGTTCATAATTGAGTTCCGTTGAAGAAACTGGAATATCAATTTGACAACGTTGAAATGTCTGTGATGAATTTGTCGGAATAAAAACATTGTAATATGGAATCATTTCGACCGATTCTACACGGAATCTAAATTCAATCCATACAAGGATTAATATTATCCAACAATTCATTGTGATTTCTGAATCGAAATCTTTCTTTTTTTCGAAACAAAACAAAAAAACATTTCTTTTTAAAATTGAATTTTATTTCCAATAAAATAGCAAATAATCAAATTATTATTATTATTGATTAATTAGATTTGATTAGAAATAATTTGGTTATTATTGTTTGTTACCACCGAAAATTATATAAAATATAGTGTAATAATTTCTTCTGATAAATACTTTTCCATATAAATTGGTCCCTTTATTGATTTGATGAGCAGAGAAAAAAACGATTTTCATCCATCCAATGCAATCGTTTTGAAGCCATTACCCGTCCATACTGATTTATATTGTTCAGGCAATGGATGTTCCACCTTTGATAATGAAAATTTGTTTAAAAAAAATTGAATTATTAGAAATACAATGCTTACATAATCGCCAGATGCATTCAAAACTGAAACATTAATTTCTGAACTTTTTGATGAAACAATTTCACATTGAAGCGATTCGTTTGATAGATATATTTCAATACCATCAGTTTTATCGACTGTAATGGTAGGTACCAATCCATTCACCTATGGTAAAATATAATTTTATTTAATTTTAAAAAATCATTTTATTTCACAAACATACCTGAGCTTGAACTCGTTGACAATTTATAAATTCCAGTACGGACAATACATTATCAAAAATTATGGAAAATTTTCGACATTGATTCACAGATATAAGATTAACTTTTCCTTTGACAGTCAAAACACATTCATTGCAATTATAAATGTTGATCGATTGTGTCATATTTGTATCATCGATAATTAAATCACGACGACCAGAATAATTTTCAACTATCCATTTTTTACCTTCTAACGATAATTTTGGATTAGATTTTGGTGGATCTTTTTGACCGATTGATCGACCTGTTGAATCGATTCGATTTCGATCCGGAACCATTGATGATTGTCGTAATGAGCTATTTTTATGTGTCTGTTGATCAGCCGTAACTTTTCGAAGACCTCTAGTAATTTCAGTACCTTTGTTGATCGATGCAAACAATGCTGCATGTTGATCATTTGCTGCATTTTGTTTCGACGAATTATCATTAACATTATCGTTGAAAAAATCAGCCGAAGGAGGTGGGGGTGGTGGTGGTGGCAATCCAACACTTGTTCCATTATTCAATGAATTACCTTTCGCATTCCAAACTAAACCGGTAGTATGATTACGTCGAACATATTGTTGTAATTGTCCAAGAAATTCAATCCATAATTTAGCCCATTGTACTATTTGAGCATTTTTATCTTTGTAAGCAATCAAAACTTTGTTAGTATAGAATTGTGCCGAATCGGACATTTCTTTGATATATGGTGCCGGTGTTGGCATTACTGATACCCAACCTAAAGCAGCAATTCCTTCGGCTACAGATGATAAAAGATTAAAATGTTCATCTTTACGATTTTTATCTCGAATTGACTTTTGAAAGTAAAATGAGATTAATATTAATTCATTTGGTAAAAAAAAACTCTTACAATAATCTGTGTAATAAGATCGGATGTTGGTCGAAGTAATTCCATCAATTTAGAATCATTAGGTTTTTGTGATTGTGATGCTAATTGTAAAAAATTCAATTGAGCATCCAATGCTTTACGAACTAATAAACATTGTTCTTTTACTAAACCACCAATTTCATTACTAATAGCCAAAAATTTATCAATAGGATTAGCTAATAGATCTTGAAATTCTGTCACCGAATTGTTCGAAACTATTTGGGTCATTCCAATCAATAAATTGATATGATTATTATTAGTAATTTAATTAAATCAATCAATCAATCAATGATGATTCATTCAACACTTACACATCTTAGTTTGGGATATTTATTTTATCAACAGAAATTTAGAAGACAAAGGAAATTGTTGGCAAAGTTTTTGTTTTTGATGACAATAAAAAAAATCAAATACAAACCGCGACACAATTGATATAATAGGAATTGTCAATTGTAAAAAGCGTCGATTTAGGTTGATAATTTGTCGATAGTGACGGCTTGTCATAAACACACACAGTGTGCAATACAATAACACATAACAATGGGTGAGGCATCTGAGTTGTTGCCCCTCTTTTTTTCATTATTTGGTTGCATCCAATCAATTTTCCCGGAAAGATTCCCGGAATATATTATTCTAAGTCACGTGATTTTTATTGATTGATTAATCACGTGATTAATTATAAATATTTGTTTTTTTTGAAAAATGGAATTTATTCTTCAGTTTTTTTTGGCTTTCGATTTAATAAGATTAGTTATCATTATTAACATAAGAGTAAATATAGTTACATCAAAAAAACCATCATCATCAATTGCTTATTGAACTTGTTTGTTTGTCAATATCCATTTCGGAGATTTTTGAATTCTTTGGCCGAACATGATAGGAACCCATTCCAGCAGCTTGTTCAGATTCCTTATGACTATATGCTGGTATTCGTAATTCTTTTACCCTTTGTTTATGTTGTTTACTTCGTCGATGTTCATTCAATGCTAATTGTTCAATGAAAAAACGACTTTTCAAAAACAAATTAGACAATTGAAAAAAATTGATGATTAAAAAATTAAAAACTTACTCGCATTCTGTACAAAAAAATTGTCCTTGTGCCGGTAAATCATCAACCATTTCAAATGGTCGTTTTTGTTCGGGTTTAACAATATTTCGTTGAATTTCTTCAATAATTTGATCAGTATCTTTTTTATAACGTTTAGTTTTTAAACATCGTTTACCGATTCTTCGATTTGGGGCACAATTGCCCTTTTTTCGTGAATATCTTGTCATTGATTTTGAAATTGATATCTGATCACAAAACACAAACAAAGTTGAGTTTTGAAAACAAAAATTGATAAATGCACGTGGAAGAATTTGGATTTTGGAATCAATTTTATTCGATTCGATTCATAGAATACGTGTCACAAAAAAAAATTCCATATGTCTTGTTGTGTAATACAATCATTTTTCCATCTTTTAAGATTTCCAAAATGTTAAAATATTTAAAAAACATTATTGTTTAGATTTGATTTTATATAATGTTGACATCATTTTTGATTGGCGTTTCATTAGCCATCATATCCTGTTTATTTATTGGTGTTAGTTTTATATTGAAAAAAGTTGGTCTAATTCGTTTATCAAATCGTGGTTTACGTGCCGGTCGTGGTGGTTTTGGCTATCTAACCGATTGGGTATGGTGGATGGGTCTTATATTCAGTATGTATCCAATTTGTTTTTACTCGACGATAATCTAAAAATTTAACAATTCCTATGTGTTCTAAGTGGGCATTGGTGAATTGGCAAATTTTACAGCATATGCATTTGCACCTGCATCATTAGTAACACCTTTAGGTGCTTTAAGCGTATTGGTCAGTTCATTATTGGCTCATAAATATCTAAAAGAAAATCTAAACATTTTTTCCAAAATTGGTTGTTCATTAGCCATAATCGGTTCGACTGTGATTGTATTACATGCACCAAAAGAAGGTAAAATTGATTCATTGGATGATATTTCATTGATGCTTGTACGGGCATCATTTCTACTATATTTAAGTTTTGTGATTATATCATCAATTTTATTGGTTGTTTTATATGCACCACGTTATGGTAATTCCAATGTTTTGGTAAGTAAATTTTCAAAAAAAGTATTATTAGCAACTAATTTCATCTAATTACACCTAGGTATACATTCTTATTTGTTCATTAATTGGTTCATTGTCTGTGATTTCTTGTAAAGGATTTGGTATCGGTATACGACAAACCATAAATGGACAAAATCAATTAATCAATCCATTATTTTGGATATTATTAATATCATTGATAACAACTGTTTCAATACAAATGAATTATCTGAACAAAGCTTTGGATATATTTGATACATCAATTGTTACACCTGTTTATTATGTATTGTTTACATCATTTGTATTGATTGCATCGGCCATTATGTTTCGTGAATGGACATCGATGACAATTGAAAATATTGTTGGAAATTTATGTGGATTTGCTACAACAATAATTGGTGTTTTTTTGCTGAATGCATTCAAAGAATTAAATATCAATATGAATAATTTAAAAAATCAGTTATTGAATACTAATCGATTGAATAATACAAATTCCGCTTTACATATGTCCGAAATAGTTGTTAATGATCCATTATTACCTGATATTCGACGATCCGTACAACCTGGTCTTATTACATGGACAATGGATGATGATGAATGTTAATGAATGATTACATCATTCCCACTCACTCTTTTTCAATTGTAAATTATTTGTTTAGTCATTTTACATTTTGTTTTTATTTAAATGTTTCAAATTTTATATATATGAAATAAAAATTGTCAATTTATAACAAGCAAACATACAAATTCATATTTTGATTATCCACAACCACCACCACCACAAGGACCACATGGTTTTTTTCGAATTGGTCGATAATAAGCAGGTGCAGAATTCATTAATGGAAAAAAATCACGAGAAAGAGTATCATCATCATCATTTTTAGCTTTATTTTTGTCATTCGAATGTTCTGTCTTGGTTGTTGTTGCTGTTTCGGATTGTTTTCGTTCTGCTTGTTCTTTAATCATTTGGCTATAAATTTCTTGTTGTTTCAAACGTGCTGCTTTCAATTTGGCCAACATTAGTTCTTGATTGAAACGAAAGAAAAATAAAAATCGTTAATGTTTGGGGGAGATTGACATTCATATTTACCATTTTCATCAATATTTTGATATCTATTCAATTGACGATAACGTTTATAAATAAAATATAAGATAGTAAAAATGGCCACCGAAATACTGGCAGATATTTTGTTCAATTCTAAATTGAACAATTGATCCAATCCTAACCATGACATGATTTTTTGATTGACTGACGTTATTTGCCAATATTATTTAAAAGAAAAAAAACTCGCAAACCGAATTTGGCATTTAATAATTTACGCAATCAAAAAGTAAAAAAATCTTTCCGAAAAGTAAACATTCTATTCAAAAATGACAGTACAAAACAAATTTTTTTTCGGGAATTTTTTATTCGAAATAAAAAAAATTTTAAAAAAATTGACAAAGTCAATATGTTAAGAAACATAAAGTTTCCAATCAATAAATTTAGCATTTTTACACACTTCAATCTGATGACTATCACCAGCAAATGTATAGAGATCATAATTAAATTTATCATAATGATGATAATCAATCGAATAGATTGTATTGATTGATGAATCAATATAATTTGGATTTGTAGGATCATTTAAATGCCAAATAATTACTTGATTAGCTGTTCCTGCAGCCATTATTTTAGAATTATCGGCAATAAATCGATTTGAATAAATTACACCTGGTGTGTCAAGAATTTGAGCACATTTGCCCGAACGTAGATGCCATAATGAAAGTTTTGGTCCACCACCACAAACAATCCATTCATTATTGTCGGTCACATCAATAGATCCAATCCATTTACCGTATTGAATACGTCGTAATTCTGGATTATGGAATGGTTCAAGCGATAAAATCGGTTTACCAGGTGATCGATAATCCCAGCTTAAAATTTTCCCATCTTCTCCACATGAATATAGCAATGGACTGGATAAATTATTATTCAAACATTTTAAGCTATGAATATAATCATGATGTCCGGAAAATTTAGCCGTTTGTTGTTGTGTTTCACGATCAAACATATAGATGTTTGAATCACCACAACCGGCTACAATTTTATTTTCACCAGCCATAGTTAACGAATTAATCATTGTTGAATCGCTTGGTAATTTAATCATCCATTCTTCTTCACATTCATCAAGATTTTGCATCGACAAACGAAATGCTTTCAGTCGTCCAACACCACCAACAATAAATCGATATTGTGAATCTGATTCGAATGTTTTCGTTGTTGTTTGAATCGAACACAAACTTGTCATACGTTCCATTGGAAATACATTGATCGATTGAAGATGTTGTCGTTGATTTTGTTGTGAAAATAAATTCGAAATCGAATTATTATCACCACCATCCTGATGATTATTATTTGATATTAATTCAGCATCACGATGAAATTCTTTAAGATATTTTCCCACCGAAAATACGGCTAGTTTACGATTTTTAACCACAGCCAACAAATAACGGCCATCATTTGTAATTATTTGTGATAAAATTGTTGTATAATATGTTCGAAGATGATCGATGTATTTATTATCGATTTCCATTTCTTTTTACCTGAAAAAAATGAATTTTTTTTAAAATAAAAATTGTCAAAATGCCGAAAAAAATAGGCTGGTGTGATTTATTTTTCGTCCACAGATGACATCACTTTGGGTTTTTTTTTCGGTATTCGAACAAACAAAGCTGTGCAATATATTGTGCACACATCCAACGTGTCATCATATGATAGACCAAAAGCTTGTGAGTAAGCTTAACCCGGACCAACATATTGCATCAGCATTTTATCAGCCAAAAAAAGCATTGATCTTTTTCAGTATAAGTCATCAGATCATTTCAATTTAGTAATTGCAAACAAACTAACATAATGACGACCGAAGAAGAAATCTGCACTAAAATGGGTTAGTTAATTTTTATTTTAATTTGGTTTGAATAAAATTTTTAATGGAAAAAATAGCTGCTCTTTACATTAGCGAACATGGTGATGATTCTGTTGGTGATGGATCACAATCAAAACCATTAAAAACATTACTTGAAGCTATGCGTCGAGCAAAAACTGAACCATTTCCACCATTCTATACTGATTCCATTGCGGATGATAATGAAAAATCGAATGAACAAAAAGAAAAATGGACATTGGTTAGTCAATCACAGATTAAAAAAGTGAAGAAAATCTGGACAAGAGATCAATATAAAAATAAAGATAAAAATGAAAAGAAAGAAACCGATGATCAAGAACGACAAAAACGATTGGAAGAATCAAAAGCCATTCATATTGAACAGGATATGTCATTACCTGTTGCCGAACGAATCAAAATCAAAGCAGTTAATTCAATGCAAAATAAACGTGTACGAATATCTGGTTGGGTACATCGACTTCGTCGACAAGGTAAATCTTTGATGTTCATCATACTTCGTGATGGATCAGGATTTCTTCAATGTGTACTATCCGATCAACTTTGTCAAACTTATGATGCACTTATATTACAAACGGAAGCATCTGTTACTGTTTATGGAACATTACTTGCATGCGATAAAGCTATCGGTGGTATTGAATTAAAATGCGATTATTGGGAATTGATTGGTAATGCACCACCAGGTGGTATCGATCATGTTTTGAATGAAGAATCACAGGTTGATGTTCAACTTGATCAACGACATTTGATGCTTCGTGGTGAAAATCTTTCGAAAATAATGACATTTCGTGCTATATTGTTACGTGCATTTCGTGATCATTATCAATCACGTAATCATACGGAAATAACTCCACCAACTATGGTTCAATCACAAGTTGAAGGTGGTTCAACTTTGTTCAAATTTGATTATTTCGGTGAAGAAGCTTATCTAACACAATCATCACAATTATATTTGGAAACTGTATTATCATCATTAGGTGATGCTTATTGTATTGCACAATCATATCGTGCTGAAGCTTCACGTACTAGACGTCATCTTTCCGAATATACACATGTTGAAGCTGAACGTGTATTCATTACTTTTGATGAATTGCTTGATTCAATAGAGGATTTAATTGTTGATGTTATTGAACGTGTTATGGCTGATCCAACTGGAAAAGAATTACTTTTATTTTTTAATCCAGATTTTAAACCACCGAAAAAACCATTCAAACGAATGAACTATTCGGATGCAATTGAATATCTAAAAGCTAACGATATACGTAAAGATGATGGTACATTCTATGAATTTGGTGAAGATATACCCGAAATGCCTGAACGTCGAATGACAGATAAAATTAATGAACCAATTATGTTATGTCGATTTCCAGCTGAGATCAAATCATTTTATATGCCACGTTGTAAAGAGGATAATCGTCTTACAGAATCTGTAAGTTTTTTTTTCCTGTTCAATATAAGAAAATTTATTTACATTTTCTTTTCTTATTTGTAATTACTTTTTCTTTTTCATTTATTATTAAACACCCACACACACAAACAAATAGGTTGATGTATTATTACCCGGTGTTGGTGAAATTGTTGGTGGATCAATGAGGATCTGGAACTATGATGAACTAATTCAAGGATTTAAACGTGAACAAATTAATCCGGAAAAATATTATTGGTACACTGATCAACGTTTATTTGGTACAGCACCACATGGTGGATATGGTCTTGGCCTTGAACGTTTTATAACTTATCTATTGAATCGTTATCATATTCGTGATGCTACACTTTATCCAAGATATATTTCACGTTGTACTCCATAAGACAACAAAAAAAATGCAAACAATAACAAACATCGGATATTATTTAATAACGTCATCATGGAAATCATGATACATTTAATTTTTTTTATTATTTTAAAATTCAAAATTAAAAACAACAAAACTAAATAACCAATCTTTTTCTAAAATGGGCTATTTATCAATTTATTTGTTTGTTTTTTTTCCAAATAAAATAAGAAAACATTTTCTCTTCTTTTTTTCCATTTAAAATTTCCAGGTTTTTGTTTTCAAGTTTTAAAAGAATTGTTCTGAATATAGAAAAATATAGAATTTGTTTTTTTCTGGGTGAATCATATTGTTTGTTTGTCATCTGAAAATAGAATTCAATTAGTTATTCGGTAATTTGGTAATTCAATTTTTTCTTTTTGATGAAACGATTAGGTTGGGTTATAGGAATTTTTTTTTGTTTGAAAAAGGTGAGCTATTTATAAATGAATTTTTTTTTAATTGCAATTTTACTTGATTACTGAGCTTGATGTTTGAAATGAATGAAATGAAAAACGAACAAAGAAACTTGAGATGTGGCTAAAAAAAATTCAATTTTATCTTCGGGTATTGGGATTCGTTTTTTTTAACAGAAAAAAGAAAGAAAATCTTAAGTAGAACTTGCTAAATTAAAAAAATAAGAAGAACGGGAAAACTAAAAAAGAAATTAAAATTGAAAATAAAAATAAAATTGCTTTAAAAAAGGGGTAAACAAAATAAAAATTGTGACAAAAAAAAAGATCAAATTAAAAAGAAAATATCAAATTAATGTTGTTTTTGGTTGGTCAGAAAAAAAACGAGATCAACAAACTAAAAAAAAATCAGGGAATCATCATTAATGATAATAAGGAAAGAAAAAAAATCACGAATTTTGATAGAATGCCATCCCTAACCCTTTCAAAACAAACAAACAAAAATCAAGACAAACATTTTTAAACATGTAATGAACGAATTTTTCTCATTACATGATCAATATCACAATTATTACTATCGTTATTGTTATTGTTGTTGCTATGATTATTATTATTATTAGTGGATGTTGATGTGGATGTGGATGAAAAACGATCATCATTATCGATTACATTAATCTGATTTGATGATATACTTGTCATTTTCATCATCAATGGATTGAGCGATTGATATGAATGATCTGGATTTAATTGTGACGGTGGTTGTTGTTGTTGTTGTGAGAAAAAAGGACATACTAATTGATCAGTTATCTTTGGTTGAATTTGGTCGTTGGGAGTATTGTTGTTCGATGATGATTGATGATCACAAGGTATCGGATTGAATGATGAATAATGAATCATACCATTATGACAGCCAGTAGATATCGTTGTTGGTTGATGATTACTGGATGATAACATTATATTATCCATTGTTGAACCGGGAAATATTGTTGCAACTGGCTGCTGAGCATTACAGCTACCGGTAGCTACTGTTACAGCACATAGATTCGGACAACAAAATAATGTTTGAAGATCATCCAACGATTTCGATCGAATCAATTGTGATGGAACATTAATATCACTTCCAATTGCTTGTTGTTGTTGTTGCAATGGCTGAGGAGATGATGAATCGTTATCGATTAGAATTGAAGCTATTGTTTCATCTTCTTCATTCATCGAATCGGGAAAATTTGTTTCGGAAAAATAACGTTCCTCTTTATTTGGTGATGATGGATTAGATTTGATCATAGCTGTTGGTTTTGATACGACTGAATTCGATACAACAGCTGCCATTGCTGCCATAGTTGCCCATAAACATCGTCTATCTCTTTGATGACAATGATAATGATGATGACCAGTTATCTGATGACAAGATTTTGAATTTTTTATTATCGAAGATCGAGAATTCGGTCTACTAGAAGGTGGTGTTGGTGAAATCATCATCAATGATGATGATGATGATAAAAGTGATTCTAATTTATTATTTTTCTTTAGATGCAATTGTAATGAATATCGACGTACAGAGCCCGTATTTAAAGCTGCTGATTTACCATAATTATATGGCTTATAACAATGAATTAATTTATTTTTGAATGAAGATTTTCGAAGAATTTTCGGATAATCACAAATACTGTTACTATTGTTGCAGGTATCGATTACCGTTGTTGTTGTAGTCGCTGGTATTGGTGAATCACATGATGATAATGATTGTTGATCACATGATTCCGATAATGATGATAATGTAGCCGAAAATGATGATGAAAATGATGATGCAAACGATATTGAATTAACATTGTTTGTTGATGATGATGATGTTGATGAATAAATATTGTTGGCCGATGATATGCCCGATGATGTTGTCGCCGATGATGATGACGACGATAATGATGATGATGAAGAAGAATTCGATGTTGTACGTCGTAATCGATTGACAAGATTGTTATTATTGTTACTACTATTTTTTCGACTAAACCATTGTTGTCGCAGTACATGATGACGACGATTTAAATGACCAAGATGATGATGTTGAAGATGTTGAAGATGAGAAGGTATAATATCTCTCATCGATGTTGTTGAATCATCAAAAGAATCATCTTCATATGTTGAATCTGTACGTGTTAATTTTCGCATCGATGTTGGTGTTGTTTGATTCCATAATTTCATTGTAGCCGAATTTGATGATTCAAATAATGATTGCAACGAAGATGGCTGCGACGGTGGTGGTGGTGGAGTAGGCGATGATTTCGAATTGTTGTTCATAATCTCGTTAATGATGATGATGAAATACGTTAACTAATTTGAAAATTTCAAATTAAACAAAACAAAATAAAAAATAAAAGGTGATTTGAAGGAAAACTTACCGGAAAGAGATCTTTGTTTTTGTTTTGTTAGTAAAGCTTTTTTTTGGTTTCTTTTTTCTTCGAATATTTTTTTTCCTATTAGCTTGTTTAGTTGTTGTTGCTGTTATAAATTTGTTACCACTTCATAATAAAAATTTTTAGAAAAATGATTCAACAAAAATAGTAACTGTATTTGGTCCAACAACAACAAAAATTATGGATCACTATTTTGTGTCAATAACAAACAAAAACAAAAAAAGAAAAGGAAAAAAAATTCTGTATGTTTATGGCAGTTGACATTTAACGATCGACAGCCAAAACACACACACACACACTCATCAAATAATAACAACAACTTGAGCGCCACTACTGCCATTTGAACAGACAAATACAAACACATACACATTCGAATACAGTGATGTTTCGCCTTATATATGCGATGATATGATTGTTTTTCATTCATAAATCGAAATTTTACTGTAGTTTTTTTGAACAACGTTATAATACCGGGTGTATTATTTGATCAAAAATGGTTGCCCTTTATAATCATCAAAATCGCCAATAATGCATTATATGAATCGTAAGCAAAAGTATCGCCCTGTTTGCGTCTTTTTTTCAAGAATATATTCTTCATTCATTCATTCATGAATGCTGCTAGCATTTTGTTTTCCAGCTACTGCTATTCCAAAAAAATGACATTTTGGATAATTTTTTTTTTCGGGATAAAGCATGGTTGATTGACGCCTTACCACCTACGCACATGCTCGGAAAATATTCTTAAAATTTGCAAAGAAATTATGGTTCCAGATTCGTTTTTTGCAATGATTTTGATTCTGATTTTGTTGCATTTGAAGAATTGAACCGGGAAATCAATTAAATATACTGTGTATTTTTTTTGGTTTTCTTTTTTAAATCCATGTTTTACAAGAAAAGATTATCATTTTATTCGGGAAAAAATTGGTTTAAAGGGAATTACCGTGATGAAAGTCTTGGATTTTTTTTTGTTGAAATTATTGATAATTTCATATTCCGAACAACAGATGACGTTAATGTAATTGTTCGAAATTTATTGCTCGATTGTAGAACATGTGCTGCCATCGTTTGTTAAGTGAAAATGATTTCATTGAATCACGTGACGTCCTGTTCGAATCGTTATAAAGAATTTCCTTTTAGGTTAATCGCTTTTTTGCACTGTGAATCTATTGACGATTTACAAATCAAAAATAAAAAAAAACATTAACCAAAATTTATTTTTGATTCTTTTTCGATTTGCAATGATAAAAAGCAGAGATATCATCATCATCATCATCAAACAACGAAGAATCCCTGCTGTAATTGGCATTTAACTGCTGTGTAATAACATTTGCAATCAATAATTTTTTTGCAACGTCAGTCAAAAAAAAAAAGAAAAAGAAAAGAAAAGAAAATTTAAATTCATTTTGAAATCTAATTTCCATATATCAAGAATTGCTTATCATAATGATGATTCTAAAATCAACAATAAACATTGATGGATTTAAATGAATGAATGAATGAATATTTAGTTTATTTAAAAACAACAACAGCAAACATAAAAGTAAAGAAAGGATATGGAATTAACAACAACAATTAGAAAGAGTTTTTTTTCCTGATGCGTAAATGAAAATGGAAATTGGGAGGAAAGAGTGCGAAATAGAGAGAGATTTAGTTGTATAAACAAAACATTGCATTACAAATAATCAAAGCATGATGTGATCTATTTTTTTCCTTTACTTCTGGTGTGAATGTGTGCGTATGTAATGTTTGTTTTTACTGAAAAAAAATTAAAGTCTCTGTGTTTATGTGTGTGCGAAAGAAAATGAATAAATCTACCCAGAAAAAAAAATAAAAGATGAAGAAAGATTATTCAACAAACAAAAAACGAAAAAACGAAAAAAAATCTGGTTTTTAATCATCATTAGAAAATCTTCTTTCTTCTTTCTTTCAATGGGATTATATTCAATTTCAGTTTGTTGTTGTTATTGTTATTGTTGTCATTTTCGTTCATTCATTCATCATTTGTTCGTTTATTGATTTCAACAAGAATTTTCCATATACGAAAAAACATTTTTCCTTTTACAAAATGATTATTATAATAATATTCATCATTCTTATTTATTTATTATCTTTTTTTTATTTGAAAAAACTGGAAAAATTTCAATGAAAAAGATAGATTTTTTTTTCATTTTTCCGAGTTTCTATAAAGTTTCCGTAAAATCGGATTTAAAGTTTCATTTTTATTACATTGGGCCCCTATTTTATTTCGAAACGTATCTTTTCTTTTCACTCAAATCTATATGAATTATTGAAAAATAATAATAATAATAATAAAAACCGGGAATATTCGGTTGGTCGGATCGACGGTCGTTTCGTGTTCGGTAATTTTGTTTGATCATAGTTATCATCATCATCGGTTTTGATGGGATGTATGGAGAGGGAATGAAAAAAAAACACAAAATTCTGTTGTGCATGCAAAACACACACACAATGCAATCAAGATTTTCGTTCAGAGAATCGAGCTGAACAAAAATAAAGCAGCAGCAGCATTAATAACCGATGAAAGAAGAAGAATATTCTCTACATTCATTCATTCATTCATTTGTTGTTGGCACATTTTTTTTTTGGCCATGTATACAATAAGCAACAACAGAAACAGTAAAAAAAAGGCTCCCAGATATGAACATCATCATCAAGAAGAAGAGAGAAAAGGAACCACCATCCTTCTTCTTCTGTATAGAAAAAAGCCAACATTAGTCAAACGAATTGTTCATCGGTTCGGTATGGATGCTTATTCAACAACATTGGTAGCATGGATCGACACACACACACACACAGAGATACATTGTTAGAAGATGGATATATTTTTACGCGCCAAACTCATTTTGATTGTGTGGTTTAGTGCAATGTATGTTCATCACCGGTAAATAAAAAAATGAAAAAATTCGTTGAAATATAACCATCATCATCATCATTATCATTGAGAAACATGAGACATTATTTACACAACGACAATAACAATAACAAACAAACAAACATTTCTTTTCAAAGAAGAAAATAAAAAACCATGTTTTTGAATCTATTTTTCAATTCAATGTTGTTCATTTTGTCGAAAAAGCCAACAACAAAATCAACGATCATCATTTCGTTTCTTTCATTGAAAATTCTTCTGAACATCTTGTTATGCACAGAAATGAATGAAAATTCTTTATTCTAATAAAATTCGTGTATCTTTTTTCATTGAATTTTCAAAGAAAATTTCATTTTTTTCAAATGAAAAATATCACCACCATCATCGTTATCGAAATCATATATTCAAAATCTTTCTTTCATTCATTCATTCATTTTGATAATGAATTTTGATGGCAATTTGAGATTCAAAAAGTAAAAGTAATGTAAAAAAAAGTAATTACATTTTAGCTAGACAGTCTTCCATTTTCAAATATGATGCGATGATGATGATAAATATGAAAATAATCAGTAGTTTTCAGTTGCCATAATCATCATCATCATCAAACACACACATCACATTCAAAAACTTTGATAATGACATTACTCTTTAACTGTTTTTTTATCATCATCATCATCATTATCATAATTATAAATGATTCTTTTGTTTCTTCTTCAAATCAAGAATCAAGAATCAAAAATTTTATCCATCATTTAAAATTCATCAGACATTAATTTGACACCTGTTTTACTTTTTTAAAATGATAATTTTCAATTCAAAATTTATTTTCATTTTTCGTTTGTTTTTCGTTTTGAAATAATTCAATTATCAGCCAAATCAACATTATCATCACTCTAGTGGAGAAACTAGTGAATCCCCATAAGAATTCTTCATGTTCTTCTTGTTTGTTTCAATTTTTTTGTATTTCTAAATGAGAAAATTTATTCAATCGATAATCAATGACGATGAAAAAAACTGGAAACAAAAATTCATTTGCCTCGAACAACAACAACAACAACAATAAATTCATGTTAATTTAATGCAAATATCAATTCGACTACACTACAAATTGAATAAATAACAACCAACAAAACATCTCTTAACAAATATCCCATTCAAAAAAAACCTCGACCAAGAAAACTACTGATAATAATAATTCGTTCGTTAAATGGTAAAACAATAACGGAATTTTGGTTTTTTGCTTTGTCCAAGATAACAACAGAAAACGAAATAGCCAAAAGTAAATCATATTTCGAATGTGTTACATTTAAAGTGCTTTCTCTCTTTGCTGCAATCACATTTTGTGTCTGTTTTGTGTTGTGTGTGTGAAATAACAATTGATTTAATCAATCATTACACAAGCACGCACGGACCAAGATAACCAAAATTCTATTAGGAAACAACAAACGATGAACCAAAAAAAATATTAATCCTGATTTAGATGATGCAATCGATCGATCAATTGAGTGGAAATAATAAATCAATATTTAACACATAGACAGACACACACATCATACACACGAAGACAATTTGTCAAAAATGTAAGTTTTTGTTTATGTTGTTAACACTTCATTATCATTTATTGATTATTATCAAACAAAAAAAAAGTGAAAGTAAAAATCCGATTTTCAACGAAACGAAATAAAAAGTTGAGAGTTACCCTTATTACACACACACAGACAAGCAGTGAACAAACAAAACGAAAAGAAGAAAACAATAATCAAATGAAAATACCAGGACGAAAATATTTTTTTGAAAATAGCCATCCATTCAGCCATTTTATTCTTTTGCAACCATTTTTTTGTTTTGCCAGTTCTGCTAGTTCCATTAACAGAATAATAAACATTGTTTTTTGGTAAGTCAATGTAATGACCAGATAATAATTTTCATTTGATATGCATTTGTTCATTTGATCTAACTGGACAATGCAGTTGTTTGTTTTGGATCACATGAGAATAATCATCATCATCAACAACAACAGCAAAGAATAATGTAAAAAAAAGTAATAATGTAGATCAAATGAGAGAAAGAAAGTGAGAAAAAATTGTGATCAGAAAATTCATATTTCGAAAAGAATCCCATAGATATACACAACAGGATTATTTATCATCATCATAATGAAAGAATTTGATGATGATTTACCCAAACAAACAAACAATTCCTATGGAGAATTTTGTCACTTACTTGCTTGCATCTTGATTACAATTGGATTATCGAATACCAACAATCAAAAAAAAAATCATATTTCTATTCTTTCTTCTTGTAATTTTGCATCCAAAAAAAAAATCATTATCATTGTTGTATGGTTACATTACATTTTATTGGTAATGACATGCTAGGCAGACACGAATTTCATTACATTCATTCATTCTCATTATTAAGGTGATATTATGATTTTATGATTTGCAAGATTCATTCATTATTCAAATGGGAAGAAAAAAAATATTATTATATATTTGATGATGGAAAAAATGAGAACCAGAACTAGAGAAAAATTTGCATATATTGATTACATAAAAAACAAAAACAAAAAACATAAAAGTAAAATTCTATGCATAAAATGTATTTAAAAGTAAAATTTACATTCGCATTAGATAAACCAGCAAGAATATCTTAGAATATAAACATGATAACAGCAGCAACAACTAAAGAATCATATATTATATAAGATCTTTCTGTTGTAATTATAATTATTTAGATAGATAATATTCAAATGAATTTCATTATATATAAAAAAATTGTTTTTATTAACATCATAATAATAATGTTACTATTACATTATTCCAATATTCATTATCGTTATTTTTATTCTGGTTCCAGTTTAGTTTTAGTCAAGTTAATTTTGTTTAAAAGTTTTTTATATTTTCATGTTGTTCTTCTTGTTGTTGCTATTGTGTAAAACAGGAGATTTTTTGTTTTGTTTTGTTTTGGATTTTTTCAGTGACTATAAAACAAAAAACAAAAAAAGTGAATGGCCGTGCGTGTACACACACATTAAAAAACAAAACAAGAAATAAAATTTTTTATTTTCTTCTTATTCTTTTTGGCCCATTTTTTTCCACATTACAATTCTTCTTCCAGTTGTTGTAATCATTCATTGGAATCTTTCGAAAGTTTTGTTTTTTTTACTTACCATCATCATCATAATCAGGATTTTGGTTTTCACTAACCCAATGTGTGTGTGTGTGTGTGATTTGCATGCGAGAAAGAAAATAGCACACAAACACAAAAGTTTTTCGTTATATGTAAAACGCCTACACACAATACAATAATTTTTTTCTACAGTAAAAAAAACGATAATTCCTCGATTTAGTTGCAATGATTTCTTTTTCATCATAATCATCATGATTCTCAAGACTGAGCAAAACAGAAAAAAAGCCCAAAAATTAACCGGAAAAAGAATTTATGCAACGAAAAAATATGATTCTGATAAGAAAATTGATCGAATGAATTATAATGATGACGAGGAAGTAAAGAGAGAGAGAAAGAAAAGATATCTCAACAAAACAACTTTTCAGTAGAAAAAAAGAAAAGATATTTTCAACATTCTGGTTTATATCAAAATTTGATTGTTTAATATGACATACGTAATAATGACAGATCCCTTGTTATCATTTTTCAATGTAGCATAACGATTTTTGACACCTGTGATATATGTGTGTGTGTGCCATACACTTAAGAAATCGTCAATCAAAAAATTTTTTTTCCATTTTAAAGATTGTTTTTTTTCTTTCTGATCTGATTTTGTCTATATTAATCAGATCAATCAATTTGAATTAAAATCATAACAAAGGAATTGAATTGAATCGAAAAATGAATGCAAAACATGATTTACAGATAGCGAACAAAAAACAAAATTTTAAAAGAATCAAATTTTTCAAAATAAAGAAAAGCCTCGAAGACAAAAGGCCAGAACAAAAAATTTCCCTAAAACAGAATAATAATAGGATCAACAAAACAAAACAAAATTCAATTCTTTTGATTCTTTTCTTGAATTCAAAAGAAAACAAAATCACTGAATAAAATTCAAACAAACAAACAATCGGAAGAATTGGAATTCACAAATTGAAACTCTCAACCCTTTTTTAAAGAAGAAAAAAAAACACTTTCAAATCTCTCTCTGTGTGTGCGTGGGAGTAAATTGATTTTGCAAAAAAATTTTTTTTTGATAAATTTTTTGATTTGTTGACAAACATTACTGATAAAAACATTGACAGTAATTTTTTCAGAAAATTTTTTTTTCAATTCTGACATATTTTTGACAAAGAATTCCATTGGAGAATTTTCATCATCGGATTATCCGAAGTGAACCCAAAAAAGAAATCCAATTTGATTGATGCAAAAACAACAACAGCAGAAGAAAATCCAAAAATGTCATCATTATTATTTTTTTTGAAAAAAAAAGTTTTCCGCCAAAATGCAGAAACAATTTACATACATAGAGAGCGATCAAAAAGATTCAACTAAAAAGATTTTCATCATTATTATTTTTGTTTCATTATGTTCGTGCGTGTGTGAAGTGTGTGGATTTGACATTTTTCCATTGTAAAATATGCTGCATATATATATTGTTCTCGTGTTTCATTCATTTTGTTGTTTCACATAATCATTTTGGGGCTTTTTTTCCGTCTTTGTTCAATGAGATCACCACACACACACACACATCAATGAATAATTTTATCGTTAAAAAAGCCAAATATGAAGATGATGATGTGAATGAATTATACATGTCAAAACGAAAACAAGAAAAGAAAAAAATGTTTTATCAAACCACAAACACACAAGATGTGAATAATTCTGGTTAGTTTTTTTCGTTGTTTTAAGCCAAACAGTCAGTGTAAGTGTCATCAAAACAATTGATGTTAATTATTTATATGTTTAGCTTCTTGTTTTTGTTTTTTGTTAAATAAACATCGTGCTTGAAACAATACTTGAATTTAAAAAAGAGTGAACATCAGCAAAGAAACTTTTATGATTTGACGTATGACAATGACACACACACAGACACAATAGCTGAGAATATTCTCTCACTCAACTAAGATTCTTTTATATATTTTCATTTCCAAAAGTTTTTAGACTTTTTTTTCTGACGAGATAATGTGTGGCCCATTAAACTATAGCTAAACTGACTGACTGACAATAACAATGTTTTTTTTTTGTTGTTGTTGTTGCTGATGATTTTTCGGGCTAACAAAAGAAAACCAGAAAAAAAGAAAACCAGAAAAAAAATCCATAGCTTATGAAACACAAGTTTTCAACATCTATTAATTCCAATCATTTTTTTCTTCTTCTGCTTGGATCTTTTATCATCCATAGGTTTTTTTCCTCTTCATAAGTTTTTCTTTGGTTGATTTACTAAAGGCAGCAAAACCACACAACAATACTGCTGTTGTAATGTGATACGAAAACAAATGTTTCAAGTTTCAAAAAAAAAAAATTTCAACAATAAGTGTTTTTTTTCGTTGCTTTGATGACACTCATGAAAACATTTATCATTCCTTTGTGTTTGTTTGTTGAGTGGTCAGATTTTTGTTGTTGTTGTTGTTTGGTCATTTTTTTTGGATAACAGGATGGATGATGCGGATGTGAAATGATGCTTAAATATAACCAAAGAGAATGGATTTTCCATTCCTTTTTTAGCATGGTCGATATTGATGAAGAATATTAAAAAAAAATTCATTGAAATGAATAATTCTGTTAGGGTTTTCTTTCTTTCTTTTTTTGTCTAGATATTCTTGAAATGCATTGAAAAAAACATTGATTCTTTCAGATGTTTTACACATGAATGTTTAAAAAAAATGTCATATCGAAAACGAAGACAAAGTATTTATCTACAGGGTAGAAATTCAATTTCAAGAACTAATTCTTATGATGGAACAACAACAACAACGGGAACGGCTACAATTTCATCAGGACCAACAACAGCAGGTGCATTATCAACGACAGGTACAACATTACGTATTAATAGCCATAAAGCATCATTATTGATAGATAATTTTACTGGTCTTCCTTGTCCGGATCTAAAGACGATGAAATATTATAAAGGTTATGAATGGGTTACATTTAAACCAGGTAAATATTTTTAATTTTTGTTGAAAAATTTATTAAATTTTTACAAAAAAAAAATCCAAGTTGAAATATCACCACCAGCATTAACGCCTGGAACACCAAATAAAGATTTTGATATGGATGAACAATCAACAGATGATAAAATGATGCCAATTGTTAATGATGATGATACAAAAGATAAAGAACTTTCAACAACACCTGAAATGATTGATTATCGAATAACAAGATTAAGCAAAGATTGGATTGAAAAGTTTGTTTGTTTTGAATTTGACTATTATTTTTTTTTACTGATGATAATTGAAAAAAAATACTTTGCGACATATAATTGATTTCATAGAGTTGGTATCGATAGAATTGGACAACAAGAAATTCGTGATTGTCTTCGACAACATGTTAAACAAAAACTTTGTCATGGTAGTAAAGCAGCAAAAGAAATGTCAATCATTGATATTCATCATTCAATGATTGTACGTTATTCATTGGAATCTGTTTGTGAACGACGACAATTATGTTGGACATTTGAACCATTTGTTGATCATGATGATGATGATGATGATATTTACAATGGAGAAAATCCAATAGTGCCTTATACATCACATTCACATCAACCAGTTGATGATCCATGGAAGATACCTGTACCACAAGTACGTAATTTAGAAGTGATGATTGAACAAATGACACCATCACCATTACCACCCGTAACACCATCAACACCATTACCACCAATCAAAGAATCAGATGATGATAATATTGATGAAATTGAATCGATTACTGTTGAAATTGAAAAACCACGTACAGTAACATTTCAAACAACAATAATCGATAATAAACATCATCCGTTAAGTCAAGATATTTTGACCAGTAATAAAGAAGAACAAGCAATTCGAAGAAAATTTCAAGAGAAAATATTTCAAGATCAATGTATGGAAGTAACTGTACCAGGTACAGTATCAATACATTCTTGTCATATTTGTGCAGGTGTTGGTCGAAAAAGATGTATAGCCTGTGTTGGTTCTGGATCGGTAAGTTGTCCCACATTTAATTAACCCAATAATCAATTAATTCAATAAAAATAGACAAAATGTGATATTTGTGAAGGAGTCGGTTTTTATGGTATCGATCATAATAAACCAGCTTTTACACGAACATTTTCAGCCAATAGTGATAATAATGATTATTGTTGGCGTTGTCGTGGTCGTGGACGATTAAGATGTGATGGTTGTTCAGGTGTTGGTATGACTGCTTGTATTGGTTGTGCTGGTTCCGGTCAGATTAAATGTTATATTAAAATGATTGTTACATTGTAAGCTTTAACACTTGATGAGGAAAACAAACATTTTTGAAAATGCTACTTTTTTGTTTGTTTGTAATCATCATAGGACAAATCATCATAATACAGTTATAACAAGAGATAAATATTCATGTGAAATTCCATTCGATCAGATTAAATTGACTGATGGTGATTTAGTGTTAGATGAAGATGGTTTAGATGTAAGTATTTGTATTAGATTCATTATTACTGATAAATTGAAAAAAAAAACATTAATGACAATAATAATATCTACATAGCTACATCCATCATCATTATCATTATTTCATAATGATCTCATCAATGAACAAAGTGAACGTTTAATTCGTTTACATCGTCGTAAATATCTTGGAAATAGTCGATTAATATGGCAGGTTTGTTTGTATTTATTGTTTTTGTATGATCACTAACTAATGTCTTATTGTTTTTTTTTCAACAAAAAAAAAATAGAGACATCGAATCAAAGTATTACCCGTATGTCGTGTACATAGTTCATGGCGTGGAAATCGTTTTCGATTCTATGTTTTTGGTCGAAAACAACAACGTCGTTGTTTTACTATTGATTATCCACAACGTTGTTTTTGTATACCATGTTGTTGTTTTTGTTGTTGTCAAACTTGTCAATCACCATGTCGTATTGCATAAGCAAACAAACCAAACAAACGAAAAAAACATTTTCAAAATAAAATTTTTTCCGTTATTTTGAATTTACCTGTTGAACTCATTTACCTGCTGCCATCTGTTGATAACAAATCTTATTAATGAAAGTTTTGAGAAACAAAAAAAATGTTTATTAAATGAAACAAAAAAAAAGATTATATCATTATACAGCAAAATTGTGATGAAAAAATCAATCAATAATAATAATTCCTAAACGGTAAAAAAATCTTATAAGGAACAAAAAAAATGACGACAAAAGTCGTTAACGCTCAACAAATTGTAGAACGGTTGAAAAATGGGTTGTTGGGTGAACGAAAAATAAAAATAAAAATAACAAGAAAAACAGAAGAAATTTTCAAAAGTAAAATGTATGCAGAGGCAGTATGTAGAAAAAAATTAGGTTCAAAGTTAAAAAAATGGATCCATGATTCTTGTGGATAAATTATTGTACAATAAAAAAAGAAAGATAAAACTGATCCAAGCAGTTTATCATTCGACGATTGCGGTGAAAAATAAAACGACCGTAGAAATCGATAAAATGTTTCTATTCCATCATTTGATTCTTATTATTCATTCATTCATCCCAGGCACAATAATAATCATCATTACGTGATGAACGATAAATATATGGTGTCATTGTTGATTGTTGTTTTGGCATACCCACACCACCACCACCACCACCGTTATGATGATTATGATGTTGATGATTATTTTTTCCATTATGTTGATATGGATATTGAGTATATGGATAATGAGAATTACCATTATTTCCAACAATACCACCATATTTATTATTTAAATCATAACGTGTTGAAGCCATACCGATTCTTGTACTACCATATGTTGAATCACCACTACCATTACCATATGAATTAAATGAATCATCACCATTTGGTCCACCACCATTTTCACTTGATGCAGTATATGGATCAGATTCACCTGAACAAAAACCCAAAAAAACAAAACAAATTTATTATTATTATTTGTTTTTCATTCATTTGTCAAACAAAAAACTAAATAAAATAAAATAAAATTTCATAAATATCAATGCTCCAGGGATAATTTGGATGAACAAAATCCAAAGCAAAGCAATCAATTTTGATCAATCGAAAGAAATTTGATCGTGACTTTGAATATTGATTGATTGATCAAAATTATCATTATTATCATTCAGTGAGAGAAAGTGACCATTGTTATTACACAATGACATAATAATGATTATAATGATCCTGATGATGAAAATAAAATCTTTCCAAGGTTATTTTCAACAACAACAACAAACATAACGTAAATAAATAAATAAATATAGATCAAGATAGTTTGAGAATGATGAAAAAAAAGAAAGAATGATAATCATACAATACTATCGATTGTGTCGACCATCAATCAATCAATCAATCAATCGATTTTTTGGCTATATCATTTTTTTCTTTTTTTGTGAAATATTTGACATTCGAAAATCAGATTGGGCCTTTTTCATTCATTCATTGAAGATCAAAGACCAGAATAATTTTCTTTCAACAAAAAAGAATGAATGGATGAATAGAAAATCAATGGATTGTGTTTATCTATTATTTACCTTTATTGATCAATCAAATCGATCAATCAATCACTCAATCAATAATCAAATCTAATTGATTCAAATGGCAATTTAATCGTTTTCTGTTGTTGTTGCTTATTATCTTATATATTTTGGGTAACTTTGATTGATCGAAAAGTAAACAAACAAACAACGAAAACGACAACAACGAATATACCTGAAGCCTTAATAATCATTTAGTTTAAATTGGGCAATTTTTGGATAATGAAAATAATGTCAAGAAAAATCGAAAAGAAAAGAAAACAAAACAATAGAAATTGATATTCATCATCATGATGATTTTTAATGATGATTTATTTCTTCCTTGAATGATTGATTGATTGATTGATTGATCAATGGGTTAAATATTGATACTATTCTAAGGTAAAGATAGAGATTTGTCTATGTGATCATCATTATTGACATGATTGTTTTGTTGTTTTTGATAATGGTGATATATTGTCTTATTTTTCATTAATAGCTTTTAGGTAAAAAACTATCAAGTCAATTTTTAATGCCTGAATAAGTTTTCTAATCAATCATGATTGAAATAAGCATTTAGGATTAATCCGACCAATTATATCATTGATTGTCTCGCTATGCATACCTAATGAACCATAATAGGATTGATAAGAAGCGGTACGTGAATGTATAATATTTGGTGATTTTAGATATGAATTTAAAAATCCACTAGTCGGTACTTTTCTTGAATGAAAATCTGATTGATTATAAGCTGATTTGAATGGTATTGTCATGTTTGTTGTTGCCATCAATGATGATGATGATACATGATTGTTGTTGTTGTTGTTGTTGGAAGATTTCTTGGCAAAATTCGGCACACGAGCACTAAATCCACTATAATAGGGATCATCTGCGTTTAACAACAAAAGAAAAAAGTTGATTTATTAATTAAATGATACAATAACAGTGAGAAAGTAAACGAACCAAAAGTACGTGGATTATTATTCAAAGGCCTTATTGAATATTGATTTTCATCATCTTGATCTTTAGGCAATTGATTTTTTGTTGAAGATTTTTTCGTTGATGAAAGTAATAAACGTGATTTATTTTTTCTTTCAAAATCTCTTGGTGGAAGTTTTGGTGGTTTTGGATCATTATTTTTTGAATTATGATTATTGCTACCATTCGATGATAATGGTGGTTGTAATAATGATGAAGATACTGTACTAACATAATGTCCAGATGATCTTGATCCACCTGATGAACCGGAACTATTATTACCGGGTAATGTATATGGATCTTCTTCTTGAATGGCAGCTTTTTGTCGATCAAACAATGTAACCAAATTTGGTACGGATTGACGTTTCGAAATTGCTGAAAGAATTAAAATGGTAAATGACAAATAAAAACCAAAAATTAACGAAATTAACAAGCGATTATTGCCATACCTGGTGGTAATTTAGATTTGAGCATATCCATTGCAACAATATTGATAACCATAATCCAAACCGGTAGATCAAGTAAATCTGGTGCATCTTTTACAAAACTTATACAACAAATACATTGATTTTCTAATTTACGACGATCCGGATATGCACGACGTAATTCACGATTCATATTTTGTTGAAACCTTTTCATATCAAATAATCGTACAGCTTTATTCAATTCTAATAAACCATTATTACGAATGATTTCCATTGAAACTGATGATTCTTGTTGTGTTGTTGATTGTGAATCATTTCCATTTCCATTTAAATTATTTAAATTATTATTATTTGTATTACCGGTTTGCCATCCTTTAACATAAACATTTGATTTTGCTAAACGTTTGATTAGAATATTACCATCATCATCCATACGAATTTTAACGCCCTACATTGATGATAAAATGATAAATTTAAAAGAATTATATAAGTAAATCTTTCATCAAAGTATCGATTATTTTTTGGCCATCATCATCCTCATCCTCATCATTATTATTATCATTATCATTGAACATTTGCACATGGCCACATCGAAACGAAACAATCGATTCCAATTCGATTGTCGATTGTTTTGTCGAAATGACCAAAAATGTTCGATTGTATTCGAATAACAACAGTTACACAACATCGAATGAGAGAAAAAGAAAAAGAAAAATGAATGAAATGAAACAGAATGACCTGAATGAATAAATAAAGTTTTTTTCGTTGTTAAAATGAAAAAAAACAGTAGATAAATTAATGGTTATAGATTTTTGAATATGAAAAAGAAGACTGCTGCTGCTGTTTTGGATCATCTGAATGTCTATTTTTTATTTGAACAAAAAAAAGTTGTTCAACAACAACAATCCAGAACGAAAACAACTAATCAATCAATCAATCAATGAGTTTAATTGTAAGTGTTTTTTTTATCCTTTTTTTTCTTCTTTCTCAAAATGATTGATGATGATGACCATATTCTGTTTGATTTTTTTTTTTGTTGAATAAAATATAGGGTGGTTTTTGTTTTCGTTGTTATACTTACATCACCAATATGATGTTTAATAATATCAGTTTTTTGATCACGTAATGGATTATCAAAACCATTTAAACCGATACGATAACCATCAAAACCATCATCAGTACCATTTATTGTTAAAATTGGTGCACGTGCATATGCTTTAGCAACACGACGATTACGTTCCATACAGATTAATTTGGCCCATATTTCATCATCGATTTGTTCCCATTTATTTAATATTTCTAATATATGATCCTGAGAAAAGAAAAAAAACAATGTTAAAAATATTTCAGTTAAAATCTAAATTAGAAAATATGAAGAAAAGAAAGAGAAAGAAAAACATTGAAAAGATATTAATCAAGAAACAACAACCGACCAAAATGGCAAAAGTTTTCGACAATAACAATGATAATCAATGATAATGATTACAACAAACAAAACAAATTTTGTAACATTGTCATCATCCATATTTAAAATACAGGATTTATTTTTACAGACAAACTTCAGAACAACAACAAAACAAAAAAATCATTGGGGTATTATGCTGATGAAGATGATGATTATCAAATGAAACAAAGAAAAAACTCTTAGTTATGCTTATGAGCAAATTGAAACATTTTTTTTAATTTTCTTTACTTTGTTTTCTTTAGCAATTAACAAACAAACAGGAAAAAATTGCATAATAATGAAAAAATAAAGGATTAGAAAAGGAACAATTTCAGACAAAAATAGAATCAAAATTGTCAAATGTAGGAAAATTCATTCATTCAAACGGATTTTGTTTTTGTTATTTTTTTGTTTTGTTTCGTTTTGTTGAATTTTTTTTCTTCTCGAGAATATAAAAGAATTGCAAATCAAACCAAACAGAACAAAACAAACAGACAAACAATGCACGAAATACAATTGAAATTTTTTTTTCTCCGTTGATTAAATCAAAAAAATCGGATGATGATGGTCAGTCAGTGTGTGAATGAATGGAAATCGGGAAAGCAAAGTAAAGCAATCCAAATAATGATCCATTCATTTTTTCCTTTTGAGAATTGAATTTTTCGTTATTGTTTTCGGTGAATTACGACATTCATTTTCAACGTAATTTCCATTAATAACAATGAGGAAAAACGGATTCGGTAACAGAAAAAATGTCGCATAATGATGATGATGATTTGAATTCATTTTTTTTTTCATTGCCAAACTAACCAAACAAACAAACCAAAAACCGATTCATTCATCAAGTGAAAAAGCTAAATTTAATTTTTTTTCATCTAATAATGATGGTCGACAATCCAATGATGAATCATAAGAACAATAGAAAATTGTTGTATGCAGAGAAAGTCGTGAGCGATATTCAAAAAAGTGATCCTTTTTTTCTGCTGAATGCTGTGGACATTGGTCAAACACACACATTCAGTCTTTTATTATTATTTCGCATAGAGAGAATGCATATTGGATTTGAAGATTAGACAATCAAATTGTCAAATAATAATAATAATAATAATGTATCATCCTGATGATCATCATCATCCAAATGGCAATGAATGACCATTGAATTTGAAACAACGAAATGACCATTGAGGATTTATGGCAACAACAACAACAACAAAAAACACTCATTCATTCTTCTGTGTTCAAACATTCAAACTGTTTTTTTTTCAATATATTTTTAGGATTCGACTTTTTTTTTGAATTTGAAACAAAATGTTTCTCAAAATAGATAAACAAACAAACAAACAACACGCAAATAAACATTTTAACAACAACAACAAGAAACATTTGCTTAACATTTTGGATTAGATTAGTATTTGCTTTTCGGTAGTCAATGTTGATGAACCAAAAATAAGATTTGAAATTCGTGTATGCCAGGATTATGGTGAAAACAAAAAAAAATATTGCATAACATCAAAATGGTCATCATTATCAAGTTAAAACAACAGCGGTGGTATTATCCATATGGTGTGGTGTCACATATGTATGTATGTAATCATCATCATTATTATTATGTTCATCATCAGCATAATGAATTGTTTTTTCATTACATCAAAAAGTTTCCAAGGATAAAAATGAATATCAAATGAGATTAATGAATGAATGAATGAAAACGTGATTCATTTTTTTTTTTGAAAAAAATATCGGATGAAATGTAAAACACGTTATTTGTCAATCTTTTTTTCTTTTCTTGGTGGTGACATTGGTGATTCAAAAAAACTTGTTTTTTGTTATAAATTTTTCAATAAGTTTGGCGGTCAATCTAGCTTAAATTTGGCTTTGAAGGAAAGCGTTGGGCACTATACCGATTTGTATCACTTTTTCTCAAAAAAAAATGATAAATGTCTATGTGAATTTTATTGTTTTTTTTATTTGTCGAAAAACCGGTACGATAGAAAATCATCATCGATGATTTGATTGTTTTTCTTCATGATGATGATGATAATAATAACAGTAATAATGGCGATTTGTTGTTGTTGATGTCGAACTATTTTGGCCATCAACAACAACAACAAAAAATTATGATCATTTTGCCGGTGTTGTTGTTGAATCATAAAACAACGACAACAACAACCATTCTTTGTTTATTATTATCATTTTCACTGTTATTATTATTTTGTTTATTTCTTCGAATTTGACTGGTCAAGCATTGGGCAATTTCTGTTTGACCTCGATTTTGGCCATTTGTTTTTGTTTGTGTGTGTGTGTGTTAACACACAATAATGATTTTCAATGAAGCTTCGAAAAAAAAAATTTTGATCGATTAATTTCTCATTCCTGTATGTTTTTTGACTGTCCATTATAATTTCATTTCATTTTTCTTGTTGTTTGTTTGTTGTCTAATTTGTAATTTCAACAAACTTGTTGTTGTTGTTAGACAAGAAGAAATAAACGATGTAGTAACAACAACAACAAGTAATTTAATTATCAATTCGACTGTTTTTTTAAAGAAAAAAAAAATTGAATAAATAACGGTTTCGTGTATTTATGTAATGTGTTTGTTATGTAATCAAACACACACATACGAACAAACATTGGATAATCATCAATTGAATAAAATAACGATTTAAAACAGAAAAATTCAAATTTCTAGAGAGAGCAAAGGGTTATGTTTGATATATAGGAATCGACAATGATGACACAGTGATAATAAATTGTTTTTGTAAAAAAACTTTCTAATTATAAAGATTTTTGTTTTGTATTTTAAGCCAATATTGATGATGATGATTATGATTGACATGGAAAGGAAGCCAAGCCATCCATTGTCATATTAGAATCATTATCATTTTTTCAATGAAATAAACAACGACAACAAGTCATGCAACAATTGTCGGATCATTTTTTCTGTTGAAAAAAATCCCCCTTTGAATCAACTTGAATCAACCTAAAACACAACCAGCCAAACAAACAAACAACCAAATAAATAAATAAACAACGACCATTCAAGATAATCATACCATAATTATATACATCAAGATGATGATGATGATGACACACACACGATACCAATTTGTGATTTTCGTAGAATAACAAGCAAATAACAGAAAGGAGAAAAACGACAAAAAAAATTCAAAAAATAATTGAAAAATTTCAATATTTTTTCCCCTAATGAATAGTTTTTGTTTTCCATATTTATCCATATTATCATTAAGAAGGAATTATTCGAGGTTAAAGATTGTACCGGATCAGATGTTTTATTGACGATGATGACAATAGGAGAAAAGAAATCCTAAAAATGGCATTGGAAACCGAGATATGCTCTAGCATTGTGTAAATGAAATGAACATATTATATAATGATAATGATAATAATAAAACAACAACAAAGTGTATTGCACCATTGATTGTGGTAATTATAATTATCTTTTCTTCAAAATGATGATGATGAGAATAGCTCATGCGAACAATTTTTGTTGTTGCTGCTTTAGTTGTTGTTGTTCTGTCGTTTATAATTCATCAAAAAACAACAACAACAACAAATTTCTAAATGTGGACAATAAAAAATTGTCAAAACATTTCAGTCATGTTACGTAATCATCATCATAATGATGATGATTCAAGAAAGAAGAATCACTACTAGAAAAACAATGGTCTTCAACTTGAATTTGTTGATAAGATCGAATCGATTGATGGTCAAGATTAACCGATGAAAAAAAAATCGAACCAAACCTTTTTTCTTCATTCATTCATTCGAGATTCGATCAATCATCAAAAAAAAAAAACGGTTAAAACAATCAACACATTTGTCCAGGTAAAAAAGGTAAACCCTTGACACCTGTAGACACATATCTATTGATAACATATCATAGATCATATCATAAAACGATCAATCAATCGATCAATAAATTTATCGATTGACTATAGGTATTTTTGGCAAGTAAAAATGATGATGATTGACAGCTTTAAACATCACTTAAGGGATGTGATATCTTTGTTTTTGAATCTTTTTTTTTTCTGTGGAAAACAAAAAATCAAAACAAAAGGATATAAATGATGAAGCCATCATCATTATCGAAAGAGAGAGAGGAAAAAAACGGTTATCAATACGAAAATGATATTTATTTTTGGCCAATCATTAATCAAAACAAACAAAACGAGAACAAAACGAAAAAAAATCTCGAAATTCATAGGATTTGATCAGAGATTGTTTTGAAAATCAAAATCAAATGACAGAATCGAAAAAAATGATAAAATTAGCATCATTCAGATTGAGATCAAATATCCCGGAAAACCATAAACAAACATTGAATGTATCGAATGTTCAAGTTGAAAATTTTTTTCAAAAAAAAAAATTCAAAATACACATTCTCAAGTGTCAGTCTTTTTTTTCTTTGCGTAGGAAGATGATAATGGTGGCCTGATGATGATGATGATAATTTTCTATATTTTTTGCCTTCAAAATTTTGTTGAACAACGAACAACAATAAAAAACACTTGTCATCACCATTATGATCCAGGCAGGCAAACAAGCAAAAGAACGAAAAAAATAACAAGAACAGCATTCATTCATTTCATTCGAAAGACGACCACACATTATTCTTGAACAACAACAACAACAACAAAGATAACAAGGCATATTGAACAAAACAAAAAGTTTTTTTCTCCATTGATTCAAAACATCAGCTGAATCAGTCGATGAACAAATGATGGCTTCAGGGCCAACAAGATCATCATCATCGTCGTATTCTATTTTATCAATGAAAGATGTTTAGCAAAGCAAACTTTTTCTCTGCAAAAAAATGAAAGAAAGAGTTATATACCAATATAGCACAGAGCAATTTAACAATAAAATTAAGTTAATTTTCCGCCCAAACAAAACATCATCTTCAATGATGATCATCATCATCGAAAATTGATCGGAAAAAAATGATGGAAAATTTCGAAATTTCGAAAAAAATGGAATAGTTTTTGCTGCTGAAATTGAAAAACATTTGAATCAATTTCACTAATCAAAAATCTAAATCAAACACACGCACACAATTAAAAACAATGAAAATATTTTCGTTCTTCTTTTGATTAGAATCTGTTTTGGCAAGAAAAACGAACAAAAAAACCTTGATCCAAAACACAAACAACAAAATCAACTGACGACTATTTGCACTTATTCTCGATCGTTTCAAAAAGGATTATTGATTTTTTTTGAATTCGCTTTTGGCAAATGCAAATTTTTTTGTTTTAAAGCCAAAAAACAAGGTCATAAATCACAAAACTTAATGACAAAAACAAAACAAATTAACCAACCGACCGACCAATATATCAAATATCACATATAATGATGATTTAGACATTTGTTTTGTTTGTGAGAAAAAATATCCACCAAACCAAACCTATTCGTAAAAAAATCCAATCATAATTAAGTTCAGTATTTTGCTGTGTGTATAGTGTATGGCGGGAAAAAATTCAAATCATTTTCAAATATTTCTCAGGTGCGTATTTCTGTGTTTGGTTTTCTTTTTGTCCGAAAAACAAAAAATGTTATATAATTGAAGAAGAAGAATATGTAAAACACAATTGAAACCAACCAACAACAAATAAATAATGTTGTTAATGTTTTATTGTGGTCACTCCTAATCATAATGATCATTATCATCATAGTAATGATAATGATGATGATAATGATAATTGATGTTTTGTTTGTTTGTTCGTTCAGTAAGTTCATGGGAAAAAGTTTGCGTTTCATTCAATTTTCAATCATTAAACCATAACGAACCAAACAGCAACGAAAACATCATTATTATCATGAATGAATGAAAATGATCTTGATCTTTGTTATAATCTCTATGATGATAATGGTGGATGACCATTATCATTTTGGGAATTTTTTCTGTTTTCGTTTCTGGAACAATGAATAATCATTGTGCGAACAAACAGAAAAAAAGTGTTTGCGAAATGAAATGAATATTTAAAAAAACAGGTTCCAGGATCAAAAAGTGTTTTATTGGATGAATGTTTATTGCCAATTTGTGGATGGATGGATGGATGCTATGTGAAAGAAAATGAAAATGACCATGAAAAGAAAAGAAGAAAAAACAGCACAGAATGGCCCATTGAACAAATGACAAATATTGTTCCTGTTAACAACAACAATTTGTTGTTGTTGTTGAAGATTTTGACCACAACAACAACAACAAAAGTGTGGTCAAATCATAAATTGGGAGATTATATTTCGCCAAACGAAAAAATCCGACACATTCAACAACGAATCATTCATCATTCATGTTTTCTTTCTTTTTGCCTTCTTCTTCGTCGTCTTAACGGATAATTTTAGACCGATCAAATCGATTTACATTTGAATTATTCATATGCATTTTTTGCATTCATTTTTTTCTCGCATAACAAAAACGATATCCATCCATTCAATTCGACCATCCATTCATTTTTCTCCCAAATCTATGGGCGATTGCAAAGGAAAGAAATAAAATCGAAAAAATCCCGCTTCGATCGGGTTACTTTTGAACAGAAATGGAAAAAAAGTTTCCTCAAAACCATTATTAGATTCAAACAAGGGAAAACAAAAACCAAAAACCGACTATCCCAGTTTTTTGTTGGCAGATTTCTTCATTATTATTTTACCAAAAAATCGAAAAAATTGTAAATTTCGATTATCGATGGTCATATTTGAAAGATAGAAAATGAATGCATCGGTTTTTTTTCGGAAAATCCGTAACCGAATCAAAGCCAAAGATAAATCGTGATCATCCACCACAAAAACACGGTAATCATTAAGCTCATCGAATGGATTCGAATTGAATGTGTTTTTTTTCCGGTCAAACAAAATACATTTGAAAAGAAAAACGAATAATGAATAAATTCGGATCCGACAAAATTTCGCAAATAAATGATGATCATCCAATTCATTTGATGACCACATCATATATTATCATTTATATGGGGATAATGAACAAACTTTTCTTTACATTCGCGTGTTTTTATATATTAAAACATCATCAATGAGAATTAAGACGAAAAAAGCAGTAAAGATTATCTTATCTTTCGTAAACATTAGAAACATGTTAAGGATGGATTTTTTTTCTTTTTTCTTCTTCTTCTTTGGATAATTTCAATAAATTATCCAAAAAAAACCACAGACCACAAACATTATTGATTCAATTTCATTAGTCAATGAACGGGTTGAATATATTTAGCTTCGTTTTTCATCAAAAACAAACTCTATGGCCATTTTGCTTGAAAAAAAAGGCCAAATGATAATGATGATGATGATGAATATATTATAATGTTAATTGTTTTGCCTTTCATTTTGTTGTTGTTGAAATTTTCAAAAAAAAAATTAATTTCATCAAAACATAGCATTAAAACATAGGATTGAAAATGTGAAAATCATGTAAATTGTAACGTTCAACAAATAAAAAATAAATAAAGAAAATTATCATCATTTGGATCCAAATGATAATGATGGTCATCATCATTACTATATGCTAATAATGGATGATTATGGCCAGTCAATTCAGCAACTTGTCGATAATAAATATTATTTGAAATTTCCGATTGGATCATCATTCATCAATAACATTGAATCAAAAATTTTTGAAAATTCAATAAAACATCTGTAAAACATCATACTGATGAAATGTATACATTGAAATTTTGAAAAATTAAAATTCAATTTTAAAATTTTTCATTTTGAAAATGAATCTACATTCTTCCAATGAATGAATGAAAGACCATGTTGTTGTTGTTGTTGTTGTTTAGAGGTTAAACATATTTATATTAATCTATAATTCAAGTCACGATTCACCGATATACATTTCATCATCATTGATGTTTATTGTTTCTCTTCTGTTCTTCTGTGTTCCATTATCTTGTTGTTGTTGTCGATGATAATGATAATAACAGATTAAAATGACATTCAAAATAACAGTAACAACAACAACAACAATCTTTTTTTGTTTTTTTTATTAGGTTAACACAAATATAATTATGAAACAATTTCATTTTGGATCAGAAATGTGTTAATGTTTGCTTTTTTCGAATGTTAAACGATAATTAGATTAAAAAAAACTAAAATTGAATTTTTGTAAAATTCAATTTTCAAAAGAGAGAGTTTGTAAGTTTAATCTGGTTTATAAGTGGAAAAAAAATTCTGGCGAAGAAAAGTTCAATTTTTTCAATCAATCAAAGTTTCAATATTCAGAAAAAAAGCAAATATGGATAGTCAACAGTCAATATCATCAAAAAGTCAATTATCAACATCAAAAAGTCAGCTACCATTATCAAAAAGTCAATTATCATCAACAACATTATCCCGACAACAAATGGTACCATCATCATCATCAATGAATTTTAATCCAAATAATCAACAACGACAAATACGACGATCAAAATTTTTTCCATTATCAAGAATACGGTATTTTTTGGAAAATTATGCACATTGTAAAACAATATCCAATTCAGCATCAATGGGTTGTGCAATTGTTATTGAAATTGCATTAACAGAATTATTACAACTGGCTACGGAAGCAGCAAGAAATGAAAATAAACGTCGTGTTGGTAATCGTCATATAATTCTTGCATTACATAATTCATTATGGTTACAAGAATTATTTGGTGGACAAAGTGGTATGTTACAACCACCAACACAAGCTGAACAACAATTATCATCATTATCACGAACAAAAAAAGCAAAACGTTCACGTTCACGTTTACGTTCACGTTCATCTCGTTTGACATCAAATTCTCGTAATCGAATAAGAAAAAAAAGAATATCATCACCAAAACGAAGATTAACTGGATCAAAATTACGTAAAATATCATCGAAACGAAATTTACGTTAAGAACATGCAAAACACCAGTGTTTTTTTTTTGTTCAATGAAAAATTTTTTTCCCTTTTTTAATAATAAACAGAAAACAAAAATTAAATTCATATTTGAAACACGAAGCAAAGTGAAATGGGAAATTTCTTCCAAACAAAATCATTATAATGATTTTATCAAAGTGAAAATGGTTCCAATAAGAAAAATGAAAAGCTGATTTTAATAAGAAAAAAAGGCTGATGATGATAATGATGTTTTATGAATGGAACACATTGAATATGTGATTGTCCTAAAGGCGTCTAATTGATTTTTAATGTAAATTTTATTCAATTTTTGTTTCATGAATTTGTGTTTGTGTGACTATGATGACCTTTCACACGCACAAACACATTTTTTCAATCGTTGCAACAAAAAAATTATCCAATCTTAGGAAAAATGATAAAAACTTCAGAAAAGAAAATAAATTATAAATCATTTTTGGTTAATTGAAAAGATAGGAATATCAACATGCAAATTAGTCAGAAAATAAAACAATCAAACAATATTATCAACCGGAAAAAATTACCCAGAATTTTTTTTTCCAAAGAAATCTAAAAATGATCAGCAAAAAATTTGTTTGTTTGTTTTTGTTTCAGTTCAGTTTTTCTTGTTGTTGTTGCTGCACATATGTAAAAATAGCATCCGAATAATGATCATTTACTTGTTTGTTTGTACGCTGAAAAGCATCATTGTTTATGCAAAAAACAAACAAAACAAGTGATGTAATTACCATGTAATTATTTTGTCCGCAAATCAAACAAAGAATCATCAAAATGTAATAATAAAAATAAGTTTCTATAAATTTTTTTTTTGGTTTGATTTTTCAGGCTGATTTGTTGTGGGAAAAACGAACAAACAAACAAATATCATTTTGTAATTTTCCACCATTTCCTCAAGTTTGATAGAAAGAAAAAATGTATCCCAAAAATGACATTTACAAGGAAATATCACCAACATCAAACAAAAGATAATAGGATTTTGTCGGGGGGAGGAGAAGAAACCTGTGTGACATGAATGTAGAAAATGAGATAACATCGATCTTTTCAAGAAAAAGAAATTTTTTTGATATAAAAGAAAAAAATGATTAATGAGAGATCCATTGTGGAAAAATAGTGGACAACAAATATATATTCTTCATGACAAACATACATAAATCAAGTGTGCAGAGCAATTCAATTCAATCACAAAATCTAGATAAAAAACAGATGATGATTATGAGACATTTTTGATGGAAACAAAGTCAAACTAAAAACTGAACTGAATTCTCGTGATGCACGAGTTCTGTTCTGTTTTGTTTTGGTGAGAAAAAAAAGTTCCTGCTTTTTAGCAGAAAAAAAACAAATTGATCAATCGGATAATCATCATCATGATGAACATCACACCTACGCATCATAATCATAATTAAAAATCTTACAAAAAACGAAAGCGAAAAAGTGTGAACATCAACAACAACACAGACATTGAACAGCAACAGATGTAAGAATCATTTTGCTAAAAGAATTTTCAGGTAATTCACATTCACATTCAGGGTAATTAGAATGAAAAAAAATTTCCAATTCTCAAAAAAATCCTTCAAATCACAAACACCTGATAAATCCATTCATTCATTCATTAAGTAAATGAACATTATAATTATCATAATCATCATTCCTGGAAATCTAAATCTTTTCTTCATTTATTTATCATCATCAACATCCGTTTGAATGTTGTTTTGGCGAGACCGATTCGATCAATAATATTTTTGTTGCTGTTGTTCCGCCTAATCTTTTTTCTTTTTTCATTCAAAGTTTGTTGTTCAATATAAAATTATCATCACCATCACCATCAAACACCACACATTATTATTATGATGACAAAAGACTCGTGCATTTCGATTTTCTTCTGGCGTGATGTTTTTTTCTTTTTTGGTGTTTTATTTCACCTGCAAAACGAAATGAAAAACGACAAGGCGTTTTGCGCGGCAGTAAGGAACAATAAATAACAACAACAACAGAAATGAAATTTTTCATTTCATTTCTTTTCTTTACTTTTCCTGTTTAGTTTTTTGATTTTTTTGTAAATTTGTTTTGTGACTGTCATCATTATTATCTTGGATTTTTTTTGGGGAAAAAAAGGGTTTGGTGATCAAAAATGTTTTTTCACTGGAAATGGAAGCCATTTTCTTATTTTACTCAAAGGGTTTTTTTCGTTCTTTCCAATTCCGACCGACCGGTCGATCAAATCAACAGGTTTTTTACTTTATTTTGTTATTTTTTTTTTGGGTGAGAAATCGAGATAGAGAGAATTCATTTCTCTCAATCACCTCAATATGATAAAGCTTTCGTTCGTTCGTTAAGTTCGTTAAGTTCGTTCATTCGTTCATTCAATCAATGAGAAACACCTACACCTTTTGATTGGAAAAATATTGAAGAAAAATATATTTTTTGACCTGAAAAAAGGAAAAAATCCAATCTGAATTTCATTATATTTGAACTGATTACACAGACATACAGACAGAAAAACATATGAACCAAAAAATCAAAATTGGAAAGGGGAAAGAAGAAAATAAAAAACATTCGTTGTTCCAGGATACAATTTAATTTTGATTGGTACGATATATGTGTTTGTGTAAGTTGCACGAGTTGTTACCTGAATTTTTTTTTAATTCAACCAAAAAGTTCGTCACACTTGTTTTTTATTTACATGAAACTAATTTTCACATGAAAAAAAAATTGGAAAATCAAATGTTGTTACGTTGACGTTGATGATGAAAAACCATTTAATTTTATTTTTTTTCATCAGAATCGGTTACGGTTGTCATCAATCATTTTGAACAACAAAACGTAACCTGTTACAATTTTTTTTCTTCATATGATTGACAACAAACATTGTTGTTGTTGTTGTCGTTGAATTCAAGACCAACAACAACCATAACATGTCAATAACCATTGTGTATCTAGGTGTGTGTGAAATTATTCATTTCAACACACAGACAAACAGACAGACAGGTGGTGATTGGTAGCAAATATATTTGAATGTGGAAACAAAAAAATTCCTCCAAATAACATCATCTATTTATTTATTTTCGCTTTGAAATTTTTCATACAAGTCAGATCAATAATGAAAATCAATGTCAAAATATTATTATTTCACCTATCGATGACCAGAAGAGAGAGAAAGACTAATGTGTAAAAATAGCCAAGCAAAAGAAAAAATCACACAAGCAAGTGTGAGAAATATAGTGAAATAGAGAAAACAAACAAACAAACATTGAATTTGGCATAGGGCAGGTAAGTAGTGAGAAAAAAAATGAGAACAAACACAAATATCATTGATACATTGAACATCAGGCAGGTTTTTGTTTCATTTTTTCATTCGTTTCATTCGTTAAGCTGATGGAATTTCTAATTACAATATTTGATTTGAAACAACAAGAACAACAAACTGGGGGAAAAAATTTGAAAATGAAAAGAGCAAATTCGAATCACAAATCGACCATTAACCATTAACATTATTTTATCATCAAATTTCAATCAAAAGACCTTGATACTTTTCTTGAATCAAACGTTTATTAACATTTTTAAAAAATGAATTTTTTGGCGGTGGCCAATTATCATGGACAATTATCATTATCGTCATCAATTACACCACCATCTTTATAAATAAATCAACAGCATTCTTCAAAGAAATTAGCCTTGTTTTCTCTGAAAAAAATGAATCGATTTTTGAAAAAAAAGAAAATTTGAAACAATTCAGATCCGCTTGTTTCTTGTTTGTGTGTCTATAGACGCAAATTCCACAAGAAATCGATGCATAAACACACACGTGCAAAGTTGCTGTGCACGTGCAAAGTGTGTTTAAATAGCCTTTTTTTCACATCATTTTCCAATATATATTCATTACAGATTTTCTCTCACAATTTATTTTTTTCGATACACTTTTTTTTGCATTAAAAAAAATTGAATCGACAAGAAAAAAAGGGGAGAAAAATTTCGAGGACAAAATGGAAAACAAGAAAGTCAAGTAAAAGCATTTTTTAATTTCAATTCCAATTTGCAAGCAAAGCGAAGAAAACTTCCTGAAAAATGAAATGATTTGGAAATCCAATTTCAAACTTTTGTTGTCATTTTCATTTGACAATTACATTAATCATTAGTCATTTAATCAGATTTATTTTCCATAAGATTAAATAAGTAACACCCAGGAAGACAACAACAAAAAACGATGCAAAAATTCAATGATAAAATGATCAATTTGTCAACAACAACAACATTCAACATTTCTTTTTTTTACAATCGGAAAAAGAATGGAATGCTGTCCAGATTTTTTTCCCCTATTTAGTCAAAATAGGTGTAGTCTATTTCCACCCCAATATCATTGATCGGATTTTGTTGTTTTTGTTTTTTTCCATTGAATTCAAATTCAGATCAAAAAACAAGACAAAAACAAAAAACAAGGTGGCCAAGGTTTCCAATCATTATTATTCAATCTGTTGTTATTGTCCATATTAATCGATCGATCAATCAATCAATCGATGTAATAAATGATATGACGACCATAATGATTATGTCATTGATCAAAAATTGTCAAATCGAATCCAAAAATTCAAAAAATGAAATTTCTCAAAGGTTAAATGATACAAATCCAATCAATCAATCGAATGAGATTCTCTCGTTTTGATTGATGATTGTCTGGTCAATCTATGGATCATCATTCTGTTATCAGTGAGAAACGGTGGGATAAATTTTATCATCAAAGATGACATCGAATTCAAAAATACAAAAAATGTCATCATCACGCATCACACACTGGCTAGTGTTTTGAGAGAAAGAAACGAAAAAAAAAGATTTAATGATTTTACCGCCGGATAATTACATCACACCATTCATCATCATCAACAACAACAAGAACTTTTTTTTCATATCAAAATCTTCTTGAGATTTAATCCATCAACAACAACAATCCTATCGGATCATTCTGGGGTGAATCAAACATATTTCTCATATGAAAAAATTGAAAAAAATCGTTATTATCAAGAAGATAACACATCATCATTATCAATGTTATAAATATAGAAATTTTTTTCATTTCTAAAGCAATAAAAAAAATGCAATGAATTTTTAATGAAAGTGAAAAAGTCACATAGAAACATGTTACACAAACACTATAGAGTGGAAATAGATCAAATATTCCGAGGCTGAAAATGTCATCAAATCTTTTCTAACTTGAAAGGATTGAATGAAATGGATGTGGCGGAGGTGAAAAAACACTTTCCTCACAACATCAATAATGGACATTGTCCATAAATGGAGAAAAGATTCAATTGAATAAAGCTTATTGTTGAAAGAATTCAAGAAAAAATAGTTGAAACAAAAATTGAAAACAATGTTGATGATGCAAAACAAACAAAACAAGGCGAATACCGCATCAAAAATGTGACAACTTTTCTCCAATTTTTTTTGATAATAAATGGATACAGTAGTTGTTTGTTTGCTGGAGCTGTTGAAGTTTCAAATCATCATCAAACACACCCAATGATAATGATGTTGATGATAATGATAAGGTTAATATAAGGTGTGTGTGTGTGTTTGTGTGTTATAAATATGAATATAAAAACCACCCATAAATTCCTTCAAAATAAGTTCAAATCAAGGGAGAAAATTTGAGTTTGTTTCTGAATGAAAACAATGGCCCAGAAATCTGAATTTGAATCTGATTTGTTTTAAATGCCGCCGGACTTGTTTGTTTGATGGCAAAAAATTCAATGCCAATGGCGAATGATCGTTTTGGAGAAAAAAAAAATGATTTTTTCGATCCATTTTGGAACAATCAATGTTTTTTTTTTGTTGGAACACAACAGATTGGCTACATATTTTTCTTTATTTGCTACAATTTTTTCTGTTTGAAAAGACCCAGATACATTTAAGAAAAAAAAATGATCAATTTTGGACATCGTTGATGATGTTGAAAATCAAATGATTATATGGAAATGTCAATATCAGAAGAAGAAAAAAAACACAAAAATGCCCTGATTTTTTTTGTGTGTAAGTTTTGTTTCTTCAGAAAACGATATACAAAAACACATAGGGCAAACATATATTGCGTAAATTGGAATATGATTTAAGCAAAATTAAAGTTTCAAATTTGGAACAAAAAAAACAAAGAAACAGAAAAAGGGGAGAAATCTTTCTTTTTTGAAAAAAACATTAAATAAGAAAGACAAAGGTGTCAATGGTCCAAATAAGCTAGTTACTTAGTTAGTTTTACTAATGGACTTGGTTGCATTTGGATCAAATTTCAAATTTCCAACAAAAAAAATCAAAGATTTGAAACGAATCGATTTTTTTCTATTTCGATGTTCGACGATATTTACACACACCCAGTCCAAATTGTTCAATTCGATTGATTTATTCATTCGATTCAAATGATGATCATTGATCTAATCAATCGATGATTTGTGTGCGAGTTTGCAAATGTTTACGAATTTCAATCGAATTTCAATCTGCAAAACATTATTATTATTTACAAGTGAAAAAAATGTTTTTGCGAAGGTTGCTATTGCAAAATTGAAATTATGCTTTTTATGGATGATGATGATGAAAATCATCGATGCTTTCAAATCTCGATGATTTTCTCGAAGTTGAAAGTTTTTCTTTGCTTTTCAATTGCTTCTGAATTCGATTTTTTTTGATTATCATTTTACATGATGTTTTTTTCGATGATGGAAAACATTTTTTTGAATTGAATTTTCTTTTTTTTTCAAAAAAAAAGTCTAAATAAATTCAGAGATTTTTAACGAAAGTTATCGAATGGCAATGGGATTTCAATTTGATTAATAATCAGTGAAAAAAAAACGATGGATGGATGGAACGAGAAAAAAAAGATCATCGAAAATGATCAATCGATTGATCGATCGATCGATCAAATCGCAAAGTTTCAATGTTGTTGATGATTATTTTACTATATGCAAAAGGCCATCAAACAACAAACATTGACCTAATGACCAAACCGAAAAATAGTAAAGATAATATCGTCGCAATTGGCAAAAGTCATCGCCAAAAAAAATCGATGATGATGTTGATGTGTTTGTGATTTGATTTGATTTGATTAATATTTGCCAGACAACCAAGTTGTTGAAATTGATTTTCATAACCGAAACGAAATGAAAAGAAGAAAAAAATATCAATTTTTACCTAGATACCGATACATATGAAATTAAATCCGAAACCAATTCGAAAATATATATACCCAGTCTAACCTAACTCTTTCTAAATATATATCAAAAAAAATCTAAATTAATCATGTTTTATTTGAATGATGCCAGATTGTTGAATGAGATAATTATGATCATGGTCATATCAATGACCTTATTTTTTGATTCGATCCGAAATTGGATTGAAAAAATCTCACAAGACGGGTAAAAACGGAATGGATTCAATAGAAGGAAAAATTAAGGGAAAATTATTTGCCAACAGATCAGATCATTGCCAAAAATGACAACAGGAATGTTGTCATTTCATTTCTTTATATGAATTTCATTCATTCATTCATTCATCAGTCATCTTTTGATTTCTTCCAACATCATCTGATGAATGAATGTTTCAATGTTATTGAAGCCGAAAACAACAACAACAACAAATGCTTGATATGGACATTGACATCGATGATGACGATGACAATAAAAAATTTTTTTTTGATAATAACAAGACAAATTGCCGACGACTAAAGATCTGTTGATTTTTGATATGTTGAATGACATGACATGATTCTTCAAAAAGGAAAAAAATCTGAAAATGTGAAAAAAATGATTATGATAATCATCACCACCTACCTTCATTAATTTATCTTTTGAATACCAAACATCTTCTTCATCTTCATATGGATTATAATTATCTGGATATTGATTACCATTACCATTACCATTTGCACCATTCATCATTAATTCATCCCTTGATCGGGATAATATTCGTCGACGGCTTATCATTGTTTTTTTTCTATAAGAAAATCTACAAGAAGAAAAAAAGAGAGAAAAGAGAAATTTTGAAAAAATTAAAAACGCATTTCGCATGTTCATTTCATTTTTGTGTAATTATCATCATCATTAATAACAGGTAATTTACTTAAACTGATTTAAAAAAAAGTAAAAGGATAATCGACCGTTATAATCGATGGTCAATATTATTATCAAAACAGATGATGTTTTAATCCATTTTCAAAAACTTAATAACACACTATTTTTAAATAAAATTTACGAAAAAGAAAAAAAAACAGGACATTATAAATTTGGAAAAAAAATGTGATTAAAATTTCATTTTACAAGTTTTAGTAAAAGTTGAAGAAAAACTTGTTTTTCCCCTTCACTTGTTGCTTGAATCATTTTGTCATTGCATCTCTCTGTTTTTCGCTATCTCTCTCACCCTTCTCTGCTATCAAGCTAAAAATAACGGATGAAGGGATCAACGGATCATGTTTTATTTTTTGCCCCAAATCCATTCATTCATCATAATCGTTTGGTGACAGAAAAATTAGAAAAAAAATCAACAAAAATCCAACAAACCTGACCGAAAAGCTTTGCAATGAAAATGTTAATTAAACAAGCGAAAAAAAATTGAAAGTCAAATACTGTCATTAACCTTTTTTGGGTTTGTTTTTTTTTTGAAATGAAATCGGGAACACACAAAAAAAAGCTAATTTCAAATTACAACCGAAAAAACAGCAACGAACAGCAAAAGATAATTTGAAACAAGACAAAAAAATAATTAAAAAAAGAATCTTTAAAAACACTTGTTTTGGAAAAACAGCAGCAGCAGAAGAAAAAAGTCAAGATTTTTTCATTTGCCAAATGATGATGATTACGAAACATAATCAACTTGTCAATTTGACGAACGAACGAACAACGAAAATTGGCATTTGATAGGACTGTACGAACATTACCTTTTCGTTTTGTTTTGTTGTTTTTGATAAAGCAAAAAGACTTCTAATAATAATCGATCTTCATTGTTTTTTGAAATGATTTTCTCTGCTTTGCTTTTTGCTCAAAAATGTCACACAGTCAATTGGATTATGAACATGGTCAATTTCAAAAAAAAATCAAAAAGATTCTAGGTAAAAATGAATCCATCCATCATCTGGATTCATTCAAAATACTTGGGACATTTTTCTTTTCAATTGGGAAAGCTTTGTCAAGAATCAGAAAAATGATTTGAGAAAAGTTGTTACTTTCTCGCTTTCGAAAATTCAATCAAAGCAAAGAAAAAAAACCCATTAAAAAATGACAATTGAATTTGAACAAAAAAAGCAAAAGAGAAAATGGAGTACTTGTCGGAACAAAACGAAAAATGACAATTTTCAAAATTTTCTCGCTTTTTTTTCTGACAAACACACACACACAGGAAATACACTGTATTATTGTCATCATCATCGTTATCCATCATTTCAAACAACAACAACAGCAGCAGAAAAGTAGCCAACTTTTATGTCATATCACACGATGTCACCGAATATGTAAATCTTTCTTTCTTTTTTTTCACTTTGTTGTCATTTAGAGATGGTGGTGGTGATAAGATTGATGCTTTTCTTTTCATTCAAGTGTCTGTGCTAAGTGTTTGACTAACTGACATGATCTGAATTCATTTTTTTTTCTTTCAAAAATAACTTTTTTCGAAATGAAAAAGGTGACAAAAAATGGAAAGTGATGATGATGAGAACCTGATCATAATCTTATTATTATGGGAGTGAAAATCATTATTATTTAAAAAAGAACCCAAAATAAATCAAAGTTTTCAAAGTGTTTTTGTGGGTCAAACAAGCAAATAAACAACATTGACATCGAATGAGTTGAATTTGGAGAAAAAAACATTGAAAAGATCTTTTCACCTGTGTAACATCTTTGGAAAAAAACGATATCATCATTATCATCATCAAAATGGCAAACAATAACAAATGTTCAATGAATAAGCAATATAATTGTTTTTTTCAATTCGAATACGTTTCATTCATTCAAAAAAACACGTGTAACACGTGTGTATTGAACTCAAACAACAAATGTTTCCCTGAAACAAGTTTTTAACTGACTGGTTTTATAAACTTTAAAAAAACTTTGAAGAAAAAAAATCATAAAATCAAAAGAAAACATTTTCAAGTTAAGCTCAATTGTATAAATGAGAAAAAATTATCTTGGGAAAATTGTTTTTCTGTTTGGTTATTATTGTTATTCACCATTAACATTCAACATTACGTAACATAACGAAACGGAACAATATCCGAATTTTTTCTTTCTTCTATCTTCTTCATTCTTTTCTTTAAAAAAAATCCTTGAATAACAATTAAACTTTAAGATCAAAAAAATTCAAATTTTCAAAGCAGAAGATTTTATTGTCTAAATGATGATCATCAGGATCATCATCAGATGTATAATGAGATGGTGATGATGAAAACTTTCATATAGTACCATCGAGAGAGAGAGGGAGAAAATTATTTATATTACAACATTTTTTTGGCCTTTTTTTTCTCCTTGAAAAAAAATGTAAAAAAATCCTACCATCCAGCAGAAAAGAACATCATCTAAATTGATGTTTGTTGCTTGTTTGAACACATTATCATTAAAGTATTTTGACCTAGTTTTTTATCGGTTATTAGTAGTACCCGTTGTGTACGAATGACCGGTTTTTTTCTTTGGTATTTTTTTTCTGTTGATTGAATTTTCTTCACAGAGAGATCAAGTTCAGGTGTTTTTAGTTGATCAATAAAGGCACCCAGATGCATTAATTACCTGGTTTGTTTTATTGAAAAAAAACAAAAAGACAGACAGCCAACAACAAACAAACAAATCAAACAGATGTTTTTCTGTTTTCACCGAAATCTGATTACATTGAAAAGATGCTGCAATAATTTTTCAATTTGAGAAGATAAAAACCCTGGAATATTTATTACTACAACAGCAGATTACAGATGTAATAATATGAATGAATGAATGAATATTTCGGCAAAGAAAAAAACTAGATCAAAATCATCATAATGATAATGATAATGATGGGAAAAAAATCTTTAAAAAACAACAGAAAAAAGTTCAAGATTTTTTTAATAATAACAACAACAACAACCTAATATATAACTGATGTATCCTGTTCAAGTTGGTTTAATGCAAGGTTCGCATCATCAAAATGTTTTTCTTTTCTTTTCTTCAATTCAGCAATTCAAATAATAATAATATTAAAATTGTGAAATTTTTTTACTAAACAAGCCAATTTGGCAAATTGGTAAGAAGAAGAACATCTTCTCAACATTATTAAATTGTGTGATTTTCGTAAATGAATGAATGAATGAATGAAGAAGATGCCTGGATAAATATCGTAATAAGATTTCTTCTTTTTATATATACGGTTGTTTGTTGAATAATTTGATGATGATGAAGGATGATGAATTAATATTCACAGCCAATTTGTCATTCACACACACACAAAAACACAATGGACATTGAAATAAGAAATTATTTTCAATGTTTTGTTCGTTCTAAAGAGTTATGGATACCTAGATTTGAACGAAAAACAACAAGCATATCTGTGTGTGTGTGTGAAATGAAATGAAATTGTTTCAATTAACAACAACAAAAGTGGACAATTGGTTGGTTGGTTGATTGAAAGAACGAAGAAAAAGAAATTGTAACAGAAATTTTAAAAACTTTTTTTCATTAAATTCATCGTGACCGAATGTGAATGAATGAATGAAAAAAAATCAGGAAATAAAATGAATGGAAAATTGTCATTAAAATTTTCGAAAGGTTTTTTCAAAAAAGATTTTCATGAAAAAAAAATTCAGTCCATTCGATTATTTGATTTTTGAATGTTTTTGATTTTTCAATAATTTTTGTTTTCACCCAAAGGTGTCTTGTTTTTTGTTTTCTAAAATGTTGAAAAACCAGAAGGCAAATTTTCTTTGTTTTTTGAGTGTGATTAAATCGCGTGCATTTTTTTTCTCCTAAAACTGCCAGAAAGTTGTATTAAAATACCAGGAAGCAATGATGTTGATGACGATGGTGGTACAAACCCATTATCATCATCAAAGACCTCAAAGCATCCGAGAGAAAAAAAATTAACCCTTATTATCCTCTATTATTACTGAATGACGAAAAAAAAGGAACAATTTCGTTTTCGTTTTCGTTGACGCACGACCCGAAACAAAAAACAAAAAAATCCTATACTGTAAGGCAAATGATGTTCAAAATGGAAAAAATTTTCGATTTTAAATGGACAATCAATCGAAAGGAATGAATGGATTTTGTTTTGGTGGAGAATAATAAGCGTGATATTTTTGTTTGGGCATTATGAAAATTCGAACTGAATGATAAATCGAATTGAAGGAGTGAAAAAAAATTATCATTTCCATTTTCGGGATAAACCAAATGAACAAATAGGAACGGAAATCATAAATCCATAATTTGGATTTGCTTTTGGTTAAAAATTTGTCAAACATTTATTCATTCATTGAAGATGCAAACAAAAAAAATGGTGGCTATAAATATGTTTGATTTTCTGAAAAAAAATCTTGATACAAAACCAAATGTTTGTTTTGTTTTGTGTTTTGTTTGGGTTTCGAAATTTGTTTGCATTTTGCTGTTATATAATGATTGATCAGCAAAACGACTACCACATTACAATTGGATATATTTCGATTTACAAAAACAAACAAAACAGAAAGACATTCAAGTGTTGTCGTCGTTTGTAACCAAACAGATATTGTTCTCTGTTTTTTTTTCTTTTAGTGGAAATGTTTGTTTGCATTTTGTCTGATATGTTATTCAAATATATACTGGTTGGTAAATAAATCAAATCATATCGGATGCTATTGCTAAAAACAAAAACAAACAAACAAAAATTTTTCCCCAAAACTGACTCGGGTTAGGTTGGTCAAGTTAGGTTAGGTTGATGATTATGACAACAAACAAAAAACACACACACGAATACACAAGTATTATAAACAGACACAGAGACACACAGGTAGATCGTGCCGATTCAAATGAATTGAATCCGAAAAATGCTTAAAACATTGATTAATGGAATTAATTAATCAAACAGACAAATGAAAACACAGAAAACACAAACAGAAGAAATTTGAATATCCTAAATGTTGAAATGATGATGAATTTTCAATCATTTAATCGTGCCAAATCATGATGATTTTACAAAATCAAGCTACCTGATTATTATGATGATGATGATCAATGTAATGATTGTATGGTAATCGTTGAATATTTTGTTTGGCCCCCGGAAGTTTTCGTTGAAATGATTATTTGACGAAAAGATTTTTTTTTCACACACACAGAATTGACCAATTCAAATTGACCAATTGAAGCATATATGGTTGTCGGTTGTTGATCGGATCATTGATTTTTTGTGTCTTCTTTTCTTTAATTAAATTTGATTTAATGTCGTTGTTGTTTTTGACACAAATTTTGTTGTTGCTGTTTGACAATCTTTACAGAACAAAAACAAAACAAAAAAGTTGATTTTCGAATGAAAAAAGAAGATTTACGTGTGATTCACAAAAATGGATGACTGACTTGTTGCTCGTCGAAAAAAGTAAGTTTTTCAAAAATGATGTTAATATAAACAAACAAACAAACAAGAAAAAAATCTGAGGTGATGGTCAAAAGATTATCTTTTCATCTTTGAAGATGGTTTGCAAAAAAAAACTTTCGAAAATCGGACATTGAACGTTGTTGTTGTTGTTGTCGGCAACTTGGGATTATGATTTTCCAAGTTGATGAAAAAAACAAAATCCAGTACAGTGATGAGCTTGCTTAAACTTTATTTAAGCAACAAGTGAAAAAAATTGTGTCGCCCAAAACGAAAGTGACGTTGTTCGATGCTGTTCGATGCTGTTCGATGTTGTTGTTTGTCCGGGATCATGGACATCAAGATGGTAAATAAAGTTGAATGATGATGATCATCATGTTGATGATGGTGATGAATAAATCATCGGTGGTGCTTGAAGAAAACTATTTTTCTTATTTTCATTTTCTTTTGGCTTGTGAAACTTAAAAGTTTTGATCGGTTGATTGGTGTTCGACTGACCAAATCGAATCGAACCGAAAATCAAGACAGCGACCAAAACCACACCAACGTGTATTGGGTGTCGAAATTGATTTCGAATCTTTTTTTGTTGTTGTTGTTGTTAATTTCGTCGTTCGAATTCGAAATTGGTTGTGAATTTGTTCGAATCACGATACAATTTGATGATGATGATTATGATGATCAACAACAACAAAATTAAACTACTGACATCATTAACGATCACCCCAAAATTGACGATTTGATTAAACAACAACAACAACAACAACGAAAATGATGATAATGTTAATTTGAATGGACAGCGAGTATGATGATTATTTAAATTAAAAAAAAATCAAATCACCCAGTGAAAAAACCCAATTTGAATCAATGATTTTCATATTAGAGAAAAAAAATTTTTAATTAAACAATCATTGTATCAAAACTGATTCGAATGAACGAACGAACGAACGAAAAAACAAAATCAACCATCATCATCGTCGAAAGAGTGTGTATAATGATGGTGATGGCCAATCCTCATTATCAACAAAACAAAACAAAAAAAAAATTCCAAACAAAGTGGATCGCTAGTGACTATCGCGTTCAGTTCATTCAGTTCATACTATTTCATTTGGTCGGAGGATCAGGAAAGCGAACGAACGAACGAACGAAAAAAAAGAGAACAAACGAATTTTTGTCTTCAACAAAAAAAGAGAAAAATGAAAAGAAAACAACTAAAGATTATTATCAATCTCGTCTCTTTTTTGTTGTTGTTGCTGGAACTATCATCATCATCATCATCATCGTAATAATCATCATCACCATTACCATTATCATCATCATCATCGACTTCGACAATGATGAAGAGAAAAAAGAAAAAGGAAGAGAGAGTGAGTGGATTTTGTTTCGAACATTTTCTCTTTCAAAAAACGAACGAACGAACAACTATAGCGACTTGATTGACCAAGTAAGGTTGATTTAGGCTATGAATATATCCTGTTTTCTTTTCTTTTTTCAGATTTTTTTTTCAATGAAAATATTTTTCTAGGTAAACCAGACCTCTCTCCTTTATAAAAAAAAAATTAAGAAATTTCTGGTATGTAACAATTTAAAAAAATTATTCATTCCGAAACGATTATCATTATGATGATGATGATGGTCATTTGTTTCATTCATTTAGTTCATTTTTTTTTCTTTTAGTTTTCATTTTGTTGTTGTTGTTGTTGAATGAATCCATTATCATTCTTTCGTTTTTTGTTTTGTTATCCGAAACATCCATTGTTGTGGATAGGTTGAATGCATTCAATAACAACAAAAAATGTAAACAATTTTCGTTCTAGCCTAAAGCCAATGAAAATGAAAGAAAAAGACATTCTTCAATTTTTTTTTGGATTCCCCGCTTATTTCGAAAACACAAAAAAAACTGGGTAGCAACTTGAGTTTCTTTTATATATCCAAACATCATGTATAAATGGATGACTTGACTTGGCTGGCCACTGTCAAAATAGATCAATCAAAAATTCAATGGAAAATGGAAATGAAAAAAACAAACTAACAAAGATTTTATTTTATTTTTTTAAATGTCAATATCCAACTAAGGTTATCTATTCTAATATTTTTTTGTGGAATGAAAAGTTTTTATTCGTTGTCATTGATGATGATCCATAGCGAAACAAAAAATCATTATCGTTTGTTGTTGTTTTTTTACCCTTTTTTTCTGCTCATTTTTATTCAATAATATCTTTCCAGTTCTCATTATCATTTTTTTTTTGGATTTTTATTATTTTCACTGACATCATGATGATCATGATCGCCAAGTAGTCATAACATCATCATCATGCAATCGACCGCTGTGTTTTTTTTTCTTTAAACATCATCTTGACCATCTTCATTTGGTTTGGATCGTGATATATAAATATCGTTTCTATATACACACACATGCTGTTTTAAATGGATTTTTTTGCAGATTTAAATCCAAATCTTGTTTAGTTATGTTGTTTGATTGAAAAATATGTTCGATTGATGGGGGAAAAGAAAAAAGATTTTCTGGTTTAATTGAAATTCAATTAATTTATTTACGAATCGAAATGAAAATTTGATTTTTCTTTACTTTCGTTAATTTATAGTGAGAAAAGAAAAAACATTGATGGAAACAGATTAATTCGCGAATTGATTTTATTGCATTCGAATCTATATCTACCTATATGGTCGTCTTTCATCATTTTGGTCAACTTAGTCCGGTTTTTAAATATAAACCACAAAATGATGATGACAAGCTAATCGCATCAATGAATAGATTTTCAACAAGTTGATGAAAAAAAAACATAACAACTTATTATTTTTATAATCCACCGATTCAAAAAAAACAAGAAAAACAAATTTGATCTGCAACAAATTCAGCGTTTATTTTTACAACGATACATGATTCGAATTTATGTTTTTTTTTATTTTCATTTACGTACGTTTGTACTCTGATCAAATTGGGTCGTCGTTGAGCATCATTGAATTGAAACATTTTTTTTCTTCAACAACAACAACATTCGACATTCGAATGACATCTTTAAGAGCTCTTCGAAGACGAAGACCAGGTATTCAAGTATACTGATCAGCAATGTAAGTACAGACAAATAAAATAAAAAACGACAAATTGGTTGTTATTGTTGTTTTCAACAATCCGATCTATAAATCAACAAATTTTCCAATTATACACGTGTTATTTCATGTTATAACATCATGATTTTTTTTTCTTTTGTTTTATTCAAATCAACAATGATGATAATGAGCTACGCGTATACTAGCCTAATTATGCTTATATATTGATGTTGATTATGATAATTTCATCTTTTTTTTTCGTCGAAAAACAAAACAAGGAAGATGAACAACAACGACAACAATAAATCAACGAGGCTAGTTGGTCATCGTTCATGATTTCAAACAATTGTGTTCATCATCAGTAGTCAGTAGTCAATCGATCAATCAATTCGAATTGATTGATCGATCGAATGTTTTTCAAATTCATTATTTGCATCTAATAAACATCAAAATTGTACAGGTTATGATGATCATCACATTCATCCATCGTTAACATTGCTCAAAGTTGCCATATTTTCGTCGAAGAAAATCAATTAAACCAATTTATGATTGCAAAAAAAGGTAGCCAAAGTAGAAAAAACAAGAAGCAATAAATTTTCTGTTTTTCTGTCACAAAACTTTTAAATTTAACCCAATGTCAACAACTCTCCATTTTTTTCGGACAGATTTAGATTACATTTCAACTTTTATCATTTTTTTGTGATCATCTTATCCTTGATTGATGATTTTACACCGAACATCATCAATTTTTTTTGTTTCCCAATGAAAGAAAAATAAATCCTGAGAAAATTGAATAAATATCAATCACATTTCACACATAATTCATGCATTTATTAATTTATTATTTCAACAAATTCATTACATTATCAAATATTTACAGATGATTGAAAATCAATCAATCAATCAATCGAACATTTGCCAACCATAACGATTATGATTGTTATTAGATGTTCCACCACCACCACTATTACTACCGTTTGAAGATCGTGTTGTCGATTTTGACTTTGCCGGTACAACCGGTGGTTTTGAGCTAACATAAAAATTTGAATTGTTTATATGTAATGGTTGAATTGTTGTTGATGATGATGATTGTGATGGTGATACCGATGATGAATCCATCATTAATAAATGTTCATAAGGTTCATGATCATGTTGATGATTAACTGAATTTAAATTATTATTGTTATTTGTTTCAAGTAAAGGATCAAACATAAGATGATGATTGGAACATGATGATGTTTTGTATGCTGATGTTTGTATCGAACCATCGTTATTAGCCAAATCTCGTGGTGGTGAATCAAATTCAATAAGACAAGGTTGTTGTTGTTGGCGATCGTTACCACTTGTCGATGATGAAGATAAATTAAGAGTTGGTCTAGTAGTATTACGTGGTGGTGGAACCGGTAAATGATTATTTGAAACATCAGATGGATAACCGTTTGTCATTTTTGTTCGCAATGATTCTTGATTTGTTGTTTGTTGATTAGCTAAACATTCTAAATGTTGTCGTAAAGTAGTTGACATTGGTTGTTCGGATTGTGCTCGATTATGTTTGACTGATGGATTTAAAGTCGATGGTGGTGTAGTGAATACATCCGTATCTTCAATGTCCGATGATTCTGATGAAGCTATCGATGGTGCTAGATAGCCATTTTTTGTTTGAATTCCACTTTGTCCATTTGATATCGATCTCGTCCCGGTAATAGCAGTTCGATTTGTATTTGTTGAATATTGTGACGAAGGATTTCGAACATAGGTAACCGTTCTACTTGTTGAAGTTGGAACAAAAGTACCACTTATTGATTTTTTAATAATTGGTGGTAATTTTGGACTACTTGGTTCACTATTTGGTCTATCTAAATGATTAATTGAACCGTTGACCGAACCATTATTGGCCATTTTTTGTCGTAATTGTCGAATAGCTTGTCGACCTTGTGATAATGCTGATTTAACTCGAGGATTGACAGAACGAAGAAAAGCGCCACCTTCCTTACGCATGGTTGCCGTCCATTCACGATATTGATTTCGAAAACGACTATTGGCTGCTGCAGCCGCTCCACCATTATGTTCAGCATAATTTAATTCAATTTCAAATTGATCAATATGACGTTCACCACGATTCAACATATCTAATCTTGATTCTATAAATTGTTGAAATATTTGTAATTGTAACATATTTTCAAGAAACAATTGACGTGATGTTCCTCGTACACTTGATACAAAAGCTTCACGATCAAATGTTATCTGTTGTCCATGAGCAAATGTTAGAGCTTCACGATAGCTACCGATTAACATGACAAGTGCACGTAAAAAAGCACGATTTAAACCATCACCAAGTAATGCTGCTGATTGTTGTTGTTTTAAACATTTACGTAAATGATGTAATACATCACTTGGTATAGTGGAAACATCATCGAATGGTGTTGTCAATTGATCTGTATCAACGTTTAATACAACAATTTCACCCAATTCGGCTAATCGAACATTTCGATCAAAAGTTTGTTGTGGAACACCGATCAGGAAAGGCATCGGTGCCGTCAAATAATCAATCAAGGTACGTGGTAATAGTGGAATAAAAATATGTTGCCAATGCATTGGATAGATTAACATGTTTGCAGCCTGTATACAGGCCGATAATCGATTTAAACGTTCAGATGTCATTACGATTCGTCGTTCATTCAACATTGATGCAAATATAGCAATCATATTGTTTGATGATATGGCATTATAGTATTCAGTAATGTTACGCTATTTGAATGAAAAATATTATCAATAATGGTCATGTAGCTTATGAATTATGCTTACATCTTCGGGAATCGATGGTAATTTATGATGATCAGGACATGGAACATTGAATTCTTTTAATTTAATATCCTCTACCGTATACGTAATGGTCAGCTGTAATCCAGGTTGTGGTATATCACTTGTGTACAATGATTCTAAGAATCGTTCTAACGGAATGCGAGACTGGTTGTGAATCAAGAGATTAGTGTCAGAAAATTTAAAAAAAAAATTATCATTATTATTACCTTACGGGTTGCCAATTCGGCACAATGATCTAATATTTTATAAAATGTGGAATGCCAAGGTAGATCGCTGAGTATAACCAAACAGGTATTATTATCAGGAGTATAACGACAATAACCAAATGTCCATTTTGATTTAATATTTGTCAATACAAATGAAAAATGAGTAATCACATCGCTACATAAATAACAACAACAAACAAATAACAAAACATTCAAAAGTTATAATCGTTATCCAGTATAGATAAATTACCATTTAAAAGGACATGGATAGGCAAAATGTGGTACTGAATTGAGAACTTCACGATTTGAATAATCAGTTGGATATGTGCGTAAAATCCATGGTTCTTCATCATCATCATCATCACCATGTCCATTATTCGTATTATTATCACCATTATTATTATTATTTGTATCATTAGAATTTGATTGTGGTATTGCTACCTCTATGAACAGTTCGATTAATCGATCCCATTCATCCCTATCAAAGATTAATAAAATGAATGATCAAAATCAAAGTAAGAAAACACAAACAAACAAACATACCTGATACGAGCCATAATGATGGTTCAATTTTAATTTAATTGATTAATTTATTGATTTTTTGATTTTAATTTAGAAAAAAAATAAAACATAAATTATGATGAGAGGGGAGTTATAAATTACATCGAACATTTGAACAATAATTCCATTTGATAAACATTTTTTTTTCGTAATCAATTTGATTCGAAGGCACAAAAAAAATCAGAATAAAATTTAAATTAGAGAAAAAAAAAGACAAATTGAATTTGTGCAAAGACAGCGAGAATATATAAAAATCAAAAGGGGAGTGGTTCATTGACTTATTTCAACAAAAAAAAAATTGCGATTCATAACATTCGAATGTCTTTGGCCTTTGATGTTTTGATGATTTTTGTTGATGATTTTTTTTCTCATAATTTATCCAACGATGTTGTTTGGCCAATATTCATAATCAATTAACCTCTAATAATTGATTGCAATCCATGTATGGCCAAAATTCAAAGAATCCAAAATTGAATATCAAGGGGAGGAAGCCAACAAAAAACATCAACAAACAAATAAAAACAACAGCTATAGCTATATACTGCAATGATACAAAGAGACACGCACTCGTTCTTTATATAAATGGTAACATTATATATCATCATACATATGATGATAATATCTGCTACCATTTACCGATGGATGGCGCAATTTTATCTAAATCAATTTTTTTTTGTCCACATTCGATTCATAAATTTTAATTAATGAATATAGTGAAAATAAGTTGTTTTTATAAAAAAAAACATCGATTCTATTTTTTTTCATAAATTTTGTCGAAATCCAAATCATTCATTCAATGCAATAAAATACATCATAGCAACACCAACCAATAATGCAGATATTTCTTTAATTGATTGTCCATGACTTGATGATTTTGTTGTTTCCAATAATTCTGGTATAACTGAAACGGTAGCAATATAGATAAAACCACCAGCAGTAATTGGTAAAATAAATTGTGTAGCATGTTCTAATGTACCATAATGTAGACCAACAGCAGTGCCCATCAAAGCACCAATGGCTGTTACTAGCTGCAAAAGTATAGCAGATCGACGACGATAACCCGATTGAATAAGAATAGCATAATCACCAATTTCATGTGGAATTTCATGTAAAAGAATTGTAACGGCAGTTATGACACCCATTTGTGATCCATGACCAGCTGCAAAAGTAGCACCAATTGCTAAACCATCGGTAAAATTATGTAGAAAATCGGCAATCAAATTTAAAATGCCGCTAACCAAATGACGACTTTGGCCACTGCTCAACGAACCAGCATCTGCATTTTGTTTCGAATCGGAAATTTGTTTTGTTTTATCCTTTTTTTTCGGTGAAGATTGTGTTGGTTGTTTATGTTGATGGTGATGATGATGATCAGAACCTTTAACAAGATGGACGAATTTCTCAATGATAAAGAAAATGATAATTCCAGCAATTATGTACAGGCCAACTGTTGTCTGATGATGATGAGAATGATTATGCTCTTTATGATCATGGTGGTCATGATGATGGTCATGGTGATCATGATTGGAATGGCCGTGGTGATCGTGATCAGAATGGCCATGATGATCATGATGAGCACCCATAGAATGAGGTATTAGATGTAGAAAAGCATCGCCTAGCAAACCACCGGATGCAAAACTTAAAGATAAACGTAATCGATTTCGATAACGACCAGTATTATCCATAGGAAATAGGAAAAGCACCATAAATGGTGCCACCGATATAAGCACAGTTGATGCATAGGCCAATTGAGCATCGGTGAATTTCTGTTACGAAAGTCATGTTGATTCAAAACAATAAACAAAAAATTGATCACTTACCAATGTCTCTAAATAGACGACCATGGTTGAACTGAAAAAATCCATGATTAAATTTTGAAATTTTAATCCCGATTAATAAGCCACGTAATATATGACAATTTGATAAAAACTACTGTCACGTGTTTGCAAAACAACAAAAAAAAAAATTCAATAACAGGCTCTGTGAATGAATTGTATATGAGTTGGCGCGATTTAAATCAACCGAGTTTGATTATATTGTCTTCAGATTTTTGTTTTTAATATCTTTTGATAAAAAAACGAAAATGTTTGGTGAAAAATGTGTCGATCTAATTAAAGAATCGACCCGTGATAGTTCAGAATTGATTGCTCCTTATAATCAAAATTTGGTCAATGAAGTTTTTGATGAAATGCGTTTGATTAGTCATACATTATTCGAGTGAGTCATAAACATTTTTTTTGTTTTATTAATTATCACGATTTGAATTATCATTCCATCATAGGTCACTCAATTCGGATAATGATCAAGTGGCACCGAATGAAACGACCGTTGAACAACAAAGTACATATGACAGTCAAAATCGTCTTTTGGTTAACAAAGTATATCTACGTGCTTTTCTATGGAACAAACGTTGTCTTCTTGCCTATCAGTAAGCAATTTTATTGATAATAACATGAATTGGTTTATTCCTTTGTTATTTCGGTGTAGCAATCATCGATTAGAACGATTAAAAAGAATTCGTTGGCAATTAGGTGCTATATTACCGGCTGAAGTAAAATGTAATCTTTCTGAAGATGAAATAAAATGGTTTGCATCATATTCACGTAATCTTTCTGATTATATGAATCATTTGAATGATAATAAAGGTATCGATTTAACATTGATGCGTAATCCACCTAAAAAACTATACATTCAAGTTCGTTGTATCAGTGATTATGGTCAATTAGAATTGGATGATGGACATACTGTTGTTCTTAGTAAAGATAGTATGGTAAGTGAAACATGTGATGTTTTTGATAACAAACAAACAAAATAATGATAAAATTATTTCATTTTTAGCATTATCTACCATTATCGAAATGTGAAAAATTGATTCATCAAGGAGTTTTGGAACAAATTCAATAAATTTTAATAATTTTAAAAATAAATAAATTCATTTAATTTTATTTCATTAATAAATAAAATTATTAAAATTAGAAACAATAATGTTGATTTTCAAATTCAGTATCTGAATCGATAAAATCTAAATTCGGATGATCAAAAGGTTTTTGTTGTTGTTGATGTTTTTGATCATCATCAACAATCGATTGTTGTTGATCATCAGATGATCTGAAATCTGGTGACCAACAAGCGGCAATTTTTTTAAAATTACATTGAACAAATAATTTGCCACCATTGTTATGTCCATTTTTTCCTTCCAGTGAAATATATCTTATTCCCCTTCGGATAGCTTTTAGTGGTAATGTTCTATTGGCAACTAATCGATCACAATTATAAACTTCGAAACGGATAAATGTAAAATTAGGTAACCGAATAACTGGTCGAATCTGTTTATTCCAGAATGGTATTTGTCCTGTATTCCATTTTTTTGAATAGGAAAAAGGATTATTAAAAGAATCTTGTTCAAAAAATGATGCAAAAAAAATTTTACCTTTAGTGTTACAGGTTTCAGTTTCATATCGAATATTATCATCATAATAGCCAATTATATGTACAATTACTTTACATTTCATTGGATTTTTACATAAATCAAATTGCATTAAATCTTCGATACAATATAATGTTAATAGAAATTGAATTGGACCTGCAGATGGTTCATCCGGTAATGAACTATCTTCACTTATTCCAATACAATACATTTGACCATTTCTTAATGAAGATGGTTTCAGAACATAACCACATGATCCATTTAATGTATCGAATAATGATCGACATAGTTGGTCATCATTGTTATCATCCAAATTTTCATCAATTCTATATGGTAAACATTGAATGCCCATTCGAATCAAATCTATTGAATGATGGACATTGGACTCAATCAGACTATTGTTGTTCCAAGTTAATGTTTTACAAGTCAAAACAGCAATCGAATCATCCTGAATACATTTACGATCTCGTTCAATTGAATCATTAATAAGTTGTGAATCAAGCGAAAGAGCTAAGCATTTATCATTTGCTAATCGGTCGATATTTGTTGATTCATTCGAATGAACCCAATCAGCTTTATTATTTTGAAGATTCATAAGAACAGTATTAATCGAATCAGAATGTTTGATAATGAGAATAAATTTACGACGTAATGTTCTTAACGATGGCCATGCTGTTTGATTTGAATTTTGTAAAAATGTTGGAAAATAACATTTCAGTTGATTGGTTTCAGATGATGATGATGATGTTGATTTGTTAAATATTTGTTGCTCGGGAATTGTCGAACATAACGTTTTGATTAGATCATTCATTCGATTATTAGCGATAAGATTTTTACAATCAAATATCAATATTATTGGCCATGGATTCTTATCGAATCCATGTTTAGACATGTGATTAAGTAATGTTTCCAATGTAATACCAATCATTTCTTGTTTGGAATCAAAATTATTTACCAACACACTAATTTGTTCTTCATTCCAATCGAGTTTTACTATAAAGCATTTAGGAATAAATTCTTGTTATGAAAAAAATCAACAAAAAAAAATTAATTTAAAAAAAACTCACGATAAAAACATCTACATAACGACAATCGACGATCATATTTATCCAATAGATTTTGTTCAAATAAATTTTTATATTTTGGTGACAAATAATCAAGACCATTGACTGGCGGTTTTATTGTCAAAATTGTACAAGTAGCTACATAATAATTTACTAATGATTTTTTCATATTTAAACATTGTTTCGAATGTATTGGATTGATTATATCAAATCTTTGCATATGTAATAGTTGAAAAAAATCATCTTTTGTTAAAAAATTTTTCTTTGTTGTTGTTCCATTTGTAAAAACAGAAAATAATTTCTGACATTGTTCTTTTGATAATGTTTCCTGTTGTTGGATCATGCAATATTAATGAAAATAACCAAAAAAAAAAAATCATCATTAAACAACAAAACATACATGTTCTTCTTTTTTAAAAAATTTATACAATTCTTTCAATCCCCAATAGTTTAGATTCGGTATGGCGTATCTAGAATCCAGGGGAAAAATGAAATAAAAAAATGAATTAAAACAAAACCGAACAAAAGCAGAAAAAAATATGATTAACTTTTCATAAATAATACCCAAAGTTATTCGTCCGAAATAAATTTTTTTACTGGTTAAATTTTTTTCATTCAATATTGAAATTTGTTTGCCAGAAGAATTTTCATTTTGACAATTATTATTATTATTATGAAAAATGTTTAATTTACCACTCATTTTGCTATCGGTTGCTGTTATAATCATTTGATTTGGCAGGCAGTGTTTTTGTCGTAATCATTATATATATGAGAGATTCGGAAAAAAACGTAGATTAGATTCCGGTGTTGGATAGAAGGCGTAAAAAGGGATTATCATTAAAATTTGCAATATCCAAATTTCATTTCTTTTTTCAAATCTACGTAATATGATTGCCAACCAAATCAACCAACTATTTAACAACCGTTACCTGTGTGTGTTTGATAGCAGCAGGTTGTCAAGGATTCTCGTCATAGCGTAGAGAGAGAGAGAGAGAGAGAGAGAGAGAGAAAAAGAGAGAGAAAGTTAATTTTCATCATTAGTTAACTTAATTAACTTAGTCATAATGTTTTTACATGGATGAAATGAAAATTCATCGAACTCTCTCTCTCTCTCTCATCATCATCATCATCATTCGAATTATCTTCGAAATGAATGAATGATGGATCCATGTTAAAAATGCAAATGACCATCATTTAAAAGAATGACATAGTTTAAGCTTATTTACAATGCAAGTCATTCATTCATTCATTTGTTCAATTCATTAATGGCTGTATTTTTTAAAAAAATAACCTTGTCATTTTGAAAGAAAGAAAAAGTCTATGATGGATGGATGTGGATAATAGGATGTAGCAGCAACTGCAGAAAACAACATTCGTTTATTTAATTTTTGAAGAATTTTGTTGTTTTTTTGTTTCTTTCTTTATTTGAATAATAATAATCATTTGATTAAACGTAGACTGACACCTGGGCGACGTACGTAAACAGGAGAATGGAACATGAACGAAAAGAGTCGAAATCGTTTTGTTCGTTTTTGGATTGTGGATCGAATGAATCAGTGTTGTGGATGTTGTTTTTTTGTCTATTATTTTTTGCCCATAGTTGGCAAACAATTCATCAAATGATGATGATTAAATCAACAACATTTAACACTTTGTGTTTTCTGCCATTTCTTTCCTAAATTAATTTAAATCGATTCCAATTCAATCAATAAAAAAAATGAATCCTTCGTTACCATCTTTATCATTAACTTCAATTAGTGTTACTGATGATGATGATGATAATGATGAAAACGATGATAATGATCATCATCGTTATCATTCTGTTTCAATATCACAATCATTAAGGACTATCCCATTATCAGGTACAACAACAACAACAACTAAACCATTCACCATCAACAAACAAGGTATGTTCCAGTTTTTTCTGTTTTTGTTTGAATGAAAAGTTAAAAAATACAGACATGGCTGCGCGCATACAAAACATTCATGCAACCAACAAACAAAAAAAAAGTGACTGAACCAAAGTTAATAAGCGACCTAGAATGGGTCAGGAATGTGCCGAGCTAAAATTGAGCACCTGAAGCATAATTGACCTTGCTAGGCTTAGTTGTAGTTACAGGTGTTTTTTCCCCTGAAAAATCTTCATTTTTTTTGTTGTTGAGCACTGTTGTTTTGCTTCAAACACACACAAAAAATTGATTGATCCGATCGATAAAAATGGGTTCTAATCAATCAAAATGTGAATCCGAAGAAAATGCCGATAATAAAAATTTAATGAAATTAGATTCCATATCAACTGTATCGATGGCATTCACTGCCACTAATGATTGTTGTATTGATACTGCTGCTGGTACAGATGATATGATTGATTTAAAACAATCATCATTATGTAGCTGTCAATTGCAACGACAACGACAACGACAATTGCGGCATATTTCTCAACATCATCAACTGATTTCCAATCAATCAGGTAAAATAATTTTTCAAAAAAAAAAAAAAATTTCTGATTTTCAAATTGATGTTTGAACACATCCAATCCGGATCACACAATCAATCGATAAATATTGTATCGAAAAAGAATGTTTTCGCCATTGTTGATTGATTGATTATCTTTAAAAATGCCGATGTTTCTCTTGTTTTGTTTTCTGGTTGGTTGGTTGGTTGATATGTTTTCTAATTGATCTCCAGTTTACCAATATATTAATCCATTGCTATGTGATTACAATCATCATCATTACACACACACACACCACACACACACATAGACATTCCATTGTCAAGTGAATTATTATTAGATTAAAAATTTTTTCTGTTGGTTGTACTTGATCTGGATATTATTTACTCAATAATAATTATTTCTTCCTTTTGTTTTTTTTTTGTTATAATAATAACTATATTGCTCATTTGATTAATTTTTGAATTCATTTTTGTTTTGTTTCTTGGTTCTATTAGATGTATGCGATAAATCTATTATTGATCATCAACGATCAAAATCATTACCACCAATATCACAGAATTCATTTGTTTTAGATATGGATGATATTCATCATATTAATCATCCTGTTCACCATCATCATCAACAACAACATAAATCAACCAACATTGATGGTGATTATGGATTTTCTAATTTGGATTCAATTTCACCTTTATCGGATAAAAATAATGCCGGTACTTCTATTGTTCGAAAAACTAATGGACGAAAATCAAGTTCAATCATTTTGATTGCATTTTTTGATACATTAATAATGTTGTTGATGTTAGCATTGGCCATTATTTTAAGATTTACCGATGAAATTAAACCTATTGATACATGGTTTGCCAAACGGATGGTCTGTATGTTTGAGCCATTTTATAGTTGGCCATATCATTTGGTTTCGAATACCGAAGGCAAATTATTATTCGATAATCTTTCTAGCGATGAATTTCTTTTCTATGTTTTTGTTTTCATCATTCCTGTTGTTATCGTAAGTTTGAGCAAATCAAAATTTTTTTTTTGTTCAGTAATTTCATTATTTCACTATTTTAAATAGATAACATTAATGGAATTAATACGAATTCTTATTCGTCAAATTGTACATGGTGATTATGATAATTATAGTGAAACAATTATTGTACCGAAAATAAATCTGTCCATTCCATTAAGTGTACGTCGTATTTGTCGTATTTTAGCCGGATTTATTCTAGGATTATCTGCATGTAGTATTATTGCCGATTTTATAAAATTACAAACCGGACAATATCGACCATACATCTTGGATATTTGTCCAGATTTTTGCCATAATTTATCAACAACTAATTCGAATCCGACTTGTTGGCGTACTGGTAATATTACTGATGATATTCGTATCGATGTTCGTAAATCAATGCCAAGTATTGTTGCAACATTAAGTTCATATTCAACAATTTTTCTTGTTTATTATATAACGGCAGCATTAAATTATAGAGCTACAAAAGTATTTCGTTTATTATTATCGGTTATAATTATTGTTTTCGGAATTTTATTGTCAATTTCACGTTTAACATCTTATCGTAATCATATTTGGGATATTTTAGCCGGATGGCTGATTGGTTATCCATTAGCTTACTATATTGTTTGGTATCATTTGAATGGATTTTCAAATCGTTTATCGATTAGTAATTTATTTTCCGCTAAATCACAATGTCGTGGTAATTGTTGTATGAATAATATTCATAATGCATTAATAACATCATCAGCCAATTGGCCTACATTTCATATACCTCGTGTTCAAACCAGTGCCAAAACAAATTCAAATACCAATAATGAAAGTGTTGCCCGTATTCCTAGCTTTCTCAAAACTAATTATTCACACAACAATCAAAACGTTCAAGCTAAACAATCATCATCATCACACTCGAATGCCTATATTAATCCTGCATTCAGTCCAGATGAACATCAAAATAATCAAGATAATCATCATTATCATTCAAGTCGAATAGTTCTTGATTCAAATAATAATCAATTGGGTAAACGAGATGGCCAAAATCATCGACACCAACACCAACAACAACAACAAAATCGTAATCGATTACAAATGCGAACATTTGCCAATTGAATCAAACAAAATCAAATCATCACCAAAAGCTTTTTTTTTCCTATAAACTAAACTAAAAACAACAGAAAAATAAATAAATTATGTAACTTAATAATGCATTTTGTCAAATGTTATTAAAAAATATCTAACCTTAACTTCCGAAAAAAACCTCGATTTTTATTTTTAATTTCTTCTCTTTGTTTGAACAGCACACTTGAATAAAGTGGATGAGAAAGGTGAGCAAAGAAAGAAAGAAAAGAAAAGATTTTCTTTTTATTTAATTAATTTTTTTTTCATTTGGAAAGTAAAGTAAACTTGATTGATGAATAAAGAGTTCCTAATGTAAATAATGATGATGATTCGAGGAGAATAATATTTTTTATTTCCGACTAAATCCACCCAAACATAACAATGAAAGTAGAAAAAAAATGATTTTCGGATTCTATAATTCGAAATTAATTGCACATTGAATTTGGAAAAAACCAAGTTTGAAAAAAACAATATTTATTTACAAAAACAAAGTAAAGATAAAGTTTGTCAAATCATCATCATCACACAAAATAGATATTAATTATCAAGAAAAAACAATCGTTTTAGTTGTTAGTTTACCTGAGGCTGTTGTTTTCAATCAATAATGATAATGTTGATGAAACTTTTTGATTCAGTTCTGCTATTGTTTTGGTTGTTGTTGTTGGTTAGGATCCAGAAACGAAGTTGATGAAAAATCATTTTGTTGATGATTATTTTTTGATCGTAATAATGAATCATCCATTACAACCATCATCATCATCATTGATAATGAATTAGCTAATGTTCCTGTACGATATGAATTTGATTCAGATTCAGATAGACCATAATCTGAATGAATATGAATTTTTGGTTTTGGATTTCTGGATATTTTTCGATTTGTTGACATACAAATAGTCAGTATAATTCGTATGACAATGAAAACAATAAATAATACAAATATTGCATAGAATATAATCAAACCGAAAGCCAAAACGATATCCGGATTAAAGGACCACCATTTTGAATGTTTATGATTAAGATCGATAGAATCGGCAATCGTCGTCGTCGTCGTTTCAGCTTGATCAGAATAATTAGCCAAAACTATGGTTAATCGTTGCATAATTTTTTTTTTGTTCCAAGAATGTCATTACGATTCGATTGCTTTGAAGCGAATGTTTTGGGCAATGTTTTGTGAAAGAATGCCAAAATTCAAAATGATATTTTCATTTTGGGAAACATGCGCATAAAATTTAGTTGGAAAAAAAGAGTAAAGTAAAATCAGATTTTATTCATCAAGAATATTGTATTTTGTTTTGGAAATATTATTGGAATCATTTTTTTCGTTGACTTTTGCCATTTTGGTATCATTAGTCTTTTATTTTGTAACGCCAATAACACCACAAACAAGACGTCCACCTGCATTACCGGTTGTTTTGCTTAATTCATGTCCACCACGTCCAAGATCATCTGGATCAGCATGTACAACCAATGAACGTCCAACAATTGATTTTTCACCAGTCAAACTGATTAATGAATCTTCAATTACAACATTAGCAACACCTTTATCATTGGCTTCAATATTGCCTAAATCACCAACATGACGTTCTTCATCACTAGGTGCACCATGTGTTTTATTCAATGGATTATAATGAGCACCAGCCGATGTACAACCATTTGTATTGTCACCAAATTCATGAACTATTGAAAGGTTTGAATAATATCAATTAAAATCATTGTTCTGATTGACAAAACTTACCATGAAATCCATGTAGACCGGGTTTTAATCCTTGAACACTACCAGTAACTTTTACCGGACCATTATCCTTTTAAATTAATTAATATTAATTAAACCGAACTGAAATTTAATAAATAAAAACAGAAACAAACCTGTTGTTCGAAAAAAATTGTACCACTGACATTTGGATCACCTTTCAATACAACAACTGCTTTAACCATTTTTTTTGTGTTTTAAAAAGAGTCTGTCTTCAAATTAGAAATTTAGAATAAAAATAATAATAATGATGATATTCAAGGTACGTATGTTCTTAGTCGAATGATCAAAGATCGATTAATGTATTTTAATGAAAAAAAGTTTGATTTTTAACTAAAAAAAACAAAAAACAAAATCAAGATAATTTTTTTTTCTGTTTGAGTCGAATGACAAAGTGTGATAAATTAAGCATACACATTCATTTATTTATATAGTGAAGTGTACCCGAAAGTACAATACTAAAATTAACATTTTTTTTGTAAGAAGTGTGTGACCACGTCTTTTATGAAGGGTAATTTTAATTAGCAAGAAAAAAAAATTTAGGCGCCTATTTCAAATCGACAAATTGATTGATTGATTTGATTGACAATTTATCCATTTCAAACTGGATGTTGAAAAAAAATGTTAAATAATCGTACCGGTTTATTTAAAAATCAAAATCTTCATTTCAAATAAATAATTAACGATTCTATGGTGTAAACGTGTACAAGTGAGTGACGACATCGTCGAATCTTGAGCATCGTTTTTTTTTGTGGACAAACATTCGAATATTCGTGTTATTCTGGCATCAATCACTTCAATTCACACAAAAAAAGCAATGATAAATTATGTGACTTTGGATTTGAATTTTTTTTTTGTTTTGTTTTTTTCACGGATGACGAAAATTTAAAAAAAAATTTGTTGGCAATGTAGCCAAAAGTAAAAATAAAAATATATTCTTCTCACATTCTTTTTCCTTCCTCCCTCTCTCCCCTCTCAGAAGAAAAAAATAGAATCCACGAATCTTGTTTGTTTGTTTTGTTTTTTTATTGTTTTTTATGGTTGTTAATAAAAAAAGAATATTCTTGCTGTTGTTGCTCAAACTCAAATCATTACTATTGCAGCAGTTGTCTTGGTTTCTGGTTAAAAATTTTTTTTGTATGTCATTTTTCATCATTATAAAAATCTAAAAAGTAATTACAATTTTATTTTTCCGGATGATATTTTCTAGATTCTTCCTACTAAAGACCCAAACAAACAATGTTTTCGGGTACACTTTTCGATAATCCAATGGATGATGATGATGATGTTGATGATCAAATCGAAGAGGAAGAAGATGAATTTACAAGAATTAATCGTCGTCAACAACGTCGTATTATAATTGTTTGGCTAGATAATGATCAAAAACGTATGGCACATTCGAAAGATCCACGACCACTTTATTTTGGTGGTGAAGAAATTATTGGTCATTTATCAATAGAAATACAAGGTGGTAAACCGGTTCGTCAGGTAAAATTGATGTTAATAAATTTGGTACAAATTCGTTGGTGTAAAAATATACAAACACAACGTAGATCATCGAATGTATCCACGGAAAAACGTCGTAAAAGTATTTTTGCCGATTATTTCAACACATCAGCCGCTCATAACGATGATGATAAACAATTTTTTTTCGAACGACATAAAATAATCGAATTGGATCTTCTAAGTCCAGGTAAAGAGTTAAGTTTCATACATCATATTCCACTAATTTACAATAACTCTTTTTCCCGGCTAAACGACAGAACGTTCATTGGCCGAAGGTAAACATGAAATTGCATTCAGATTTCAATTGCCAAAATCGTAAGTTATAAAAAACAATATTCATAAATGATCATTATCATCCTGGGATCTTTAAAAATTTAGTAGTTTACCATCCAGTATGAAAAGTTGTAATGGATTAAGCAAATATACGATCGAAGCATTTACCGTCGATGATCATAATGGTCATGAAAGCCGTGGTGAAAAAGAGATTATTTTGTTGGTTCCCAATGTTGATCTAATGGTAGGATTTAATATCATTTTTGCTATCAAATTTAATTTATTTTTTATCAATTTATGTTAATAGCGACAAATCGAACGTAAAGTAACACATACATTCATCACAAATGATGGTAACAATGTTGATATTTCGGTAATGTTGGATCGTAAAATTTATCAACCTGGTGAAATGCTTTCACTATCGATATCGATACGTAATGAAAGTGATTCACCAACCGAATGTTTAGTGGCTATGTATCAACGTCAAATACTTAGAAATTGCGAACAAACTGATCAAATGAAAGAACAGATCTATGATAAATGTTTGAATGATTCACCAAATCGTGATGATAATGATGAAATGAGTCAAGCAGTTATGATACCAATCGATGCAAATAGCCAGGTACAAGATGAACCTATACAGATGCGTTTACCACATAATCTTGTTCTTAGTCTTGATTGTTCATTGATCACTATTCGATATTATGTTTTGATTACGATCAACATTCCTGAAAATAATGATCAATCAATGGAAATTCCTTTCCTAGTTTCAATCACAAATCACAATCATTTTGGTAGACGTATCGATTCAGCACAACGAATAAATACTACTACAAGTTTACAGCGGCAAATTTCTCGTTAAAATTTTTCAAATCAAATGAATTTATTTATGGTGATTTTATTTTATTTTATTTTTTGCTCAACTCAATCGATAACTACATAACAACAACAAAAAAATAACAATGGGTGAAAACAAACAAATGACTAAATATATAAATTAAAAGTGTAATATTGAATAAAAATTATTTTGAAATATTTAATGTCGTTGTTGTTGTTGATCATAGGTATTTTCAAGTGATGATCTTGTTGTTATAACCACCGGTAAATTAATATGTATATCAATAGCCAATGGTATATCTAATGTTAAATGTAAAAAATATTTAAGTGTTATATATTCGGATTTAATTGATAATGGTATATCAACCGGTATAGTAACGGTTAGATTACCATCATCAATCATAGTATGTGATCCAATTTCATCACCTTCAATAGCTTCGGTTAATGAACTTTCAACTGTTTTATGTCTTTCACCTGTCATATAGATTTGTGTTTGAAAAAATGTAACTCTTGGTTTTACGGTTGCTGTTGAACAATTATCAATAACATAATCAACAATCAATTCTTCACCACGATAATATCCTTTTTTACGTAATGTAGCTTGCATTGTAATTTTACCGGATGCAAATGATAAAACACCAAAATCTTTTTCCGATGTACCACCAACCGATAACCAAAGATTTTTCCGTATCGGTACTTCAACCAATATTTCTCTACGTTTAAGTTTTTCACCAATTTTAACATCCACTGAATAAACAATCGAACCAAAACGACTTTGATACGATGATGGTAAATTCAAACTAATAAAATAATATTTATCATTATTTAAATGAACTAAACATTTAAAAAAACAAACTTACTTTTCAGGTAAATAAAATTCAAATGGAATTTCATGATGACCTAAACGATAATATGATTCACCATTTAAAGCCAATAATTCATATGATATATCCATTAATTTATGTTTAATATGAAATGAATGACCTTCATCTTTAATACCGGGATTTTCAGTCCAACCAACTTCGGCCATACAAATCAGATTAACATTACATTCACTAACAGGTATATCACCAACAGCATTAAATACAATAACACCACGAATATATTGTCCTGGTTCGTAAATATCATTTTGTTCAAGTATGATTTTCATGATGATTAACAATTATTTAACAACGATACAACGATTGATCAACGATAAAACAATGAATTTTTCGTTTGAATATCAAAGTTGAAATCTCTGTTTCTTTACAGATGTAGAAAGAATAGATGTTCTTTAGCGATTTACGCATAGCATCATCAAAATAATAGAGTAGGGCCTTTGCAAAACAACCCAAAACCGAATATAAAAAAAATTGGGCCAAACATTTTTGTTCGGTTTTGTTTTGTTTTGGAACCAAAAACATCATATAGCTTTCCTTGATTCTATATATAGAATATTCATTACAATTTTTGACAAGCATGATTCAATGTAATAACCTAATAATAATCTGATTTACTTGTTTTATTTTATTTTCATACATATGTTTAATTCATTTGATTGTAAATTCGTTTGATTTGACCATTCATTTTACAAAAAAAATTATCATCGAGAGAAAATGATTTTGTTTAATTCGAATGTTTTGACAAAAATGAGGTCATCAAACATCAAACATTTCGATTTCGAACCAATAGAGGACGTTCATCGAACAGCTGATGATTGTAAATAATCAATCAAACAAACAAACAAAAATGTTGCCTTCATCAGCAAAAAAAATATTCATCTTCGTTATCAAAATTATCCATCCATGATTAGAGTTTTTGAGGTTAGGTACACAAATACACGTTGATAATATTGTTCATCAATGTCCAAACATAGACACTCACACACACAATTTAAATACCTGTGCCTTATTCATTAATTATCTTTTCGTTAAAATTTGTTATCGGAATTAAAAAAAAAAATTTATTATTGTTTAATAACGTGCGTTTGTTTTGTTTGTTGTATTTCTTTGACGATAATCTTATTTAGATTAATTTTTTTATTGTTAAAATAGTTTTCTGAACGAAAAAGCCAAAGTAAAATTGCCATAAACAAATTGCCTTCTACAATTCGTTCGAAAACAAACAAAATAAAAATAAAATCGAATGTTTTATTGTGTTAATCTTTGTGCAATACTTTTGTTTGTTTGTTAGTTAAACATGAAAATGTACAAGGTTGATTGATATTAAGCCAATTTCATTTCCTATCCGTTTTTTTAAAAAATCCATCGGTTGTTATCCGTTTCTGTTTATTATTATTGTCAAATCATATTCAAACCTGAAAAACTAAACGTTCGAAGAATTTTTTTGAAGTTGAAAATTGAAAATTAACAAAACAATGTCTCAATGTGTAAATCCATTCTATCATCGTATTCATTTACGACCATATGATTGGCCATTCATTATAATTGGTTCAATTTTATTAGCACCAATAAGAATATTGATTATAATAACATTATTTTTAATTTCATCAACATTTTCAAAATTATGTAATCAATGGTTATCACGTATTGATCGTTATACCGAACCTGATCTTTATCATGAATGGCGTATTAAATTTAAAAATATTGTTTCATATTTATTTCGTTCAATATTATTTGTTGCCGGATTTTATCGTGTTACAATCATACAAAAAGGTGATGATAATATTGAAAATGAAAAACAAGCACCAATTTATATTATGGCACCACATACATCATTATTTGATATTTTAGCTGGTGTTGCATTACAAACACCATCATCAGTTGCAAAAGCTGATATTGTTGATATTCCTTTATTTGGTAGTAAGTTGTTGTTTTGAAATAAAATCTGCCTTGATAAATAAATAAATAATTGAATCATTGGTTTTTTCTCCCACAAAAAAAACAAACTAGATATATTCAAACTATCCGATCCGGTTCTTGTTGAACGTGATTCAAAAAATTCAAGATTTAATGTTTTCAAAAAAGTAACCGAAGTAATCAAATACTCAAAAATTGTATTTTTTCCTGAAGGAACTTGTAGTAATCATCGTGGTTTATTACAATTTAAAAATGGTGCCTTTAAATTCGGTTATCCTGTTATACCGGTTGCATTACGTTTCAATCAATATGGTGGCCCGGATACATTGAGCTGGACTTGGGATGGTCCAAATACTATATGGTCTATATGGCTGACATTATGTCGATGGCGTACTGATCTTGAATTGACTAAACTTCCTGTTTATACACCATCCGATCTGGAACGAAAAGATCCAGATCTTTATGCAAGAAATATTGCCAAAATTTTGGTCAATGAATTAGGTCTTCCCTGTCTTTTCTATTCATATGATGATGCACGATATTTTAAGTACCGGTCAGTGAAACAAACTGCTTTTTGTCATAGCATTTTTTTTGCAAATTTTAACTTTTTCATTTTAATCAAACAGATCTTTTCGTTCATCAACATGTGTCAAATTTATGAAATTAGCTGATAAAATAAGAAAAATTCAAACATCATCAAATGATAGTAACAACAAATCCGAATTAGAAACGATATCATATTCTGATTATCTTAGCCAATTTATTGATCAAATTTTTGATAATATTGTTGATTTAAATGCCAAATTAGATCGAAATAGTTTATTGGAAATATTAGATATTTCATCATTGCCCAATATAAATGAATCATATTCGATTAAAGAATTAATGCTTTGTTTTCAACGTCAAACATATATTGACAATGATGATCATATTCCTTATGAATGTAAATTATATCATTTAAAAGCTATAGCACATTTGGTTGATCAACGTGAATCAAATCTATGGAAACGATTACGATATGCATATGATACATTTGTTCAAGCTAGTTCATTAGAATCTGATCAGGATATACAATTATTATCATTAAAACAAATGGAAATGTTTTTATGGCTTTCATTGGGTCTTAACAGAATTGATGATCATCTTTTCAACGATATTCTTTCATTTGGTTAGTTTTTTATTGATTGATTGATGATTGATTCTAATAATAATCATTTTGTTTTTTCCAATTTCTATAGATGATCTTCGTCAAACATTAATACATCATTATCAATATGCTTTACGTGAAAATGCCTGTTCGATTCATGAAGAATGAACCATAGCAACAAAGATACCCAAAGATATAAATTCAGGAAGATAATTCTCAAAACAAAATAAAACGGTGTTTGGTACGAAAATCTGTGATTCCGGTGCGAAAAAAAATGAAATCATTCATTAAAAACTCTTAATATTTATATTCATCCATTTTGCAATTTAACTAAAAAAAATTAGTTTCTATCTGTTTCCGTCTATCTTTTTAAATATGTGATTTTGCAATTGTGTAATGCCTTTCTTTTGTTGAATAATTTATTGAAAACTCTTTATGAATTACCAAAAAAAAAACAATGTTAGAATCCAAAGAATTATTATTATTATTAAAAAAAAGAATCTTATAAAACTTTTTTTCGGAAATTTTAGGTAAAAATAAACTCACACCACTTATACAGTTGCTCATCAAACAAATATAGATACAGGATATCTAAAGTTATTTTTATTGTCGTTGTTGATTTTTCTTTTTTTGCTGTTCATCATGAAGTGCACTTACATATCTTATCATCTATAATCAAATAAGAAACAAATAAAAAGTACCATTATTTGTTTTTTCCATCGATTGAAATCATGATCATCATTTTCGATGATTGAAGCAAAAAAGAAATCAAACAAACGAGAGAAAAAAAACCGATAATATACTGTTTGTTTGTGCTTTCACTCCCTCCGCTATTGTTGCCAAATGGGAAAAAAACGAACGAATCGAACGTTTGTCACGTAAGCATAATGAATGTGGCGCCACCATCATTAGGGAAAATTTTTTGTTTTCCAACCGTAAAAAAATGCGAAGCGAGCAATGCAAAATTGAAAAAAATAAACACAAAACAAAAATTTTTTTTTTTTACGCTTTTATCTTTGTTATCCTTGAACAATTACCGGAAATTCATTCACAAATTTTTACAACATTAAAACTTAATGATCATCTTGAAATTGACAACGAAAAAAATAAAAGTCATTCAAGAAAATCTAAACATGCAAAAATGTATAGGAAAAAAAACAGATCAAAAATTTGATGAAGGAAATAAGAAGAACCAATCGTTACTTGAAATGATGATCCAGAAACCAAAATCCAAGTCGATAAGGTTTTTTGTTCCGTAATCCAACGCCAATTTCGATAAGATTTTCTTCCCACCATAAACACGTTGATCAATGAACGAACCAATAAGTTTTTGTTGTCAATAAAACAAAAATTGATGGGGTAAAAATTCGTTATAAATGAACACCGGCATCGTTCTGATTTTTTTTATTTTTACCGATTCTCAAATTGAGTATACCAACTTAAGTTAATCATTATTATTTTCTGGCAATTTATCGGGGGAAATCTTCAAATAAGTTCAGCAATTTATTTTTCAGCAATTTATTTAGTTTCAATTTATGAGCACAATAGAAAAATTTCACTTCGAATAAATTTCAGCCATCAATATAACTATGTAGACCACCGAATATGGAATCATGGTTTTTTTTTCTCGACGTTACATTTGACACAATAGAAATGTATAACGCTTCAACAGAGGACCAATGTTCAATTGAATTTTTTTTTTGTTTCAATTTTTTTTTTGATACACAATTTTTACCGTCAATCAAACGACGGGACACGCACCACCACAACGAAACATCGCGAGGTGTGCAGTGTAAAGATTCATTGGATTTGCAGCGGTTTTTATAGCCGAAAAAATGGCCAACTTATTCGTATAGAAAACGCCCTGAACAAGTAGTAGCATTGAATGATGATGATGATATCCGAAAAATGATAGTAGTTATAGTTTATGGTAGTAGTCTAAATGATAGTTGATGAGTTTTTGAGCAGCATTGATAACAATAGGAAAGAAAATGAGGAGCAAATTGAGCAGCAAAAAAGCAAAAAACAAAAAAAATTAACCCCCAAATTCGATTTCTAGAAATTTCTAGATTGATCAATAATCAATTAATTAATCAATTTCAATATCAAAAATTAATCAATTTTATCTAATTAATTGATAATTTAATATATTATGAAAACAATCTATAGAAACAATTGAATTTAGTTGAGAAAAAACAATCCAAAATAACTTCTTTTTTTTGGTCAATTTTTGGCCAATTCGATGGAAAAAAACGAGCATTTTTTTCCTCTTTTTTTTCCAAGCAATCAACCAAAATCCCTGAAGTTAACTTCACTTGAATTTTTGTTTTTTTTTCGAAGCTTTCAAGGACATTGGAAAATTTTCCATATGGAAAATGCATAGGAAAATAGAAAAAGTAAAAAAAAAAATCAATTTTCAATGTTTAATGCTTTGACCTTGCATTTTGAGAATACAAGGTCACTTCTTTTTTGTTGTCGTTATTTTTACGATTGTAAAAAAGGCAAACAAAAAAATTCGAGCAAAAAACCAAAAACCTGAAAAACAAGAAAATCAATTCTTGCGTCACATTCTTTATGAAGGGGTCAGGATAATAATCACGTGTATCCAGGATAATGTAGCGCTGCATGCGTGTGTATTTGGAATATCCGTAAAAACATTCGAATGCATGCACAGGGCACACACATGCTGAATGCAAAGCACATTTTTCATATGATCTTCATCGAAGCACGTTGTTGGATCTTGAATTTTCTTTTAAATTTTTCTTAGATTTTTTTCTTCAATTCCACATTTCAAATTGATCCAAAAAATGGGTTCCAAATATTGTTTCAAAAGTATAACGGTTGTACCGACTTACAAAGAATGTATCGATATAATTCTTTCGAAAACGCAACGTAAAACACCGACCGTTGTACATAAACATTTTAAAATATCTCGAATTCGTTCATTTTATATGCGTAAAGTAAAATTTACACAACAAAATTTTCATGATAAATTGGATACAATATTGACCGAATTTCCAAAAATCGAAGATATACATCCATTTTTTGCCGATCTAATGAATGTTCTTTATGATAAAGATCATTATAAATTAGCATTAGGACAATTGAATACATGTAAACATTTGATTGATAAGTAAGTAATGATTATTTCTTGATTTTTTTCGGTTATTTGCATAATTATCTTTATATTACCGAAATCTTATTGAATTAATTTTGGTTAATATGACAAAATTATGCCAGAAAAAAGCTTAATAAAGCTAATTAAGCCTTGTTCGTTCTGATTAATCACCACAATAATACAAGGTGCAGTCACTTTATTAACATTTTCTTTTCATTTTTTCAGTATTGCACGTGATTATGTTCGTCTATTAAAATATGGTGATTCATTATACCGGTGTAAAATGCTCAAAAGAGCTGCATTAGGACGAATGGTAACCGTATTGAAACGACAAACAGAAAATTTACAATATTTAGAACAAGTACGACAACATTTATCACGTTTACCATCGATTGATCCAAATATGCGTACATTGTTGATTTGTGGTTTTCCAAATGTTGGTAAATCATCATTTATAAATAAAATTACACGTGCCGATGTTGAAGTACAACCATATGCATTTACAACCAAATCATTATATGTTGGTCATACTGATTATAAATATCTTCGTTGGCAAGTTATTGATACACCCGGTATTCTTGATCATTCATTAGAAGAACGTAATACAATTGAAATGCAATCAATTACAGCATTAGCACATATACGTTCATGTATTGTCTATATAATGGATGTTTCACAACAATGTGGCTATTCAATTGAAGATCAAATATCATTATTTCATAATATTAAACCATTATTTTCAAATAAGCCAATAATTATTGTTGTTAACAAAATTGATGTTCGAAAAATATCCGATCTTAATGATGAACATCAAAAAATGTTTGATGAATTACGTAATGATCCAAGTATTATGTTAATACATGAAATGTCAACTGCAACATCGGATGGTGTAATTGAATTACGAAATGAAGCCTGTGATTTACTATTAGCACATCGTGTTGAACATAAAACAAAATCCAAACGTGGTGATGAGATTGAAAATCGTCTTCATATTGCCCTGCCAAAACCAAGAGATGATAAGGTAAATATAGTTTTTTTTCAAAAATGATTTTTTTTTCAATTTATAATCTGCAAGGGATGAAATCAGATCCAACTCAGAAAAAAAACAATGTTGAATTTAGCGAAACTGAATTATTATTATTTTTTATTTTCAAAATACTTTATATGGAAAACATTTACTGATTTCAATTTTTTTTTGTTTGTTTCTAGGAGCGGCCACCATTTATACCGGATGCTATCCTAAAGAAAAGAAATCAAATGGAAACCAATGGAAAAACTATTGATGATGATGATGATGATGAGGAAATTATGGATGGTGATGAAAATCTTCAACCAATGAAACGAAAATTAGAACGTGATATTGAATTAGAATTACGTGAAGATTATATACTTGATTTGAAAAAACATTATGATTTACCTGATGAAGAAAAATATGATATTATTCCCGAAGTATGGAATGGTAAAAATATTGCCGATTTTGTTGATAAAAATATTGAATCAAAATTAGATGCATTAATACGTGAAGAAGAAGAACGTATTAATTCTGGTTTCTATGATTTTGATTTGGAATCTGAAGATGACGAACTTCAAGAAATTCGACAATTAGCCAAGAAAATTCGTGATAAAAAAGGATTATTAAAATTTGAACAACGAATGAATAATACGAATAAATCAAAAACACCAAGAACAAATAAAAAACGTGAAAGAAGTTTATCACGTTTACGACAAGAACAACGACAACTTGGTGTTGATATTGAAAGTGATGAAGAGGGTAATTATTTTGATGAAGCAGCTGAAGATACAAGTATCCATCGACCACCATTGAAAAAGAGTCGAACAGATAATGAAGGTCATGTTCGATCTAGTTCGAAAACACCACGTGATCGTACTGGTGTTAAAAATGATGAAATGCGAAAGAAAGCAAGAAAATTATTGAAAATGTCTCAACGTAGATTAGCTGTAAATGCACGAAAAGGTGAAGCAGATCGTATGATACCGGCTACAAGACAGAAACATTTATTGGCTGGAAAACGTGGCCGTGGATCGACTCGAAGTCGATAAAAGAAGCAATGAGGTAAGTGTCTCGATCTAACAAAAAATTTTCACCCGGAAAAAAATGATGCTTCCAAATAATGCACGGGACGTAATTCAGAATTTCTAATTTTGGTGAAAGCTGCATTTCTGATCAAGATAATCTTCTAGCATATTTTTTAAAATCATGAATTTGTTCAATTTTAATTGATTTTTTCTTTTCATTTCAGACTTTTTTCATGTAAAATTCATTATGGTTTGGTTTGGTTGTTTTTGGAAGAATGGTAAGCAAATTCTTTTAAAAATTTACCTTAATAGAAAAAAAAAGATGAGTACCCACCAACTTGTAGGCAACTTGTTGTCGATGATCAAAAAGCTCTTTTTGGCTTTTGCACCACTCTGATTTCCGATAATGCTGATCATTACAAATGAAAACTTTTTGTTTCAAAATTTCTAATTTTTGTTTAATTTTTTACTTAACACATAGGATTCGATACTTTTTTTGGAGCAGAGATGAAAATTTTTCACTTGAAGAAAATAATGGTAAGATTTTTCTCACACACACACACACTTGAAACACATCGATCAAATCAATTACGGCATAACATTGGCACGATAGAGATTTCAATTTTCTTTTTGTCATTATTGTTGATGATGAACACTATTTTTGATACTCCATTTACTGGTTATGCCAAAATTAAATCAATTGCACTCTCTGTAAATTGTTTAAATTTGATCGATTTATGGTTTTTTCAAATTTGATACAACTAAAAAAAGATACCATTTTTTTTATTTTTCATTTTTTCATTTAAGCAGGTCTTTTTTCGATCATCATTTATGAGAAAGGTATGTTCGATTTTTTCAAAATTCGTTCGAATTATACACCACGCGGCATATTCATCCAATGGATGTACTTTTTCTTTTGATTCGATGGTCATTCCATTCAGCAATTATTGATGCCAATATTATCATTTTGATAATGATCAATTGAAGAGATCTACTTTTAATTGTTTCCGAAATCAATTTTAAAGTCTACATTTTATCATTGATACATTTTTTTTCTTTTGTTTTTAGGATCTCAAATCATTTCATTTTTGTTGTGTTCTGTTTGTCGATCTCATAATTGGTAAGTTTTTTCATTTGAACTAGATTTATTTGTTTAATACAAAGTATATGATGACCACTGTATAACAAAATAAATAGCTTTACCGGATTCAGAAATAATTTGAAGATAATTTGTTAGCTGATAATTTTATTGATAGCCATAGATTTTTTTATTATTACAAATTTTCTCTATTCTAATCGAATATTTTTCAATTTTTAAAGGATTCAACAACGTCCAATCTGTGTGGGTGGTGATAATTAAGGTGAGTTCTTTTCGTTCGGTAAAATAATCAAAATGTTTCGCTCAAAATTTGAATGATGAAACCCTTTATTTACCAAAGCATTCTCTATAATTGATAAACAATGATTTCTCAGTTCTGCTACTGAAATTTAATTTAGTTTTTCTTTCTATAGAAAAAACCCGTACAAATTCATTCTAATTTGTTTCCTTTTTTTTCCGTTTTTTTTATACAAACAGGTCATTCATTCAGTTATGTATTTTATAAAAAATGTAAGTTTTTTGAAAATTGAAAATCTTTTCTGATTGATGCAGATACGCCTGCGCTTGTCATCCATTATTTTACTCGGATGTGCAAGCTCAATTGAGGGATTTTTTTCAAAATATCTGCTAGATTAACAATTAGATCATGGATTTTGATTCATTCTAATCGATATGATTTGAAGATAATTTTCTAATGATATTCTTTTTTTCCCTAGTTGGTATTGATGGAAAACATTTTTGGACATTGGATCGCTCCCATTATTACCATGCTGGAATTTATATATTGTTATTTAATTATATTCATTTGATTGAGTTTTTGTTGTAAACAAATAAATTTTATTTCATTTCATACATTGTTTTGATTGTTTTGTTTTTTAAAGTATCAACATGAAACTAATATTGAATTGAATGAGAGAAACTAGAAAAGATTGATGATGAAAAAAAATTAAGAAATTTCGGCCAGTTTCATGGTTGTCCGATTGATGGTGGTGCCATAGCGAATGATGGATCAAAATCAAAAACTTCCCGAGCAATGAAAACACCACCGGCAAAAAATGCCCAACTTTTAACTAAATTCCTGCAAAAAATGAAATTTTTTGAAAAAAATTAAAAACCGTCGTGATCGTTGAAAAAATGATAAAATGAAACACTTACCACATGAAAGGATCATTATAGACCGATTTGGCCATATTGATGACTCGATTTCCATTTTCATTTCGTGGCATTTTTGTATTCTAAAAAAAAAATTTGAAATTTTTATATTGAAAAGTTGAAAAATTGAAAAAAAAATTTCTGAACCAACACAAAAAAATTAACATGTGTTTCGAAAAAAACGGATATCCACTAATGACACCTACAATAAGCTTTTCAAGTCTAAATAGTACATTGATTAAAGAGCAAAATTAATTTTTTTTATCCATTTTCTTATTGGCCCTATTGCGGTTATTATTTATCGATTTCTTTTCCGATCCATATATTTCGAAAATTTCTTAAAATAAGTTATTTCCATTTTTTTTCGCCCCAGTTATTGTGATAAAATGATGACCATAAGCAAATTTTAATTAATTCCAATTCGAAATTGTTATTATTTATATTTCTAATTTCATTTGTTTACATTTTACTGACGTATTGACAGTTAGATTGATGTTTTATATGTTTGTTTCAAATGATGATGATTATGTGTGGGTGGATTGTGTTTTAATTTATTTTCTGTGAGTTTTATAAGAGTTTGTTTATTTGCCATTTTCGAGAAAAATTTTTCTTTTAGCCATAATTGTTGGACACTGTTGACAGCCAAATCATAATAAATAAAAAAATCAACAATCATATCTCATATTTTTTGTTAATCCTGATTTCTGTCATCTTAAAATCAACCACCCTATCAATCTTTTTTTATCGTTTAAATACTTGAAGCAATTATCATAGAATATTGCAGGTATGTTTTATTTTAGTTGCCATTTTCAGATTATGATTTTCATTTTGTTTGTTTGATTTTTCAAATTCTAGCATCATTCGAACGTTCATGTTGCTCACAATCAAGCATATTGGTTGATACCTTAACAACGATTAACACTATTTGTTTTGGTTATCGTTTTGATGTGATGATCAAGAAGAAGAAAAAAATTCGCGATATATAACAATTTGTGATATATTTGCATCATATAATAATAGAATAGAGCTTTTTTTCCTTTTTCATCTCATCTCCCAAATCCTGGTGATATCTGATGATGGAAAACGTTAATGAAATTCCTGCCTTACATGGTGATGATTATCATCATCATTCTGATGTTGTTGGTATGTTTTTTTTAATCATTTTTTTTGGTGGGAGTTTCTCTTTGCAAATTTATTCATTTTTTTCCTTTTTCCCTGATTCATCGTTCATAGAAAAACCTTTAGAAAAGATAGATGTCGATAATAACAGCATTAATAATAATAATAATAATAATGAAAATGGAAATGAAAAAATGATTGAAACAAAAATTTCAAAATCCGAACAATCATTATCCGATAATAATAAACAATCATATAATAAAACATTTATGTATCAAATTCGTACACAATTATTAGGTATTCGTTTTCTTCAAAATGAACGTAAAGGTTTTGAACAAGAAGTTGAACGTTCAATGCATAAATTAAAAGTTAATCATGAAATGAATGCAATTGATAATGGTGATTTACCTGAAATTCTAATCAATATTCCTCATACTATAAATGATTTTGTTATTATTGAATTTGTTAACAAAACAATGGATGATGAAAAATTATTTTCATTGATTCAAAAATGTAATGAAGAATTTTTCGATAATTTACATCCAAATGATGTACAAATTGTACGTGATGCATTATTAATACATCCGATCAGAATTTTAGTTAATCAATTATTTTTATATCGTGGCCAATTAAATACACCAGTTGAACGTTGTTTAACAATGACAACAATTTTTTCATTACTTTCATCACCTTCAACGGCAAAACAACGACAACAAAATCGTTATCAACAATGTTTGATAGCACAATTTGAATCACCGGCACAGGTTACCGATGTATTGAATGTATTTCGTAAATTACATGGTATTATGAATCAATTTCAACCATTATCAACAAATATTGTTGTATCACGTGTTAATGAATATAAAATTGTAATGAATGCCGAGGTTGAAATTCAAGAAGAAATTAGTGATGGAAAATGGCAAACTTGTCCACGTGAAAAAGATAGTTTTAAAATTCGTACCAATATTGATAAACGTATCATAATCAATTTACAACAAGATCTAACACATTATAATTTTCCAATGATAAGAATTGAACGTTGTTTTGGAATGCTATTGTCACCCGGACGAAATGTTTCACCAAATCAAATGGTAGCTATTGGTTTAAATTCGATGAGTTCATCGATACCGAATCCGGAAACGGCACCAACACAATCACAATGGCAAATTGTTGCCAGTTGGATTCCAACCGAAATCGATTCGGATCATTTAAATACTGAAACAACACGAAGTAGTCGTGTATATTTTACTATTGCATTGGATTTAATTCTGGAAAATATTGAAGAACCAATTCGATTTATTTTCGAATCAAAAGCAAAAATCATTCCAACATCGATATCAGCAACTGAAAAATTTTGGAAAAATTTAGCTAATCTTTCGAAAAATTCACAACATTATATGCATGAATCATTTTCATTGATTGTTCGACAACGACCAGATATGCATGGCCGTATTATTTATGATGTAATTTCTTGTCTTTCATCAACGCAAATCGCTATGCAAAAACAGCGATTATCATTGCAGCTTAATTTGAATAAAATATCGGAAAGTTCAAAAGAGAATTCTACTCCGACACCCAGTTCACCATTGCCCGAAGAAGAACAACAACATGATAATAATAATAATGATGATGATGAACCATTACAAAGTGGATCTGGTTCGGTTCGACGTGAATGTTCACAAAATGAAATTCAAGCCTGGCATAACATTATGGAAAAATGGAATAAAGAAAATCTATCTGTACGACCACGACAATTGGCCAATATGATAAGACGTGGTGGAATTCCACAAGCTTTACGGCCAGAAATATGGCAGCTATTATCTGGTGCACATGAAATTGAAGAAAAAATATTACCAAAATATAAGCTATTTGTTACACAAGAATCTTCATATGAATCAATCATTTTACGTGATATTTCGCGTACATTTACTGCTCATGAAAAATTTCGTGATTCTGGATCGGATCAACAAGAATCATTGTTTCGTATTTGTAAAGCATATTCAAATTATGATTCGGAAATTGGCTATTGTCAAGGTCTTTCATATTTGATTGCAGCTCTTTTGTTGAATATGCCCGAAGAACAGGCATTCCTAGTGCTGATACAAATCATGTATCGTTATGGTTTACGTGATTTGTTTAAAAGTGGTCTAGAAAATTTACATTGTAAATTTTATCAACTTGAACGATTATTAGACGAACAAATACCCGAACTTTATTGCCATTTTATTGATCTACATATCGAAGCTCATATGTATGCATCACAATGGTTTTTAACATTATTCACTACAAAATTTCCATTGAATGTTGTGTTTCGAATTATTGATCTATTTCTGTTGGATGAAATGGATGTTATTCTACAGATCGCTTTAGGATTGTTACAAATGTCTAAAAATGATCTATTAGCATTAGATTTTGAAGGTATTATGAAATATTTTCGGGTCACTTTACCTAAAATTTATCGTGTTGATGATTCGGCTGCTCAATTGATTAAAAAATCTATCAAAATCAATGTCAAGGTTAGTTAATTTGTCTGTTGTCTTTCTTTTTAATTACATTATTCGGTTAAATGATTTTAGAAATCAAAAAAATATGAAGCTCAATTCAAAGAATGGCAGGAAAAGAATCGTGATCCATTGGAAATTTTGCAAACGGAAAATAAACGATTAATGCAGACGGTTGCCCGGTTAGAACAGGAAAACGATGATCAAGCAATGGAACTGATCGGATTATGCCAATCCAAAATACGGATGAAAATTGAGGTTGATCGTGCTGAAGATAAAGCTGACACACTTAACAACTTATTATTACAGACTCGAACTAAATTGGTCGATTCTGATGATGATCGTAAACAATTGAATGAAGAGCTTAAAAATTTAAAGGTTCGTAATAGTTGATCGGAAATTTTTCTTTAATAAAATGATTATTTACATTGATTAGGACAAGTATCGTCATGAAATTGATCGTTTCGAATTGGAAACTAAAAATGAACGGAAAATTATCGAAGAATATAAACAAATCTGTAAAAATTATCAGGAAAAATATGAAAAATGTCGAGAAGATTCGAATAAAATGATGGAAAAAATACTTAATGAAATAAAAACATGTCAAAATTGTACAGAAATTGTTAGAAAAATTATGCATTCAGAAACGGATAATTCGATCGATCAAAATAATCATAGTAGTAATGGTCAGATTGAAGAAGAACAAGATAAAGCTAAACAAGATCTTTATCGACGAATTGTCGATCTGGAATCCGAATTGATCAAAACAAAGATTGCTTTGGCCGAATCTGAAGATCGTAATGGGGTATGTTTTTTTTAATCTAATGTTGACAATTTTTATCGTTAAAAATTTTTTATTTTTTTTAGCAATTGATGGGAAAATTACATTCAACAACTTCAGAATTGAATTTATTAAAAGCAGAAAATGATGAACGTGCAGCAATGGCAAATAATACTTGGTTTACAAAAACATTATTATCATTTCGTGATGCAACAAATTCATCTTCATCATCATCATCATCAACACAAACAAAACATGTGAAACAAAGTAATTCAATTTCATCGGGAATTGCATCATCATTATCAAACGAATCATCATTGAACAATAGTCAACAAACTAATCAAACCAATAATAATGAGCCACAAAAATCAAATATGAATAATAAATTTCGACGTAACAGTAGTCAAAGTGAACATTGAAAACAAAACAAAAAAAATTCATCAAATATAAAATGTGCAAACAAAAAACAAAACAAAACAATCATTTTCTAGTCTGGTAAAAAATTGTTTAATAACAACAACAACAAAAAACTTTCTTTCATTCCTTTTTGTATAGATATAATATATTGTATTTTTTTTTTAAAAACAAAACAATCAATAAAAACAAAACAGAATACTTGGTTAACAATATATTCGAAAATGAATTTGATTAGATTTAATTTGGATTTTCACAAATACCAGTGAATAAAATATGTTTACCATCATTTGAAATTAACATGTAAACAAATGGTCGATCAACAATGAAATGAATTTCTTCTTCTAACATCATACAACATCGCATCATCATGATTGCAGTTGCAGCTGCAGCTTCAGTACCTTCTTCATTAACTTCAATTATAGCTTTTTGTATAACATCGGATACAAATAATTTTTCCGTACTAATACCGGAAAGATCAGCATCACCAGTGAACAATGTTTTTACATTCAATCGAACTAAATGTGGTATCAAATGATGTGTTGATTCAATTTTAAATTTAGGCATTCTTAATGTAACATCTTGAGAATCATCCATTCGTTTCAAAATTTGTGCCAAATGATCGCTATTTTGCATTGTTTCCAAAACATTTAAAATATTTTTTCCTTTCGAAGGTAATACGATTACCATCGAAATTGATCCAGTTGTATATGGAATTGCACAAGCTTCCAAACCCCATTCTTCAGAACGATAATAATGAAATTTTTCCTTTTTTCGCATCATTTTTACTTGAACGATGGTATTATCGGATTTATGAAAATCCTCATCTAATGTTTCGGCCTTATCAAAAGGATGTTTCCAAAGACCTTTGAAATGAATTGCATTTATCAATATGGCACGAGTTTCTGAATCAATTTGATCCAATAAAGTTGGTATCATATCTTTAGTAGCTTTCTTTACGGCACCGTTAATTTCAGCTAAAGCAGCTTTTGAATCACTAAAATCTAATTGTTTGGCCATGGCTGTAAAATTTTTGGTCAAAATATCAACATAGGCATCTTTCAATGGAAAACTTTTTCAACAAAAAAAAAATTCATTAATTATGGAATATCATTTCAGAAAAAAAATATACTTACGTTTTATTACTGTAAAGCATGTTTGCATTATTCAAAACACTTTGGTTTGATCGAAAAAATTCTTGTAAATTTTTGGTTAAATTATCCAACATTAATTTACCATCTTCAATTTTGGTTACTTTTGTTCCGAATAAAAATTGAATCAATTCATTTTGGGTATGGGTATTAGCACCGGCTAATACCATTGCCATTGCTGTTGTCAATGAAAATGGTGAAAGAACAAGATTTTTACCCGATTCATAAAGATTTTTGGTCAATTTCATGACCATTTGATTATTATTGATATTTTCGTTTGCCATTGTTTTTTTCTCTTGTCAGGTGTATCAAGTATGAAAATTCAAAATAAAATGATTTCAATTTCGGAAAAAAAAATAATTAAGGGCGTAGGCGAATTTGATGTTGATGATAATGATAGCCAAAAATGAATGAAACAATCCAAAAAAAAACTGCTCAAACGTTTATAGCAACCAATATTATTACCATCATTTGGTAACGTCATTTAACCAAAAGAAACAAAAAAAATCGAATGAATGAAATAGAATGTAATACACAAGCAATGGTGCCTCTATTTGATGCAAGAAAAAAAAATTGTTTATGACTTTAGCAATATAAAAAACAGCTGGCATAGTTATAAAAAAATTGTTGCTAACCACAGTTCTTTATTTGGTTTTTTTATTTGGTTTTTTTTGTTCGATGTCAATCAAAATAAACATTATTATTTGAAAAAAATATTTAATCTTTCATTGGAAGAATTGGATATGGTGCTATTGGTTGTGAATTGTTACCATAGTTTTCAGAATATGGTGGTGGTGCTTCATTGAAACCGATTGGTGGTGCCGATGGAATTGCACCACCACCACCACCACAAGCATTAGGATCTGGAATTGGTGGATACATCATCATATTAGGATTAGAACCAGGTTGTTGACCAAATGAATATTGTTGTTGTTGTCCTGGTTGTGGATAAAAATTCGGTACTGGTTGCGGTTGTTGTTGCTGCTGCTGATTCAACTGTTGATTAGTCAAAATTATTGGCAATTTGCAATAAAGATTGATTGCTAAAGGAATATCCAATTTAACTTCGATATAATAATTTATCTGTATTACACGACAAGTATTATGAATGACTGGTAATGCTTTTGGCAAAAGAATTTGTATATGATATTGGCCACCAATACGATTGGCTGCAACCTGTTGACCAAATGTTGTTAGAATTTTTTCACGATGTGTTTCACGATTATTATAAGCTGATATTTGAATATCTTGTTTAATCGATGCACTTAATGTCATTAATTTATCCGAATAATTATCAATAAAACAAGTAAGAGGAATAGTACTGCCCATTGTCCATCCAGCTTGAGGTATATTGCAACGCATTGTTAATTTTTTCCCATTGAATAAACCAACTGTTTTAGATTGATCATCTTGTACGGGTGACTAAAATGAAATATTAAAAAAAACAATATTAATAATTAAATTTGCTCTTAAATAACTGTGTGTGTGTAAATATTACATAAAGTTCATTCGGAGAAACCGAAGGTGATCCCAATAATTGAATGTCCAATTCTTTAGTTTTACCACCGACACTTGCTTTAAGGCGATATTCAATAAATGCCCATCGTTTATATTGAAATGAACTTGGCAGATTGATTGGTATGACAAATTGAAATGGAAGCTCATGATTTCCTGGACCAAGTTTCGAACCAACACCATTTGGTGCAAATTGATAAATCTGACGAAATAATTCGAAATTTTCATTCACAGAATGTTCTCTATTTTGATGATGATGATGATGACGATGATGATGATTATTATTATTAATAATATTACTTGTAATAATAGTGGTAGTTGATCCAACTGTTGATTTACCAATCGTATGATTTCTAGGCTGATTAATTTGAATCAATGTATGAACACGTCCATTGAATAATAATTCCAAATTATTTTGATCAATCGATTCATTTAATGAAAATACTAAACGACCAGTAATTAATTCACCTGAATGATAAGTTTGATTCGAACGATCCAATAGAATCGAAATCGAATTTACTCGATTTTCGAATAATGATCGTATGATGTTCATGATGATGATGAATGTTTTTTTTCACAAATAACACGCTATCGTTGTTTTGTTTATTGCTTTCGGAATCTAACGAAAATGATGACGATGACTCATAAAATGAACAAAAAAAAATCAAAATAAACAAACAAATATTGACAAGGTTTTTTTCCAATCGACGACTCATATAACCATCGATGATGTTTGGATAACAAATGAAGAGAGTGTTAGAAAAAAGAAAAAGAGAAAGTTATTGCTACAATCGAGGAAAAACTTATGGAAATGTTTGCTCGTCCCATTTCAATTTAATACGTCATTGGAAGGATTAAAGAGTAACCATTTGAATCAAAAACTATGTGATTTTCAGAAAACAAAAGTTAAATTATCATCAGATTTTTTGTCATAATCAGATTGTTAATGGTAGGCGTATTTTATTGTGTTTTTTTAGACAGAGAAAAAATTTTAAAATCAGTTTTTTGTATTTTGAAAATTGCTCATTCTATGGCAACAAACAAATGATGATTAGTAAAATACTTTAAAAATTAAATTGATCATTGATGATCGATTGTTTTTTATTCACCAAAACAACCAAATGATGAAAGTTTATTATGTGTTGTTAATGATAATGATGATGGTTTAAATTGTTTAATTGATTCAATATCTAATTGTTGATAGGTTAGAATAATTGGTAAACGACAAAGTAAATTTATTGACCATGGTATATCTAGATAAATATCTAATATATAATTAATATGTACTAATTGACATGTACCATATACAATTGGTAATTTTTCTGGTAATGTTATATTTAAAATTTGTTCAAATTTTGAATTTGATTTAATATTTGGTCCAATCATTTTTAATACTTTACGATTACAAACTTTACGTTCGGATAATGCCATTAAAAATATTTGCTGACGAAGTTTTGCTTTTAATGTTAAAATTTTATTTGAATTATTTTCAATCGAACACATTACAGGTATAAATTGACCAACAGTAAAACCAATTCTTGGTAATTGACATTTCAATGTAACTAAACGTGAACGAATTATACCGATTTTTTTCTTTCTTGTATCACAAAATGGTATCTGGAAAATGGTATATATGTTATTTAGGGAATTATAACAGATTACAAGACAGACAAACAAAACAACTTACCAACAATGTACTAATAGAAGTATTTGGATTAGTTAAAATGATTATTTCAATAAATTTGATTGTTAAACCAAATATAGCTTTAATTTTATATTTAATATGACTATCGAATGTATAACGAAATGTACTTGGTATATTGATCGGTATCTGAAAATTGAATGGAATTTCATGCCATCCAGGTTTTAATATTGAAGGTTCTATAGACAGAATTGGAAAAAAACATTCATTAAGAAAAACATCACCATTAAGCGAAATGACATACGATCTTTTGGTCGAAAATATTGTTGAAATAATGGTTGACATTCGATCGCTGTACGACTTTTATTTGTTTCCAGATAAGTTTTTGCCTGGCCGAAAAATTTTATTCTTATTTTATCCACATCTAATGTATCGATTAATAAAATTTTACAATAACCAGTTATTGATTCACCACCAAAATAGGTTGCATTTTCACGATCCAATACAATTTTCAATGATTTTACTGATATTTTCCATAATGGTGTCACTTTGACCAATGTTCGTCGAAGACAAATCATTTTGTCAGTTTATCGTTGTTGTCATCAAATGAAGTGATCATTTTTGGGAAATGTAAATTTTTCATTACTTTTTATAGTCGATTTTCAATCGAATGAATGTCATGCGATTTTAGTTTTGTTGAATCAATCGATCATTAATTGACGTAATTTCATTCTTTTTGGGTTCCACATGAAGATGATGGATTACACTGTTGATATTTTTTTTTTTTTTTTGTTTCTGGATAAATCGAATAAGAACTTTTTCGAGTTTCTATTTATTTAATTAGAATAATAATTTTTCGTTTTGTTTTGTTTTCGATTACAATAATAAGTTTACCATACAATTTTAATGGGTCGGTTAGACTTTAGTAATTCCTTCGGTTAAAGCAATGGATGATGAAAAATTTTTGATCAAATTGAATCAAAAATTAAATGATCAATCAAGAAATGATCGTTTGGAAAATGTTTTTGAATTGAATATGAAATTATTGAATAATGAACTGAAAAATTTGATTGAAAATGATTTGAATCGTGAAAAATTATTAGAATTTGTTGATTGTAATAAACCATTAGATTTTGGACAAATATTTGACCCGGAAGAATTTATTGAACAACGTTTTCAATATTTTGGTTCCGGATCATTTGGTAATGCTATACTTATGTATCGTGGACGACGGTATACGGAAAAAATGATTAAAGCAATAAAATGTTTACCCGAAAAATTAGCAACAAATATTTATTCATCAGCAATGAGTTATTCGGATGTTTGTAAAGAAGTTGTTTGTTTAAAAATTTTATCACAACTTTCATCCGGTGTTACAATTGTTGAAAATCAATCAATTAATGAAAGTGATCATGAATTTGGTGATTCAAATCTGTCAACACGAAGACGATTGACTAATGATTCGAATGAATCAAGTAATGATTCGAATGAAGATGATGATGCTGAACCAGAACCAATTGTCGAATCAAGACGTCCACGTAAACGATATCGTTTTAAAACCGGTTGTTTTCCAATTGTATCCAAAATTTATCTTTGCCATAATGAAGCAAAATCATTAATAAATTTTGAATCACTTATACCATCATTGGATGAAAGTCGTCTACCACAGAATAATATTCTTGAAACAATCATTATAGTTATGGAACATTGTGGTTTACAGTTACGTGAACTAATGGATCAACAAATGATTCAACCATTTGCATTGATATCGATATTCAAACAGATTGTCATAGGTTTGGCTATTGCTGAAAGTATTTATAATTTTGAACATCGTGATCTTCATATTGATAATATTATCTGTAAAGAAGTTGAAACACGTTGGATAAAATTTGTTTTCAAATCGAAAAAATATAAAATTCTTTCGTTGGGGTTTGAAGCAAAAATTATTGATTTTGGTTATTCACGTATTAATGATGGTGATAAAATTTATTATAAAAATTTGGATGCACTTGATTATGATTCAGATATGGATGATCCATATAATGCAATGGCAAAATTATTTAATCGACAAAATGGTGGTGGTGGTGGCGGTCAATGGTCCGATTATTCAAATCGTACAAATTTTATATGGATAAAATATTTAGTAAAAAAATTATTAGAATATATGGATATCTGTTATAAGGATAATCATCGAAAAACAACAGCAACAACAACAACAACAACAATATCAATAGCAACGATACGACAAGAGTTACCGATTACGAAAAAATATTTTCAATCAATACAGACAAAAATTATTATGGGCAATTGTGAAGATATTTTTCAACTTTTCAATCAATTAATACAAAATGATTTTAATCATTTAGTTCCATTTCGTTGCTATTGATTTCTCCGATATCAAATAACTTTTTTTTTCAAATCAATTTTCTTATCATCGAAAGGAAAAGAAGAAAATTTCTTTTTTCTTTCATTGATAACAAATTTGCGGCTTCGAAATAAAATTTTGATCATAACTAACAAAAAATAAAACATTTCATTTTAACAAAAAAAAAACGCTTAAAAATTATGAATATTTTTCGTGCATATCATCGTGTGATGACCAATCATCCAATCAAAACACAATGTATAACAACAGCATTATTGGTTACATCGGGTGATCTAATTGCACAAAAATTGATTGAAAAACAACCAGAATTGATTGTAAAAAGAACAGTAAAATTTGCATTATTTGGATTATTATTTGTCGTAAGTTGTCGGTACAAAAAATATTCGCGAACAAAAAAAAATATGTAAATTACAAATATTCAATGATTTTTAGGGACCATCAATAACTTTTTGGTATCGAATATTGGATAGACGTTTTGGTCCGAAACAATTACTACTGAAACCATGGCAAAAAGTTTTAATCGATCAGGCTACATTTAATCCTTCGATTCATATGATGGCAATTATTATGTTAGGATTGATGAGTCAAGAATCATTTAAAGAAATTAAAACTAATATCGAAGATAAATATGTTGATATTATGAAAAATAGTTATAAAGTTTGGCCTGCTGTACAGATGGTTAATTTCTATATGATTCCATTGAATTATCGGTAATTTTGATGATGATAATCGAAAAAATCATTTCCAAAGATAATCTTTTCTTTTCTTTTTTTGTTGTCAATCCATAAAGGGCTGTATTTACATCGGGATTTTCATTGGCATGGAATTCCTATTTGGCTTGGAAATTGGGTGAAAAAGAAAAATAATTTTATCTGAATAAAATGAATTAGAAAATTTATTAGAAATTTGAAATTGGATCACAGTAAAATTCACAAACAAAGTTACATCATAAATAAAAACAAAAACCATGCCTGATGATAATGTTTCATTAGTTGATTAAATAAAAGATTTAATTATTCAAAAAAAGATCATGAATATATTCCGTGCATATAATCGAATAATGATTAAACATCCAATCAAAACACAATGTATTACAAATGCTTGTTTAGTTGCAACCGGTGATATAATTGCACAAAAATTTATTGAAAAACAATCAGAACTTTTAGTTAAAAGAACGGCTAAATTTGCATTGTTTGGCCTAGTTTATATTGTATGTATTTAAAATTCTTAGACATTTTTGATGTATTGAATTTGAATCTTTTTTTGGTTTTTTTTTTGAAAAAAAAACACCAGGGACCATGCATATCATTGTGGTATAGATTTTTGGATCGAAGTTTTGGTCGAACAAAACAAATCATTTTGAAACCATGGCAAAAAATGATTATCGATCAATCAACATTTAGTCCAGCTATCAATTTTTTTGCTTTACCAATATTAGGTCTAATGAATCGAAAATCAACAAATGAAATTGTTAAAAATATACAGGAAAATTATATTGATATTATGATTGCAAGCTATAAAATTTGGCCAGCTGTTCAGATTGCTAATTTCTATCTAATTCCATTGAATTATAGGTATTTATTTATTTATTCATTGAATATCATTAACCTGAAAACAATGAATTTTTTTTTGTTTTGCATTTTCTAGAGCTATATTTGCATCAATGTTTGCATTAATATGGAATTCATATTTTACCTGGAAACTTGGTGAAAAGAAATAGAATTTATTTAGGTTGATTATTTTTTCGTTTTGTAATTATCTATGTTTTCTATAATTTTTTTTTTGTAAATCGAAATAAAAACTGTTATTAAAAAAAAAAGATTTTTGTCATTTTGGAACAAAATTTCCAAATTGGCTTTCAGAAATGACGTCAATATATAGAATATTCACCAACAGCTGTTTCAGGATTGTCGCTCCAAGAATTGTTTACATTTATTCAAAGTATTTAAATGATTGAATGAAAAACAAAAAATGGATGATCCGATGAATTCTAATATCGAGGATTTATTCAATCCATTAATTCGTCGACGAAAAGTTTTGATTCCGGGAAAAGGTGATGTTCCAGATTATTCAAATGGAACAAAGGTGAGACATTGTTGTTTGAAATGTCCATTAACAAAAATTTTAAAAAATTTTAGGTAACATTTCATTTTAAAACTGAAGCTTCATATTCTGATGATGATAATGAATTAGACATGATAGTGATTGATGATTCAAAATCATCGAATAAACCAATGGAATTATTTATTGGAAAACAATTTAAATTTCCATTATGGGAAGAATGGATTAAACATATGCGATTGGGTGAACTTTCACAATTAAGTTTAGATTGGTTGCTATGTCAAGATGTGTATCCACTTTTATCAAAATCGTATAGAAATTTTGCCACTCCACATGACCATAATCATGATCACGATGATCCAGCAAGACGATCGCATTGTTGTGGAATGGCTAAACAAACTGGAACAGGCCATAAAGATCTTGATGAACTTATCAATAAACCACCAAAACGATTACGATTTACTATCGAAATTATTCGTGTCGAAAATCCGAATGATGTTGATAAAGAAATCTGGCTAATGAATGAAAAAGAAATGCAAGAAAATATACCAATTTTACAATGTGAAGGTAATGAATTATTTGCAGCGAAAAAATTTGAAGATGCTTCATATAAATATCGTAAAGCATTGGCTATTCTTGAACAATTAATGACAAGAGAAAAACCCGGTGATCAAGATTGGTTAAATTATGATCTAGCAAAAATTCCATTACTTAGTAATCTATCACAATGTGAACTATATCTACAACAATATTATAATGCTATACGACATACTGATGAAGTATTGGAAAAAGATTCAAAAAATATTAAAGCTTTATATCGTCGTGCTAAAGCACATTCAGCCGTATGGAATGTTGAACAAGCTAGAAAAGATTTTCAACGTGTTTCCGAATTAGATCAAACATTACAACCAATGATCAAACAACATCTTATTGAACTTGATCATCAGGTTAAACGTAAAACGCAGGAAGATATGCAATTATTGAAAGGGAAATTATTTTGAAAAACAAAATTAATCTTTTTTTCTGTTTTTTCTTATTGTTTTTGTTAAACAAATTATATTTTTATTTCGTTTTTTAATTGTAATTTAATGAAATGAATTTATTCAAATCCGTCCTCTATGAATATATTCGATTTATGAAATAAACAATTTTTTTAATAAGCAAATTACCTTGATCAACAAATGAATTCATGAATTCATTAATGAATTCAACAAGTTGCAAACAAACGACGACATCAAATTCATAATTGTGAATTAATCATGAAACTTCGACATCATTTTCGTGATCTTCAGGAATGGAATAATCAAGGTCTAACGATCAAAAGTACTAGTTCGGATTGTGCTGTAAAATTATTCGATTCTGCATTGACTCAGGTATTTTACACTGATAATAACAATCGTAAAGATTAGTGAAATTCATGTTTTGCATGTTATAGTATGTTGGTTGGTATGATGATGATATTGGTATGGCTACAACTGTAGAGAAAATGATTGCCGAAGATCCAAATTTTGTTCTTGGTCGTGCATTATCGATTGGTTTGGATCTTATCGGAACCGGAACAAGTATTCGACGTGATCCAAATCTAAATACTCAGCTAATCGATTTGAAACAATTGGCTGATAAACGTAAATCTGAAATTGAATGGCGTGAATTTGCTCATGTTCAGGCAATCGATTTACTTGCTAATGGAAATATGGCTGCAGCCAGTGAAATATGGGAACAAATTCTTAGCAAATATCCAACTGATATGCTTGCATTAAAATTTGCACATGATGTTTATTTTTATCTTGGTGACAAGAAAAACATTCTGAATTCAGTTGAAAGAGTTTTTTCAAAATGGGAAACAAGTCAAGATCCACTTCAAGGGTAAGTTCAAGTGATTTAAAATAATTATTTTTTGACAAAATTTTTCCTTTTAGATACATTCACGGAATGTATGCATTTGGATTGGAAGAACATCGTCGATACAGTGATGGTGAGAAGCAAGCAAAATTAGGTTTGCAAAAAATTCCTCAAGATGCTTGGGCAGTTCATGCTTTAGCACATGTTCATGAAATGCAACGTAGAACAAATGAAGGAATCGATGCTATCAATACAACGGAAAAAGATTGGCAAGGCTGTAATTATCTAGCTTGTCATAATTATTGGCATTGGTCATTGTTTCATATGGAATTGGATCGACCAGAATCAGCATCATCGATCTATGAATCACGAATTGGACCACAAGCTAAAAAAAGTGGAAACATGTTGGATATTGTTGATGCTACTTCATTGCTTTATCGATTGGATTTATTGTTTCCGAACAAATATACTGCTAATCATTGGCAAGATTTATACAAAGTTTGTGAACCACATTTCGATGATCATATTTTAGGCTTTAACACTGTTCATTTTACAATGGCATGTCTTGGAAATGATAGACCAGAAAAAGCTGAAGAATTATTGGAAGGATTACGATCAATCAAAAGGGAAGGAATAATTAAAGATCATTGGATTGATATTACTGAACAGGTTTTACAATCAATGATTGATTTTAAACGTGAAAAATATCAATGTTCATTAGAACAATTATTAGCCATCAAAGATGATCTGCTCAAAATGGGTGGAAGCGATGCTCAACGAGATGTTTTCAATCAGCTAATGTTAGTGGCTGCAGTTCGTGCACAATCAATGGATATTTGTCAACAATTATTGAATGAAAGAAAATCATTACGAGGTGATGATATTGTTGTACGTGAATTGATTAAAGTTATGGAACAATGTTAAACAAACACACACAAAAATTCACCAAATTTGAAATTTTTTATTATTTTTTTTCAAAATAAAATTTGTTAATTGTATATGATTATACAATACAAAAAGAATAAAAATGAAATGGTTTCATTTAATCGAAAAGACCGAATCCCATATCATCATCTTCCTCTTCCTCCTCTTCTTCTTCTTTCTTTTCAGCAGCAGAAGCTTTAGCAGCGTTATCACCACCACCGGCAACAGCAGTTGGAGCAGCTAAAGCAGCAAATTTCGATGGATCTTTCAAATATTCTTTTGCTCGTGATGCAGCTTCGAAATCGATATCGGTAACCAATGCAACCGAAATCAAATTCTTCAATCCATTTACGATTGAATGCGGTACCGATGCCAATGTTGGATAACCGATCGACAATGATACAGAGGCAACATTTCGTACACCTTCCAAGAAACGCAGACGAATATCATCCGGTGTAATATCCAAAATATCCGGATCGAAAACAGTACCCGAATCGTAAACTTGACGAATCACTAAGCCATAAGTGAACGGAGAGATGTTCAACATGTTCAACAAAGTAGCTTCAGAAGCGCCGACTCGATCATTTTTCTTGATCAGATGAATTTCATTCAAAATTTCAATGGTACCCTTGGAAATTTTGGTTGGAATCGACAAAGCTTGAAAGAAACTAGTCTTTTCCGGACCTAAGCCAGTATTTTGCGCCGGGATCTTTACGTCGCATGGAGCCAAAGCACCTGCACGAGCTGGAGCTTGAACCTTGTTATCCAAAATCTTGTCACGAATGTCAACCAATTCTTTTTCAGTGAAAACGAAACCAATGTTGGACTTGATATGAGGCAACAATTTTTCCAAAGCCGGATTGCTATCGATATGGCCACGAATAGCCTTACGGATCATCGTATTTTTACCCATTAACAAAACGGCATCTTCACGAAGCGAATGACGAATCGTTTGCATTTGTTTCGATCCGACATTATCCACACCTACGATAAAACATTTTGGATATTCGTCCAACAGATTCTGTATTGGCGAAATAAAGAAAATGAATGAAAAACAACAATTCAAGAAATAAAGAGAAAAAAAATACCAACCAAAAGTTTGGTGAAATAGTTGGCTTTCCAGGTAGATCTGTCCTCCCTGCCCATCGTTAAATTTGTGAAACAAGGATTATAACTTTTAAGGACAAATCTAAAAAATATTCTATAAATTGAAAACAAAGAATTCAATTAACAAAAAAGATCAAAAAATGAATATCAAAAACTTACAGTTAAGTTGGGAAAATGTTGAGAAAAAAAAATTTGCACAAATCAAACACGTTCAACACAATGTGCTGTTTGGAAATGATGTGTGCTGTGTTTTTTAGAAAGGAAAAAGGAAAAAGTTGAGAAAAATATACACACGTGAAAAAAATATCGATTACTATCGCGATAGTCAATTGTCCGTTCGAATTGAATTTTAAGGCGGTACTTTGTTAGCCAGAATCAACCAATCATATTTGTTTTCGGTTAGGATATTTGAATTGAAACCATCCAAACAGATGAATTTTGTTTGTTTGTGTTTTTTCACTCAACAACAATGTATCCAATGCTTAATATTCGATAATTCGATATTTTCAAGTTCTTCGAATTTGTTACATTTTGTTTTCATCCTTTATATTTTAAAATGTAACATTTTTTCTACCATGAATACAGATAATTTATCTGTTCAAATTCGAATTGATTTTTTAACTAAATTAAAAAATTATCCACATATTTTGGAGAAAATTCTCGCCAATCTTCGACCAAAAGATCTTCGAACAATATCGTGTGTTTGTAAAAGTTGGTATGAAATACTTTGTAATAGAACACCAATTGCAAATCGTCGTCGATCAAAATCAATAAAGAAATTGCGTAAAATTAAACGAATAAAAGGTGAAGAAAATTGGCCTATTGATTTGAAATGTGCAAAACTAAAACGAAAACTACAAAAAGAACGTCAAGCTTTATCATCGATTCAAAACTTATCAACAACTAATGATAATCGTTTACCTTCTTGTTCGAATGATGATAACGAAGTTAGAACACCGAAACGAAAACGATGGACATTGGCTCAGGTACCATTCAAATCTTGGTGATTAATTTTTCTCTCAAAATAATTATCTTTGATTATTCCGAAATGATTGATTGAAAAGTATTTTTTTGTTTTGTTTTATCTGGTTTATCAAACCAATATTGTTTTTTATTTATCATGTTCTTTTGAATTGATTACAATTAAAATTGTTTTTTTGAAATATTTTATTGATCATTTTTTTGTTGCTGTTGTTCTTCGGTGAAAAGCATCGGATTCCATTGAATGTGTTCGAATCGAATTTTATCACCATCACCATCATAATGTACAATGATTACATTTTTTCGAACATTTTTACCTAACCGTCCATATGCTTGTGTCATACGTTGTTTGAAACGTTGAAATTCATTATCGTTTGGGCAACAAAATACAATAAATTTTGCATGAAATAGGATTGGATCATGATCATAGACAAGAAAATGTGCACCAAATTTTAATCCATTTGTTAGATAATAACCAAGTGACCAAAAATGATGAAATGTAAGAAATTTTAATTCATCTAAACTTTTCGGTTCTAATGATGGTAATTGAATGGGTTTTTCCAATTTAAATTGTTGATATTGTGATTGAATATGAAAACGAATACGATCTTCAAGATCTTTATCTGATGGTTCACGTATTGTTGAAAGCATTTCATCAAGAATTTTATTTCGATATTGTTCACGGTCATCGCCTTCAAGTTGAATTTGAGATTTTTTCATTTTACCAGCAACAATTTTATCTAAATTCGTAATAATTTGTTCACGTCTTTCTTCCATAAATTTTTGACGACTTTCATCGCGAAATTTTTTCAATAATTCATTATAATGTTGTAATAATTGTGGATGATTTTCTTCAGTAGAAAATGATTGTTCAACAATTTCGATAACATTTAATGTAGTTAATATTCGAATTTCTTCATCCGAAAGAATCAACGGTAAACCATGATTATCATTTTGACGTGGATGTAATGGGATTGTTCCGATCAAACTTCCAATGATACGATATTTTTCACGAATTTCAACAGCATCTAATTTTTTTCGAAATGAAATGAAAAATCGATTGAAAAATTGATCGTGACTTACCATTTGCATTCCAAACCATATAAAGACCATGTGAGAATTTAATTTTGATCATTTTGTACAAGAAAAAAAAAATTTATTTATGAAGAAACTAAAACTATAAAGTTTACAAAAACAATTGAATTGCAGAATGAAAGAATATGATTTTTAATTCCAAGAAGCTTTTATCACTCCAGAAAGTTTATTATAATCGGCTAAATGACGGAAACAAAAACGACTAAGACGATAACGTTTAACAATACCACGCGATCGACCAGTTACAGCACAACGACTATGTAATAAATGAAACATAGAATCACGTGGTAATGCACGTTCCAATTTATATGCTTCTTCCTGGTGATATCGAATAGAGAAAGAAAGAAAATGTTAGCCAAATTATGAAAAGAAAACAATAAAAGATTCAAACTAACTCGAACAGATTGTGGTAATGTTTGATTTTTTCTCATATTATAATAACATTGACGAAAAGGATAATAATCGATAAATACACGACGACGACGAACATCACGAAGCATACGTGTTGTTGCCCATTTCAATTCACCGATTGAATTTAAACTTGGTAGATTTGGATCTTCAATTTTTCGTTTACGTTCTATTCTTGTTTCAAATGTATGACCTTTTCCGGACAACGGTGAAATTGGCGGAAGATTAACGTACTGTGGAAATGGATTTTTTCCCGAATTAGATGCCAGAAAACGATATTGATTAGCTATAATAAGATTAAATGATCCATTTATCAAATGAATCGTTTGTTTGAATTGATTTCCTAATTTATTTAGAATGAATGCCATAACTTTAAATAAATATTAGGCTATTGAATCATCAGGAAAAAAATGCTCTATATAACCTTTAGTACAATGATAATTACCTTTATATAATAAGAAATAGATCAACTAAACAAAAAATTTGAAATCGAAAAAACTTAAAATAAACATCAAATCCACATGGTATAATGGTTTATATGAACAGGTCAAGGATGACTAAATGTCAGCTATTTGCATCCAACTCAAAATTCATAAATTATGAAAAATATTTCAAGTTTTGAACATCACAATTCGGGCTAATAATTAAAATTTTCAATGTCATTCAATTTTCATGATCATATTTATTCTATTTCAATTGGGAAAATGAATTTTATAAGCTTGATTAGTTGATAAATGATTACAATTACCGGCAAATCGTAATTTATGAATTTTCAATTCAATGATAGGTTGAAATAGAAATTGGAACAAAAATCGACAACGACAGTCGCGTTGTGTGTGATAAAACTGCAATGCACACTTTTTATTTCGCTTATTTGGCGTTTGTTGTGCATCGTGTTCGAATGTAAAAGCATTTAACGAATTTTATTCACTGTAAAAAAAAAATTTTGTACTTTGATTAATTTTTCCACATTATTCTTTCATCTCAAGTGAGTTTCATTTTGTTTTTTTTTAAATTGAAAAATTCATTTTCTATTTTATAATAATCTTCTCTTGTAATGATAATCCAACAAAAAGAAACTTTTATTTCTTTGGATTTCCGTCTCGGATGAATTCGAATGTTTTATGATTCGATTTCGATGATGATGTCATCATCATTTGATGAATCATTTCCATAGTCCTTTTTTTTCTTAAAGTGATAGTCTTTCATCAATTTTTCCTAAATTAGTATCCTGTTTTTTTTTGTTAGCTTAATTTTCTGATCCCAAATTTTTTTTTTCAAATTTTCAATTTCAACGTGTTTTGATTTTGCTGCAATGGATATTAAAAAAAATATTCATACAAAGCAAGTATCCGGATGATTTTTTTTTTCTTCAACGAAACGTGTGTTAATAAAATTCGCGAATTTCATACACACACATTCGTTTGGTGGTTCTTCCTTTTTTCTTTTTTTTTTCTTCATCGAATGATTTGATGATACTGCGCATCATAGCTGCGCGTTTTTTCTCTCTTTTTTTCTCACTCTATCTCTCTTTACACGTATGCAGCCCATGCCTTCGATTTGAGCATGCCACCTAGTGTTTTTGAAAAATATATATTGTTAACAAGTAAAGAAACAATTTCTTGTCGATCGAAGCGCCACTTCCGTCGGCATTGCATTTCTATTGCGGTGTGTTGTGTGTGTGGTGTGCTTTTTTTCCCTTTTTTAATTTTTTTTTTGCTTGCTTTGAATTTCTTATTCTGTCTTTGTGTTTCAAGTGTGTGTGTGCGTGTTTTTTCTTGCTTGGACTTTGGTTTTTTTTGGTAAAATATAATTTTGTTTGCTTGATTTTTTTTTTGTAATTTGTTTTTATAAACATTCTGAATAATCTGTGTTATATTCTTGTTGTAATAAATTTTAAATTTTTTTTATTGTCATTTAATTTTAGTTTTGAATTCGATTGATTTTTTAAAAAAATTCGAACAAGATGGGAAAAGAAAAGACTCATATCAATATTGTCGTCATTGGTCATGTCGATTCAGGTAAATCGACCACCACTGGTCATTTGATCTACAAATGTGGTGGTATCGATAAACGTACTATTGAAAAATTCGAAAAAGAAGCTCAAGATGTAAGAAAACTATTTTAATTTGGAAAATGAAAATTTTCTAATTTGAATTGCTTATTTAAATACTTTTTAGATGGGTAAAGGTTCTTTCAAATATGCCTGGGTTTTGGATAAACTAAAAGCTGAACGTGAACGTGGTATCACAATCGATATCACTTTGTGGAAATTCGAAACACCAAAATATTACGTAACTGTTATTGATGCTCCTGGTCACAGAGATTTCATCAAAAACATGATTACTGGTACTTCTCAAGCTGATGTAGCTGTTTTAATTGTCGCTGCTGGTACTGGTGAATTCGAAGCTGGTATTTCGAAAAACGGTCAAACCCGTGAACATGCTTTGCTTGCCTATACTTTGGGTGTCAAACAATTGATTGTCGGTGTAAACAAAATGGACACCACTGAACCACCATTCTCGCAAGCTCGTTTCGAAGAAATCCAAAAAGAAGTATCTGCTTATGTAAAAAAGATTGGTTACAATCCGGCTACCGTCGCTTTTGTCCCAATCTCTGGCTGGAACGGTGACAACATGTTGGAACCATCAACCAATATGACCTGGTTTAAAGGATGGGCGATCGAACGAAAAGGACAAAAATTCGAAGGTAAAACTTTGTTGCAAGCTTTGGATGCACAAGAACCACCAACTCGTCCAACTGACAAACCACTTCGATTGCCATTGCAAGATGTATACAAGATTGGTGGTATTGGTACTGTGCCCGTTGGTCGTGTCGAAACTGGTGTTTTGAAACCAGGTTGTGTCGTTACTTTTGCTCCAGCTGGTATCACCACTGAAGTAAAATCTGTCGAAATGCACCACGAAGCCTTGCAAGAGGCTGTGCCTGGCGATAATGTTGGCTTCAACGTCAAAAACGTTTCAGTCAAAGAATTGCGTCGTGGTTATGTAGCTGGTGATAGCAAAGATAATCCTCCAAAGGGATGTGAAGAATTCACTGCCCAGGTCATCGTATTGAATCATCCAGGCCAAATCTCCAATGGATACACTCCAGTTTTGGATTGCCACACCGCTCACATTGCTTGCAAATTCAAGGAAATCAAAGAAAAATGTGACCGTCGTTCAGGAAAAAAATTGGAAGATATGCCCAAATCAATCAAATCGGGTGATGCCGCCATTATCGATTTGGCACCAACTAAACCAATGTGCGTCGAATCATTCACGGAATTTCCACCATTGGGTCGTTTTGCCGTTCGTGACATGAGACAAACCGTTGCCGTCGGTGTTATCAAGGCTGTCAAACCGAAAGAAGCTAGTAGCGGAAAAGTGACCAAGGCTGCTGAAAAAGCACAAAAGAAAAAGTAACCAAACGCCCCATACTTGAAATTCGTTTCTTTGTTTATGTGGGCCTTCTGGCAATTCACTTTTCGATCTTTTTTCTTCAAACACTACATACATACATACACCAATTACAAATCCCAACAACATTTATTACCTGAAATGATGATTTTTTGAAACTAAAAACAATTTAATAAAAAACACCATTTTCATTTTATATTTGAAAACAAAAAAAAAAAGATTAATAAGTTTTGAAAAATAAAATTTCCAAAAAAAAAATCCTATTTGAACTTTGCTAATCTTTCTGTCAATCGGCCAAAAAATGAACGTGGCATGCATGCCAGGTCATACAAACATCCAGTTCCTTGGCGACGATGCCAAATGTTATATTTTTTTCGGGAAACTTTCAAGCATGTTTTGATACAAAAATTTTCCTGGAAATTTCTCTGATTATATTTTCCTCAATGAATCAGTATATTTTGATCAATATTCATTCATTTATTGCTCATTTCAATTTAATAGAAAAAAAATCATTGAATCTTGTATTTATTTGAGTTATCTTATCAATAATGGATCCGAATAAATTTGAAACTGGTACAGAATTTGTATCAAAATTAAGTAAAAGAGGTATTTATTTACATTATTTTAATGATTTTGATATATTGGATAAAATCGTTTGTTTTTTCATTGAAACAGAAGCAAAAGAATTGTTACAAAAATGGCGTGAAGAAAATGCTCGTAATTCAGAATTAGTTCGTCAAATATGGCTTGCCAAAGATCTAGGTTCCTATCTCGGTGACGAAAGTATAAATTTTTTCATTGTTTGATTATATTTATTTGAATTTAATCATATTTCGATTCATTTTAGAATGGGTAGTTTTGGAACAAGTTTGTATAGCCGCAATGGATCTTCATGATAAATCATTAATCGAAAGCTGTATAACGCAATTATTGGACAAATTTCCAAATAGTAGCCGAGTGAAACGACTTCGAATGATGGCTAAATTAGAATTAACACAACGTTATGATGATGCCATATCAAAATATAATGAACTAATTGCCAGTGATGAATCAAATTCATTATTACATAAACGTAAGATTTCCATTTTGATGGCTACTAAAAAAAATCATCTTGCAATCAAAGCATTGTGTGATTATCTTAAAAATTTTATGAATGATCATGAAGCATGGATTCAACTTTCTGAATTGTATATTCAAGAACAAGAATATGCTAAAGCTGCATTTTGTGTTGAAGAATTAATTCTATCCAATCCACATAATAATCTTTATCATGAACGATATGCTGATATTCAATATACAATGAGTACAGCTGATTCATTAGAATTGGCAAGATCATATTATGCTCAAGCAACAAAATTAAAACCCGAAAGTCTTCATGCTCTTTATGGTTTAATATTATCATCAAATGCATTGGCAACATCACCAAAAACAACAGCACCTAAAAAGAAAGAATATATTCGGTTAGCTCAATGGGCATCAAATCAGATATCGAATATTTATAAGAAAAATTTAACAACAACAACAAATCAGATGAAAAAAGAAAATGCACGTCTAATCGATAATATTGATTTAGCATTAGAAGCATTATCCATTGCAAATTAATCCATTCATATATATCCAGATTCAACAGAAAAACAAATTATTCCAGAGTTGTATATCAGTATCAGTTTATTAGTAAATAGAATAGGATAACAAGTTTATAATTATCATTAAAAAAAAACATTTTTAACAACAACAATAAAAAAAACAAAACAAACATTTATTTTATTAATGTATCCATTTTATATTTGGATTGTAATGTATCATCAAGAATATCTGTAGGAATTGTTTTAATTAAACTTGGTGATTCTTCCATATCGAAACGAGATGATTGAATAAAATTTACTAATGATAATGATGATTCATGTAAACTAAGACAATAATATTGTAATAAAATGATTGTAATTGCCATTATAAATGTAACGAATAATGCATATATGACCATAAATATAACCAAGTTTGACCATGCATTCATGATTGATTGATTGATTGAGTTTTTGGTTTTTTAATCGTTTTTGTTCAAGTTTTTTCTCAAAAAAAATTCCATTATTTAACCCGGTTGTACAACAATTAAAAGTTTTAATTTTCGAAAAAGAAATTCCAAATTTTACGCCATCTATTGTGAAGAAATCTTGAAAAATAAATTATATCGACTTATTGGGGATTGACAAATGTATAAATAGTTGGATTTTGATCATATTGATTTTGAAAATTTATATATCAAACGATGCGTCATAATCATTGATAATGATGATAAGAAAGAAAATTTTCCATCAATCTGATTTGAATCTGGTTTATTTGTACAAATTTTTTTTTGATCAATAAAATAAATTTATTTATTGATTTTTTATTTGATCTTTTATTTAGGGTGTTTGTTTTGATTTGATTTTTGATTTTTGGTTTGGAGAAGAAAATCAAATAATCCAATAAAAAAAATTTGGCCAACATTGATTGGAAGATGATTATTTTCGCTTGATGCTGATGATAGCTATCATTATCAATTTGGATGACCGATGTTATAATTTTAACCATCATCGATGATATCAATTGAGGAAAACTTTTTTTTTTCTTCATAGAAACGAAAAAAAAACGCCTGTCCGTTTATCGTTTGATTTTTGATTCAAAGTAGAGCAAAACCAAATGTATAGGGCACACGCTTATAAATGAAATACTACTTTATCAAGATATGATTATTTCAAATGGCAATAATGATGAATTGATTTGGAAATAATAGTTTTTTTTTGCAATAATCAATCAATATTCGAAAATTAATTCGAAGAAAAAAAAAGTATTATATCCAAATCAGATATTTCAACAAAAAAAAAACTTTCTCCTGATTGTTTCCAAAAAAAAATCAACCCATTTTCGATCTTTGATCTCTTTTTTGATTGGAATTAATATATATAAATTGAATTACATCTATTAATTGATGATAGTATCAATAATTTTTTTTCGATTGTGAAAAACATTATTATCAACCGAAATTCATTTGACCCAAGTTTTGAATTAATCATATCATCAATAAATAAATCATTCGATGGATTGATGATGATGAGAAAAACAACCTGATGTGCAAACTTCCTCATTTTTTTCGGTGGAAGCAAACATGTGATATTTGATTTTTTTTCTTTTTTGCCAAATTGATTGTCTGCATAAAATAATTCTCAAAACAAAAACAAAAACAACGAATCATGACACCTGCTCAACGACAACCGAATCTTCGAAGATCAATTTCATCACCAAATTGTCAAGATAATCCTACATCATCATTATTATATTCATCATCATCATTATCATCAACATCAACATCACCACCAACAAACCATCAACGATTACCATATTATTATCCACCATCAGGTGATCTAGTTGGTCAATATGAATATGGAACATTTGAACCACAATTATCATCACCGGCAACAAATAAATTACCTAAAACAACAACAACAATGAACAATGGAAATGATATTATTGTTCAAGAATCAAACACTTATCATCGATATCGTTATTATAATCGACTTTTTAATAATTCACAAAATTTTGATAAACATAAACGTAGTAATGAAAATATATTGATCATACCGAATCATGTAATTCCATGGTATTTTATATTGCCGAAAATTTCTGTACCAACTTTTCAGGTAGAAAATTCAACCGAAAATCGTCAATCATCGATTGTAACAATTTTTGCCATTTGGAATATGATGATGGGAACATCATTACTTTGTTTACCATGGGCATATCATCAAGCTGGATTATTAGGCGGTTGTTTGATAACAATTCTAATGACTGGATTATGTTTTTTCACTGCATCATTAGTGTTAAAAGTACCAAAAATACTTTCAATACAGGTGAATGAATTTACCGATTTATGTTCATTATTATTAGGAAATATGGCACATAAAATATCACAAATATCATCATTATCAATATTAGCCGGTGGTTGTATTGTTTATTGGGTATTGATGAGTAATTTTCTACGACATGTAATCAGTTTTATTTATCAAGTTGAAGTACTTAATATGACAATCGGTTTGAATCGATCATCGGTTGTATGTGATCCAATTGTTAATATTAGTAAAGCAACCGATGAAAAATATAATCAATTTATGTCCGATTTAGATTTTATTGTACCCGGAATATTAATATTATTCATTGGTCCAATCACGTGTTTACGTTCAGTAAATTTTTTTCTTAAATTCAATATTATTGGAACATTTTCCGTATTTTATCTATTAATATTTGCAATATTTAAAGCTTATTCATGGAATTTTATAAATATATCGTTCGACAAAGATTCAGAATTTTATGTTCATCTTTTTGATTGGAATTTTCCCATCTATACTGGTGTATTATCATTGGCTTTGTTTATTCATAATTGTCTGACTACATTGCTCAAAACACAAAAAAATCCACAACATAATCAACGTGATTTAGCTATTGCTTATATTCTTGTATCGGTTACTTATCTACTCATTTCGACAATTATTTATATTAGTTTTCCATTACCGAAAACATGTATCAAAGAAAATTTTCTTGATAATTTTGAATCAAATGATTTATTTGCTTTCATAACACGTTTATTTTTATTACTTCAAGTACTAAGTTTATTTCCATTATTGGTTTATATGTTTCGAGTTCAAGTTTTACAATTATTTAAAGATCCAATTACTGGTCAAATAACTTATCCATTAATACGTACAATTATTATTAATATTTGTCTATTGACAGTTGGATGTTTATTTGCTGAATTTTATCCACAAATCGGTACAATTATACGTTATTGTGGATCATTTTCCGGTATGATCTTGATATTCATATTACCAACAATGACATTTATAAAAGCAAGAAATGTTGTTGAAAAACCATTACATCCATTTATACGTGGTTGTTTATTTGCATTGATTATGTTGGGTATTGGAAATTTTATAGCACAATTTATTGTCTAATTGTTTGATTTGACTAAAAACTTTTTGTAAATCAAAAAATTTATTATATTTTTAATTTTAAATAAAAATTTTTATTATTATCTCAAACAATGATTGCAGCCGGTTTTTTTCTATATTTGGAACACAGAAATGGAATAATGAAATTTTATAGAAAAAAAGGAAAGAGAGAGAGAGATGGAATTTGAGATCTTCGAAATCTGAATCAATCATCAGCCATAATCAATACGATTAATGATGTCCAACCAGTGAATGGATGTGCACCACGTCCATAACCATTATCATCTTGATATTGTTCCCAAACATAACCCGTACGTATAAATTCTGTATGTATAGCCTGGACTAGATTCTCTTTCAAACGTAAATGTATTTGTTGAGCTTTAATTTGATATGGTCCAGATATTTTTGAATAATGTGTTAATGCTTTTAACACTAAATAATTCATATTGATCCATATTGTTCCACGCCAATATGGTGGATCATGTTCAGTGTTATATTTTTTATAATATGAACTATTCCGTGATAATGATCGTAATCCATATGGTGTCCAAAGAATTTCCGGATTTTCTATATTCGATAGTATTGTTTCTAATTTAGGATTATCCGGTTGAAGTAATGTCATTATGAATGGAAAAAGACTTATGTAACCAAATTCGCCTACACAATCATATTGTGGTGATGTATGTACTACACGTTCAATCCAATAATGATCATCACGATGAAATTTTTTAAGGCTAACATTAGTCGAATGTAATCCTTTATCACAAAACATTTGATATTCATTTGACCAATGTAATTCTTCAAGTAAATAATTATCACTAAGAATTTGATAATATTCTTCATATTTATCATTAATTTCAAGTACTTTACTAATTTTTGACATTAATCGTGAAGCTAATGCCATCCAACAACGAAGATCTAAATGAATTTCATCATCATTTGGATGTGTAGCGCGTGGATAATCATCCAAACCGGAAGCCAATGTTTTTGGATTTAATTCGAATGTTGTTGTTGAATTTCGACCACGCCATCGAAATGTGAATGGAAATTTAGACGGACCAGTTTGAGTTGTATTAAACCATTGATACCAACGAGATAATCGTGGATAAATTTCTTTAAGCCAATCACGATCAAATTGTTTCCTATCAATTAATGATTCAATGGAAAACAATAATGATGGTGGATTTGCATTGGAAGAATGTTGAACAAGAAATTCATTTGGCACACGTGATTTTGCTTCATCACCAAGTATTACTTCACGTGGTATCCAACCGTTTTCATTCATCAATGAAAACCAACTTTTTATGATTGCCATCGAAAGTTTTGGATCCCAACGGCTAATCAATAATTGTTGAAATCCTTCATCCCAAAGAAAACCGCGTGGAAATACCGATCTAGAAGGTGCAACAGCCAACAATTGAATCGGTCCATAAGGACGAGCTATAGGTAATTGTTCTGAATCGACTAACGAATATCCATAATAATAGCCAATACTACCGATTGCATTACTCAATATTGTTCGAGCGAATTGAATTTTTTCTTCGGAAAAATTATGACCGAGATTAAATTTTTGATCAAAATTTTCTCGAAAGTTTTGTTGACGTTTTTCCATTTCCTTATCATAATCAAAATCATCTTTGGTCATCATTTTGGCTGTTGCTGCTGAAGTATCATCGTTGAAAAACATTGATATATCAATTTCGATTGATTGATTGAAAATCACTTGATATGCAATAAAATTTGATCGATACAGATTTTCCTGCTCCGAATTAGAAATAACAAACAAGGTACGACCTTCATGTTTGTAGAAAAATAAATGTGATTTCAATGTTTGTTCCAAACGATCTAATGTTGAATTTGTCGTTAGGAAACTTTGTAAAACTTGATCACCTTTATTGATTTGAAAATTTACATGATAATTTCCTGATTGTTGACTTTCTACTTTGATCCAAATACGTTTATTATCATCTTGAAATAATGTTAGATTATCATTATGATTTTCGGCAGCCACATATAAAATAATTGAATTCAATTCGTTTGTACGAAACAAATCGATAATTGAAATTCGTGAAATAAGAGTAACATCATCCTCATCATTATTGGTTAATCGAATGAAACTGGTATTTATATGTAGATTTTTATCGATTAAAGTTTGATGACCAAAATTATGTAAATCATTATAATTCCAATAATATGTATCAAGTTGATCATCTTGTCGGCAAAGATGTCGAATGGAAAGGCCACCATCATTTTGATTGAGTTTCTGTCGAAACCACATAAAACTAATTAATGTTGAATTTGGTTTCGATGATTGTAGAGCAAAATAATGTCCCGGATTTAAACTACTCCAATATGGTTGTGATGGTGATGATGATTGAAATATATCATAGATTGGAAATGTTTGATTAGGACCGAATGGAATAAATGTTAATTGTTTATCGGATGAAATGATGAATAATGAAAAACCAAAAAAACCAATACCAACACTTAGAATGAATATTAGTATAGGAATCAATAATGATGATAATAATGATGATTTCTTTGTATTTGTAGCCGATGATGATGATGATGGTGATTCATGATAATTTTGATGATAATTTCGTTTCAGTTTTTCCAATATTTTCGGTGGTGGTGGTTGATTTTTGGATTTTCGTTGTCGTTTATTGATCGTTGATGATGGCAACATCATTTTCGAATCGAAATTTAAAACAAAAAATTTATACAGCAAAAAGTTATTTTTATTATCATCGATTTTTTAGATTTGGACAAACATTTTGAGCAATTAATCAATCAATCTGGAAGAAAATTAAAAAGGATAATCCAGTTGATTTGATTTACAAAAATTATTAAAAAAGCAAAAAGAAAAAAACAGACATCATCATGTGAGTCGGATCCGCAAACAAAAGACGTATGCTCGAAAAAAAATCTGATTCTGAAACAAAATTTTTAAAGCTAATGTTAATCAAAGATCAATTATTTCATTTTATTTTTTATTATTTAAGCTTTGAAATAGATATTTTTCTGTTTAATATTTATCATTCAGAAAATCGTTTTGTTTTAAATTATGAATTGAATCATCAATAAATTCGGTCCATTTTTCGATAAATTCTTCATAATATTTACTTTGTTTAATAAAATTTTGATATTCAAGTGTAGATAATATTGATAAATTTTTCATTGATTCACGAGCTTTAGCTATCATTTTTGATACATGAACATCATCATCTTCATAATCGAGTATTGTTGTTTGTTTCAAAAGATCACCAAAATTAAAATCAAGATTTTCGATTGATTTTAAATCTTGTTCATAGATCAATGATTTCAATTGAATATTTTTGAGAAAATCTATTATAAGATTGAATGATGATGATGATGATTTTTCTTCATCAGAATTCTTCATCACATTATTTGTTGAACAAACATCATTATCAGCTTTCGGATTGTGTATGGCAGTTTGTTCATGGCTATTACATGATGAATCTGATGAACATGTTGTATTAGTAATCGTCAATGAAGAAGTACAAAGCTTTCCATCATTTACAAATGATCGTGAAGATTGTTTTTGGCTTTGGGATTGAGACATTATTTTGATTTTTTTTGAAAATTGTTTAAAATAGAAAAAAACCAATAGAAAAAAAACGATGAGTGAAATGAAAAATTCAAAACGGTCAATAAAACTATTTAAACATTGTTGAATCTAATCAATCGAAATAGACAAAATGATTTAAACTTTTTTGATAATAGATGGCTGTATGGGTTTCAGTTGGAAATTTTTTTTCTTTCAAAAAAAAACTAATTGTTGAACATCCTGGTTATTTGAAAAAAAGAAAATCTTCAGAGAACCCTGCTGTTTTGTGTTTATAAAATACAGCTGCTAATGATACGTTCAACAACGATGATGATGATGATAATGATTACTATTAAATGGACGAACAATCCAAAGAAAAAGTAAGATCATAAAGAAAATTACCGAATAAAAAACACTAATAACAAGCAAGCAAACAAACCAAGCAAACGAAAAACTATAATGATGAACGGATGATGATGATGGTCAAGCACTAAAAAAGATAATGATGATAAGTTACCCTGTTTTTATTTTCGAAACAAAAATCAAATGAATGTTTTTTGCAAATTGATCCGCGATCGACAGGTGTCTGTTTCAGTTTGAAACGAAAAAAAAAACATTCAAATACAAATCAATCATCGTCGATAAATGTGGGGATTTCAATCATAATTATAAGTTGGAAATGAAAATTCATTTCATAATGACATTTGTTTGATCATTTGGTTGGTGGTGGTTTTCGATTCCATTTAAATTTAAATTTTTAAAAACAAACGAATGAAAGAAATGCTAATATTGAATTTTGTTCTAGTTTCTCGATCGATAATCGATCGATCAATCGAGATAAATTAATTATACATTAATTGTTTTAATCTTCTTTGATTTTGCATTTTTGTGTTCAACATTCGTTTATATTTCCAGTGAAAAAACAAAAATCTTAAATCAATGTGCTTTTCGGGTTATTCAAATCTTGTTTTTTTGTTTTTGTTGTTGTTGAAATAAAATAAAAAACAAGACCACCATAGACAAACTTGGCCCTGTAGCGACTGGTATATGATGGGATGAATTGAAAATGCCTGAAGGAATGGAATAAATTTTCACAAAAGTCAAGTGTCTTTGAAACGAAATGAAATAAATGTAAATTCACAATCGACAAATCTTTGGAATTTCGTTTATTTATTGGCCTGGTTGCTCATTTTGAAATTGGAATTTTTTTTCCCCAAAGAATAATGCAGAAAAAATGTGATAATCATCATTTGGAAAGAGAGAGAGAGATCAAGATGTCAACATTAGATTATTTAAATAAAACATTTTGATATTGATTTTCACGATACTGTTTATTTACCCCATTCAAAGCAAACAAACAAACAAACAAACAAACAAACAAAGATCAAAGGGTTGTATAGAAATTTTGCGACAAATTAGGTCAATCAGGTTGATCAGGTGATCGGCATCAAGATGATGAACAAGAAGAAGAAGAAAATGTACAAACACTTACTTACTATGTTGTAATAATAATGACGGAAAAAGAACAAAGAACAAATTGTCGTCAACAAGTTTCTTAAAAGTATTTTTCTTTTCTTCTTTAAAAAAAACTTTGGTACCCATATGGATTGTTGTTGATTATGATGATGATGATGAACAACTCTAAAAAAACCCAAGCAACTTATTGTTGTTATAACCCGTGTAATAAGTTGAACAAACAAACACCAAAAGACCGAAAAAAGAAAAAAAAATAGATTCATATTGAGCCGTTGGGTCATCATTATCATCATGTTTTATCGGGTTCTTTCTTTTTCTATATTGGTTTGTCCAAAAAAAAACTACATTTATTGGTGAGAATTTTAAAGATGATAAAACCTGCCTTTGTCGGCACATTATTGCCCTTGTTCTTTTACAACGTCACCGGTAAAATGATCGCCATCAAAGTTTTTTTTTCTGTTTTGAAAAGTCCCTGAGAGAATAATGGACACTTGAAACTCTTTTTTTTTTGTTGGAAAATTTTTGTAAAAGAAAATTGGTCGGTTTCGGTGAAAAGTGAAAATTCACAAACAAAAAAGAAAAGAATAGGACAAAAAAAAGCGTTAAGTGGTTTTCGTTCTTCGTTTTGTTTTGTTTCACTTTGATTATCATCAAAGCATCAATTCAATGATGATGATTAGTACGCCTACACCAAAATCAATTTATCATCAGCATTACACACACCTACTTACCTATCTATGTGTGGTCAGGCGAAAAAAATCATTTTCTAGTTTCTTGACCGACCGAAACCAAAACAACAACAAGAATTTTCCTTCGATGATCTAATTTGAATTTTTTCATTTTCTCATTTCCAATATACATTTTTTTGGATGGAAAACTTTTTCGCATTTTTTGGTTTGGTTTGCAACGATGATAATGAAGACAAATTGAATTTTAATTTGCAATATCATCATCATCATCATATGGTTATCGCGAATAATTTCTTTCATTTTCTTTTTGTGTTCAATATATGTACAGGTGTGGCTTTTTTTCTTTTTTCTGATTTTTTGATTTTAAGCAAACTCATCATCATCATCATTGGGAAAATCTTGATTATTTTCATTTATATTCAAAAAGTAAAACAACGAACTTCAAAGAATTCAAGGTCGGACAGAAAAAAACGTTCGATGATCCACAAAGCAAAAAATTGATTTCATCACAATTTCCGTTTGTTTTGCCAGGGCGAATTTTCGTTTTCGTTGTTGTTGTTTGGTTTGTCAAGTGTTATCCAAAGTGAAACCCAGGAAAAAATGAAAATATTTCAAGTGCCATTTTGAACATTGAACTTTTTCCAAATCGGAACTTATTATTATAATTGGCTTTTTTGTTTCTACTGCTGTTTTAACTTTCTAATCGTTTATCGATATTTATGGGAAAAAAATCATCATTTATAAATTGACTATTAATGTTTGTCAAAACACTTGAAAGCCAAAAAAGCAAAGTAAAACACTTTCCAGACTTTTACCATTCACTTTGTGAATGTTTTCAAGATCCACTTTACTGTGGTTATTTTTTTTGTCTCGTTGTTTGACTGGAAAACACAAACACAGGTGGTTTGTGTTTTTGATCTTTTGGGTCAAACTTTTTGTTGATGTTTTTCGTTTTTTTCGGGGTAAAATCCATCATCAACTAATCATATCAAACATTTAGAATCGGACACTATTAAAACGCAGAAACAAGCCAAAAACAAACCAGCAACAAATCAAATTGATCAGTTATAAATGATCATTTGTGCCAAGGCAAAAATAACTTGGAAAATTCAGTAGCAACATCCAAAACACAGACACAGTGGCATTATTTTTCGTTGTTCGTTCGTTTTTTAAAAAATCATAAATATGATACCATTGAATGAAAAAAAAACATGATGGGTTCGTTTGCCTTCAGCTTTTTTCGTAGTTGTTTCCATAACATCTGAAAAATAAGATAATAATCATCATCATAATAATGTCTGTAAAAAAACAATGATAATAATAACCAACAGGTAACAGGTAAAATATGAAATATGGCATCATAAAATAAATGAAAAGAAATATTATCCAACCATAGACACACACATTTTTGCACGAAAAACAAAAAATCCATGTTATGCAACTGATTTTATGATTTTTTTCAAAAAAATTTTTCGTCTTCTTTTATGAATTCTCACAGGTTGTTGTTGTCGGTTGGTTGGTTGATTGGTCATTCTGCATTCCAAGACAAAGATAACCTGAATAATTCCGATAACAAATGCTGATGCAGACACGCTATTTTATTTTAGATTTTTATTATTTTCAATTGTGTTCAAACCTTTCTTGTCTATCGATGATTATTGTTTTGGGAAAAATTTTTTTTCCAATCGTCTAGGTAACAAAGAATCAATGTGAATGTTGATGATGAAAATTGACCGATTCGATACACAATGATGATGATCATCATTGGGCCCACACACGATCTATAAACAAAAATTTTCGACCTTTCATCAATTCGTTGTTGTTTTAGTTTGATCAATGTTTTTTTTTTGCCAAAAATTAGAACCAAATCAAAAAATTATGTGATTATCATTCATATAAACAAATAATAATTCTTCGTCTTCTTTCATTGGATAATGTTTATGTTTTTGTTTT